TGGTCACCATCCTGCTGAATTTGAGGAATTTGGACTACGCACCGTCTATGCTCCATTTTGGGCTAATCTCCCCCACTCTAACATCTTCCTGGCCTTTACACCCGACCTCCTACACCAACTCCACAAAGGCATCTTCAAGGACCATTTAGTTAAGTGGTGCCTTGATATTGTTGGCGAAGAAGAAATGGACACACGGTTCAAAGCGATGCCTGATTATCCTGGTCTGCGGCATTTCAAGAAGGGAATATCTATGGTAAAGCAGTGGACGGGGACAGAACACAAAGAGATGCAGCGTGTATTTGTTGGGCTACTTGCTGGCGCTGTCCCTAGGTAAGCTTCAATTGTTGCTAAGCACGAGGTTGGTGCTGACGTGATTGTTTTCATTTGCTTACAGCCAAGTGTTAGTAGTTGCGCGAGCACTTCTAGATTTTTCATACTATGCTCAGCTTCGAGTTCACTCAACTGAATCCCTCAATGGCCTGGAAAGCACTCTGGCGATATTTCACGCCAACAAGGACGTCTTGCAGCAACTCGATATTCGCGACCATTTTAATATTCCCAAATTACATCAGCTCTCTCACTACGTTCAGTCTATCCTATTGTTTGGCGCTACAGACGGCTTTAACAGTGAACTTCCAGAACGTTTGCACATCGACTTCGCCAAAGAAGTGTATCGCGCCAGTAACAAGCGCGATTATGAAGAACAGATGGCCTTATGGCTCCAGCGCCAGGAGGCAGTCTTCCTGCGTGGTTCCTACCTCAACTGGCTGTTGGAACAGTCTCAGTCGGCACCAACCAATTTCACTTGTGACCACGGATATGACTCGGACTCGGACTCAGAGATGGAAGGGCCAAACACTGTCCCTGTCAATACACTTCCCATCCTCCCTGAGCAACGAACGGTCCACTCTCTCGCTAAGACGCCTGCATACCCTCAGCGTTCGGTTCAGCACCTCGTCACTGCACATGGTGCGTCCATGTTCCTCCCAGCCCTTAAGTTGTTTCTGCGCAACCACATGCCGCACGCTATCATTGCCCCTGGTCTGCAAGACCGTTTCGATGTTTTTCGACAGGTAGTAATCACTGCTCCGCCTAATCCACTCATCAGTGAATCACCGAGGCAGTGGCGTGTTAGAGCCACGCCTGAAGTGCTTCCTGGACGTGGACGCAAGCCTGGATCTCCCGCTAAGTTTGATATGGCCCTGACAAGCAATGGCATTCAGCCGCGCACTTTAGAAGGTGAGTACTAACTATTTGTTGAGCCGTCAAAAAATTCATGTTAATATTTTACTAGGTATGTGAGTGGGACAGGTTCGCGTTATTTTCACTCTGCTGCGTCAATTTGGGACCTACTCGCGAGCCTTAGCTTACATTGAGTGGTTCACACCACTCAGGGAGCCAGACCGCTCATCTGGCCTGCACCAATTGTCGCGTTCGACTCGTCGGCTGCACCGGAATGCAGCGGTGATACACATCGATGAAATCGCTCGTCCTTGCCATCTTATTCCGAGGATGGGACAAGCTGTTGACCGTGGATGGACTAGCGCAAATGTCTATGAGTCCGCAAGTGATTTTTACTTAAATAGCTTTATTGACCTTGATACATTCTGCATGTCCGCTATTGATTAGTTTTGTTGCTACTCAGCTACTATTGACTACAGACTTCAATTTGACTATTGTGCCTCCAAGTGTCCGCTGTAGTCTGCTGTAGTCTGCTGTAGCCCGCTGTAGATCTATATAGTCTGAGTCACGGCTACATTAGGTACATAGAACTATGGTAGCTATGTAGTGCTACATAGCTCTCACCAGGGCTCCCACAAAATTTGTTTTTTCCTGATGAGAGATAGATCCGGAAGCATGTTGAAACTCTGAAGCCTTCAATGTTAGCTTCCTTCGGTCGAGAAGCGTACGTCAGAAACGGCCGGGTAACCCGGGTTGATCAAAAGATGATCAAGCCTTCTTTGTACTAGTATAATCGCAAGTCCCTCCAAGGTGGCTGCGTGTTTCAAGGACTGTTTCTACACCCTCGCAATCTCAGACCTTGAAGTTGGTCTGACACAGAAAGTTCTACAAAAGCTTGCTATCGAACGTGATGAAGCTCATCGACAAGGATGGCTTTCAAAATCACTTCATTGGTGGTGGTTTCATTGAAGTTCGTCATGCTTGATGAAACGAGTAAGAACGAACGTACATATGCACGACTTTACGTTCAGTAAGGAGAACGAGCCACACTGACTGATGTCTTTGTCCGAGGGGACCAGTTCTCACTATGTACTGCTATGACTGTGGAAGGTTATACTGCCGCCCAAGTGGTGGAAGGCTATGATATGATGCAGAGATGTTCAATGTCGACCTCTTGTTCATCTATTTTGATTTCCTCATCGTCATCTATGAGCCGATCCTCTTCATCGTCGGCTGACCATTCAACCTTGAAAAGGTGCTCCATCTTCTCATTATCAGCAAGTGCAATGGGAACTCGAATACCATGCCTGCCAGTGACAGCGCTCAACATTTGTTCAAGTCACTGCTGCAAATTGTGGCATCATATATTCAAATGAGGTCTGTCTAAGATGAAATAAACGACGCTGATAATGTACAGTTCAAAATCGCATGGAAGGCAGAATTAAAATGGACTGCGAGTCGAGGGATGCACCAATATGTTCAACTGGCGATTCGTTGGGGACTAGTTCTTCGTAGTCTCCCTGATCCATCTAGGCGTCAAGGCTTCTCAAGTATCCTGAGGATAATGCTGCATCATGCGCCTGAGTTCCAATTCTGGAATCCTCCTCTCAAACTCAATTGCGCATGGCGGAACAATTGACATAACCCCGTTCATGAATCCCCTGTCATCCAACGGCTTCGTAGGATTCAAAGTGAGCTGGAAGGCCCACATGGTTAGGAGTGAGTTGATGAACACCGATCTGGGTTGATCAAAGTCAGTTCGGAAGACGATGTGCATGGAAGAATAACTTCACCTGTTCGCGACATGTTGACCAGGGCATACGCTAAAAGCAATGTTATTGAAAAAATGAACAACTGAAAGGTGGTGCTTACCGCCGACCAAAGCCAAAGACAAAAATTTTTAAATCGTCTCTTAGGCGATATTGGTCGTCAATCCAACGCTGAGGTTTGAACGCGTCAGGCTCTGGATAGGCATCTGGATCTCGAGAGATGGACCTAAGGCAGTAACCGTTAGATCCTTCATATTTTGAAGCATGATGCTTACCAATGGTCGGCGAACAATGTGGTCCCAGCTGGAATACGATAGTTTTCCTGATGGGCCAGATCATTCATCCGTGAAATAAGCTATTCAAAGAGTACTTGCCCAAATCACGTCGTGGGTTGTTCGGTGAGCTAATGCTGCAATGTGCATGTTGAAATTTAGGGATAAAACAAAAAGGAAGATGATACCCACCACCGGTAGGCAAAGGCGGTCTCCATCTCAAAGCCTCTAAGATGAATGCTTGCAGGCGAGGAAGAGAATTTTGGTCGGCGAAGGTTGGTGCTTTTGTGCAGATACGATCGAATTAGAGCACTGTAATAGGTAATCAAACTTACCTCGGTGCCTTCCGATGACCATGTCAAGCTCAGCTTGAACTTGAGCTTGCTCCTCGGGGAAACATGCGGCTGCCATCAGTACCGTGGATATTGCCGCAGACGTCTTTCGCCTGATCTCAGCCACATATTTCCAGAGGCAACAAACAAAACCTCACGGTACTAGATCCAGCTACAAAAAAGGCACCGCCAAGAAAGGCCATCTCAATTTCTGTTAAACCATGAAGATGAATATTCTCTAGCATATATTTCGCGAACGAAGGACCGATGTCCTTGTCACTTTGCTGTACGGCGGCTCAGAGACGAAGTAAAGATTGTGAAGGAAATGCACACCATTTGCTCTTTCACGCGGTTCAGCCGATCAATGTTAAGTTTCTTGGTTCTCTCAAATGACCGTTTCAAATCTCGTCCATACCAAGGAAGATATTGGAGCCACGGGATCCAGTCTACTAGGTAAGTGCCAGGACGCCGGACTACACTTGATATCTTGATGCGTCGACTGAGTTCAACCATTTCCGGATCGGTCGCAGATGTGGGCACACTTCTTCCATATGCAACTTTCATGATTGTCGTAGCAGCATAACTTCAAACCATCTGTAAGCCAAGTACAATCATCGCCGAAAGTGCTTACGTTATCACATGGTTATGATAGTTGTATGGATCGTCGAGAATGCTGAGAACTGTGTTCTTCGCGTGCGACATCTGCAGAGGCTGATAGGCCTCAGCTGCTTTAGGCTGGAGATGCGAATGAAGTGTTCTGCATCATGTTGAAAATTAAGGTAGACGAGGGGAAGTAGTTCACTAACCTACGCATCCGACGGAACCTGTCCCCAAAGTGTACAAACGAGATACTAATTGCGCCATTAAACATTTTTCCAGCAGGATTCATGCGAGGACGATCGGCTGTAAATTTGCCCTGGTTCTCCATGATATCAATGGCTGCCTGCAACAAAAATATAAAGCCTAGATGAGGGCCACTCAGCATGTAGGGACCGACCTTGTAACGGCCAATAATGACGATGTGCTCAAATTTTGACCGGATGGTGATCAGAGGACCGTACTTTTCAATCCATCCCGCTATCACGAGAGATGGGCTTATCAGCGATAGAACACAATCAGCAATCGAAAGTCAACAGGTCGAACTAGAAAGTTTACTGGAGATACGGCAGGAAGTGCCCCCAAAGTCTCCAAGTGGGAGGGGAAGGTGGGAGAGGAAGCTGGCTCTCCATTTTATGACGGTAAGCCCGAACAAGTATTCCTACAACACCAAGACAAGCCACAGCACTGAGGACAAGCTGCGTGTTGTCAGAGATGCACAAGTCAGGTAGCTGTATCATGGTTGATAGGGTGTCACCACCAGTAAAGAAGGATTGGATAAAGCTCTTTGTACTACCAAGTACAGTCACAATGGTCATCGCTAGTGCTAGTAGCTTTTTGGTACCCCATGCACATTGATATATGGTATTCGGCCTAGCCCTACATATGCATACTACAACAAACATTGACCCCAGACAGCGCGCACTTGGTCGGAAGAGAAAACCGGGTTCCTGCGAATAACAGCCAGGAGGCACTCTTGTGGGGCACGCCGTACTCATTCGAATGCAAGAACAAGTTTTTTTTCTTAACTTCTGTGTGGCTGACCGCAGCCCGGCTCAACCTAAATGTTGCCGAGTCATATCTGAATTATCACCCAGTCCGTCGTATATGGCAAGCCGCGGTCTACTAGATAGTGGCCGTGAATGTTAACTCCCAGGTAATGGACAGCTCGCAGGAGTAAGTGATTGTCGCGTGGACGTCACAATATTGTCCCTCCTGCATCAATGAGGAATGACCAGTCACGATAGGGATGATATTATGTGGTCCTTGCTCTCGCAAGCACAGCCCATACAAGCCCAGATACATCGTTTTCCATGACGTGTGCATCCACTACGTCTCCGATTATGTGTTCCTCGACGCCCTCCACCCGTGCCTCAGCCAAGCGGCGCGTATTAGGTATGAATAGCAGCGTTATACATATCTCACGCTCATGCACGCGGTAGGTGAGGCGCAGCTCGTTGTCAGACTCACTATGCGCGGAGAGAAGTGAAACGAGCGCATGATAGGTTAAGGTCGTGGTTGAGAACCTGCGTGAAATCAGAAAGAGTCAGAATTAAGTAGTCTCACGTTAGAAGTTGCGCACCAATCATACAGTTCAGTCACTCTTCCATCTTCCACTCTTTCACCAGCGCCGATTTCCACAGCCTTTTCCACCTCTGCTCTAACACTCCTCAGCTTTTCAACATCAGCCGTCCCAACTTTTATCCGCTCTCGTACAGTAGCAATCTTCTCGTGTGCATCTGCAAGTTCCGCATCTAGTGCTTGCATCTCTTCTACCTGGCCATCAAGTTGCTGGTTCGCTGTGGTTATTGTTAACCGAGGATGGGGGTGGGCCTGTCGCAAGCGAGTAAGTGATAGACGTGCATCGAGTATCTTTTGTGAGAGCGTGGATGCTTGGAGAGTGAGAGCTTGCGCTTTCTTGTAATCTACGTTGATTGTTTAGTATGAAGCGCAAGAAAACGCAACAGTCCATGGTACATGCCTTCTTCAACGAATCCAGAAAGTGCTCGAAGATCGTCCCTTCTTTCTGCTAGCTTCGCTTTGTGCTCGCGTAGCGCAGCCTTCTTCTCCTCATTCCGTACTCGGAGTTCCTCGTTTAGTGCAGGTGTCACCAGCGGGGCATCGTCACTGACAATGGTCTTCACATATTTATCTTTGGCATTCTGTTCCAGGTAAAGAAACTTGAGCTTCCTTAGGAAAGACTATTCAGGATCGATGGTTGAACGTTGAAACGGCAAATAAGTCACCATCCATGATTTGGACAGGTAAAACACGCACAATTTGAGCTTGGACATCGCTCTCGACAATCTTAGGATCTTTGAGTCCCAGAGCGCCATCTTCACCAACCCATTCTTCAATGCCATCCCAAGTATGTGTGGATAGCTCAGCATGAGCATTAACTATTCGGAGTCCCGCTTTTGCATCGTCCAGTGTAGCCTGAAGATTTTTCGCAGTAATCAAATGTGCTGCTAATGATGTCCCTGCAGCTCCGGAGGTGGTGAGGTCAATAATGGGAGTAGGTTCAATCATGATTGTGGCGGAAGAGTAGTATAACTTCCAATGAGACAGTCGCGACTTAACGCGGTCACGTGCTCGTGAACTATTTATAACAACATCAGGTAACCGACTCAACTGCGATAATTTCTTAGCAAGCTTTATGTACTAACTGATGGGGCGCAAGGCTAACACCCACTATATCTTACATAGATCATTGGTATGATCATGGACTGTCGTTTTAATTGCGGATTTATTTCTTTGATCAGGTTTGTTTCATTGATATCTCGTTTCCCTTTGTTTCGTGGTATACGCAATTGTCGAGCTTGCAAATGTTTGAATACAATCATCTTGCATAGTATCGTTCTGAGGTTCGGAACATTCCATTATATCCAGTAACTATCGAATTGCCAGATCGCTCTACCGCGGGAGGAAAAGTATGAAATACTGTTCGCCGAAATGCGCAAGCAACCGTTCGTGGCGATGGCTTCATCTGTACTGACAACATGGAGCACGCTTCATATATACTCTGAGTGGGGGCGGTTAAAGACAGTAGCATATGTGACATTGTTGGAGACCTACCAGTTAACCAAGTCCGTAAGCTGGCTTTCGTAGGCTCATCACACTTGTCCATCATAGAATAGAACAACTTGAAAGCTTTTCTGTGCTCGCCAGCCAGTAAGAGTGCATGGCACAATTGCTTATTCGCGGTTTCCCACAAGGATTTGAGGTCCCACCCGAAGAGCTGCAAACAACGGAGTCGAGGATGAAAGTGATTTTCAGTTATATCATATCAACGCACCTCGATGAATACCTCGTATTTGGTATGAATTGGTAATCCAAAAAAGAAAGAGCTAGCGTTGACAGCGGTAGTGAAGTGATCAATAGCGCTAGCCACTTTGTGCGGGCAAAGCGGTGGAACGGGTCCAAAAATGGTATTATTCAACGCAACGTTGCCCAGTTCGACATGTAGATACGCCTGATGTGCGAAAACCCAGAAAATTAGTGTCAGCAGCCGAACCTGGCACTGACCGAGGCACAATACTTACCTCAACGATACGAGAAGGAATGGGATCATTATAGAGAGGAGAAGTCTGAGATAGCTCCCCAATGCGTTGTATCGCTTCATCATGTTTCCTTGCATTGAATAGCGCAATGACCTGAAAGTCGTAAGAAAGCGCAGATTGCGTAAAAAGAATATGACCTGCCTTGATCAAGAAAAGAAGATGGTTCAAAGACGAATCTTTCTTCGTAAACGTAAACGCAATATCAAACGCTGTGGTTGCCTCCTGAAACTGCTTGTTCCTGCAGAGGACAATACCCTTCGAGATATAACCTGTCAACGAGGGCTTAATGGCGATGGACTAAGTCGTGATCATAGTTAGCCTACTTGAGGGCCATCATGGGTTAGTGTATCTGACCTGATCTGCATCCTGAAGCGCATTTTTCCAAGCACATAATCGCGACATGAGAAAAGAACGATTGGCATAGGGGATGTGTTTGTTAGGACCAGCATCGATCTCTTTCGTGAGGAGTTTCACAGCGTCCTCCAGCTTCCCCTTCGAGGCACGCACCACGAGCAGCCGTGTGTAGAGCGAGAATCTATATGATCATAATACGCGCTCCAATTGCATTATGCGAGTCTAGGGTACACACGTACATTTAGTTCGGCGTCTCGAGCCTTTCAAAATACATGAGATGAAATAACGGGGCAGATAAACCAACGTGAACTCACCTGCTGTAGCTCTTGTTCGCACCCCTGCAAAGCGTCCAAAGGTACTCTCCACTGGGAGATCTTGGCATCATGGCCTCCACTGAGGACATGCTTGCTATCGAGGGTGAAGGTGACGCACATTACTTCGCGGGAGTGCTTGAATATGGCAATAGTCTGCCGGTCCAAAAGTTTCCAAAGGCGGACGTCTTCGTCATCAGATGAGGAGGCGACAAGAGTGCCAGTGGTATTAGTGGCAATGGCATTGATGCTGGCACGGTGGCCCTTCCAGGGATCACCGACCTGCTGCCAGGTAAGTGTATCCCACTCCAATATATTGGGGTCAAGGTCTGAACCTGCCGAGAGAAGGCGTCTCCCATCCGGCGTCCATTGGAGTGGGCCGTTGTAAGCACCTTCGATTGCTGCATGAGCCTTGACAGCTGTAATGCATTTCCTCGTGCTTGGATTCCATATCTGTATATCATTCTCTGTCGCGATGGCAAGATGTTCCCCAGATGGTGAATAGCGAATCCAGTAGACGATTGATTGAGTATACGGAGCCACACAACAAGTGATGGGACTTCCTTGAAGTTGCCAATTTTCTGTCCCCCAGAGCTTCGTCATTTCATCATGTGAACAAGTTGCCAGTATTTTGTCGTCTGGAGAAAAATCTAAACTGATCAAACACATCGAATCAGCGGCCAAGGTTCGGCTACGAGTTCCAGTGTCTCCGTGCCAGACGATTAGCTCTCCATTCGTGCCGCCACTCGCGATGAATTGGCCATCTCGTGATACCGCTAAGCCACTCGCTTCGCTGGCATGCCCCTCCAGGCTCTTCAACCAAACGCCGTCTGTCAAGTCCCACAAACAAAGCGTACTATCCCACGAGCTCGTCACCATACGTCGTCCATCGGGGAAGACTGCGACTGCGACTACCGCTTCTTCATGGGCTTCGAACGTTCGAACGAGGGAGTTCTTTTTGAATCGTCTGGTACTAGTAATGAGCCGTCCAGCCCGCGCCATTCTACTGCTGTCAAGCACTATAGTCGAGGTGGACTTGCTTAAGAAATGTGCAACGGATAAGATCAATAAGAAAGGACAGCTCTATTGATTCCGCATCTTCCGTGCAGACTCCGCGATCGTGGTAGTTCCCGTGCACTTGAAAGTCAGTCAAGCAAGGCCGGCGTCCAGTTACTTAGGTGTCTGTCACAGGTGGGTTGAGAGTAGGCCATTTTTCACCGTAAGGTAGGCCCGAACATTCAAGCGCGAGTTATGCTTAACGTCGTGTGCCACTAGGCGACACAACATTGAGCAAGCATAGGAAATAGTGCCAACAATCCTCCTCCGACGTTGTCACCATCGGAGCATTGGGATAGGAAGGCGGTGAATCCCGAGAAGACAATGAACTGCATTTTTTTCTTTCAGAAAAAGGTAGCGGCATGTGGTTCGCGATTGAGAACCCGGTGGTACCCCTGAACACGGATGGTTGTAACCAATGCATTACGTGCTTGCTGTGAATGAACTAAGAATATTTAGCATCAATTCTACACTTGGGAGTGGCATAACAAGGTCCCGAGTTTACTTTGAGAGCGCACTAGCGATACCCCAACAACGCTCGTAGTTGCAGACAAAAAGTGTTCGGATTTCGATGTCTAAGGAGGTATTCTGGGTATAACTCAAGAAAACAGGTTGGTAACAGTAGCACACGCCACATGATAGACTTCCTCGACCGCCGCCGTGCTATCGATCTACACATCTAGAACTGAGCATCAGAGCAAGATAAATATAAGCCTTTGCTCACCTCTGCAACCTTGTTCAGTGTCCTGTAATGTTCTATCACGGGCATGGTTTGCTCGTTGTATGTGCCTAATTTCGTTGTAAGCTGAGGAAAAGCAAGAGCGGGTATCACATACGGAAACGCTTTCTAATAGTTTCGACGTTGTCGTCTTCACGTCCGCTGGTTTTTGCGCGCTCAAGCAGGCGTTCAAGCATCACATCTTCCGATGTGTTGAAGAAGATGACCAATGAAGCAAGACATACCTGGACCCTGAAATCAGTATAGTGGCATGATGAAGTGAGCAAAATCCTCCCGCACCGTTTCATCGAATCCAATAGCCTGATCAATCTTCCTAGGGAAGCCATCGATCAAGAATCGACCCCTGCCATCCACCCACCCATCTCCCGTCTTTTTCTTCATCTCTTCGGTCATAGCATTCTCAAGAAGCTTTATGGTGACATGAGATGGGACGATAGTACCCTCTCGAATGTATGTTCGGATCATTTCACCATATTGAGACCCTTCTCGGTTTTGTTCTTCACGCAGAAGGTCTCCAGCTGGGTCCAATGTTCACATCAGCCTTGATAAAGAGGTAAAAAGGTCTAACCAGATAGATGGCAAAAGCCAAACGCGTCAACGAGCTTGCTGCATTGCGTGCCTTTCCCTATGACACTGATCAGACCACCGTATGCGCGACGATTGGTTTCTGAGTGGGAACTTGCCAGCTCCGGGCCCACCCAGGACATAAATGACGGTGACCTTCTCGGCGCCAAAAACGGGCGAAGACGTAGATTCTGCCATGTTGGATTGATTTGGATTGAGGTTACTGATCTCGGTGTCGGGGGGGAATAAGAGGGTTGTCGTGTTGTCTAGGCTGCTTCGATGCCGGATAAGCTGTCTCTCGACGTTTGACGATGTAGTAGAAGACACCGAATGAAGCCAGAGACAAACCGAGAAAGAGAAGAGGATTGGGGCCCTTGCGTGTTGACGGCGGCTCCTTATAGCTATAGCGCATGCCCCAACTCGAAGCCGTCTTAGACTCAGAGTTGTTTGCGAAAGTAATGGCATTTGATAATCATGCAACTTTTTTACTCGGCCGCCTTCCTTCTGCTCTACATAGTGACTACATCAACATGTCTTCTTGGGATTGGTCCAGGAAGATTCTCAGGCGAATTTACCAAAGGAGTATCATGGCATGTTGAGTGGCCGTCTAGTGCACGAGGAAACGGAGCTAATCTTCCATCTATTAACCTTAGCGAATTCCTTGAGTGCAGTAACACTGGACCATTTACTTTATCATGCCATCGGGAAAATTCCTAAAGTTCCTAAATCAAACAAAAGGAACGTATGAGAGGGTTGATATACAATTAACTCGTATGAGGTTACAGCATACTAGACAACATTATGACCCCGACAGCTCACAACAGCCCTGAAGTCGGAATTCTAGCCTCAGCACTTACGGCAGCCTCGTATTCCCCGTGGCCTACAACCAGACGAGTATCCGCTTGTTCTTCGATTGCGTTTTATCACCATCCATTCATGCATCCATTCCACGAGCGGGCATGAATGGCCGCAAACTTCGAGCAGCAGGAATGGTTGCAGATCCCAGACAGGCGAGAATAGCTACGGATCCCGAGCGGGTAGGAATGGTTGCAAACCCCGGGTGGACAGCATTGGCTGCGGACCCTACACGCACAAGAGTGGCTGCAAATACCCGATAGCAAAGCATGGCAGTCTACTCCCGCAGCTTCTGTCTGGTTGAATACTCAAGCACTTTGGAAGTCATCGACGAATATATCATTGTCCCAGAATCGACTTTACTTCCAACTTTCCAAGCAGTCCAGCAGTTCAAGAGCTTGCCAGATTCATTGGCGTCTCCGGTTTTACTGTCCTTAGGATATCTGAGTCAGCGCCTCTCTAGGATATATTTTCGAGCGGACATGGAAATCGGACATGCTATAGCATCTTTTAGGACCTTCGCAAACGAAGCACAGAAATAAAGTCGATCAGCTTCCGGCGCTCTCAAGTACCCCCGTCAAAACTGGATCGTGCATCTCTCGCAAGGTCTGAACCCATGGGATGACAAGCTCAATCGTATATCTGGGATCGACGTTCCCTTTCCTGGCTCGAAAGGCAGTGGTGTTTGAAGGGTCTGTAATCTTGCCTCATTGTTTTGTCTGAAGGGCAGAAACTCAACTGCAAAAGTGTGTATATCTCCAACCATTATCGTGATTTGGAAGCAAAATCCTAGAAACTGATCCTTTTGTTTTGTCCTCAGCACGGACCTGTTTACGTACAGCCCAATAAAGTGCTGCCGGCCGTCGAATTCGATCCCAACAATCGATAATGCAAACGTCACTTTACTATATCGACGAGGGAACTGTAAACTCATGCTTCCCTAATAGAGCTTGTGGTGGTGTCACAAGGAACGTTTGTTGGCCTCCACGCCTCAAACAGACCTTGGGCTCTCTCTTCCACTCCTCTTCCACATGTCCCTTTTCCGACGCCCACAGCCGCGATGTCTTGTGTCGGCAAATCCAGTGTAAGTTATACATACATCGCCCCTATTTCCGCACAACGTTTGAAACGAGGTAGACGGACTTTGCAGCCGAAGGCAGACGAAATCGGCAAGAGTGCCATCAAGTAACAAGTATACGCCGCTCTGTTTCCTCGGATTTGACCCTGACAGTGTGATATAGTCCTCCACTTACTTATTCTCGAAAATACTATACCTCGGCGCTGATCTACAGTTATTATCGAGAGTTGTCCTGAGTACCTTAAGGCGTGTTACGTTTACAAAGCCCCTTCGCATTACCAAGTCATTTCGCAAGAGCATTCTAAATAGATATGGAATGCAGCACCCGTTTGTTCCACCTTCTGAACAAGCTGTTGTAACATCCCCGACCCTCACGTTAGTGGAGCGAAAGCCTTGTCAAACATCTTTTACATCACCAAAACACATGCATCAACCACATAAGTAGCTGCAGTCTTGATTGCCACCTTCTGCCGGTGCCAGCAGAACTGACCGACTCGCAATAGTCTTAGTTCTCCAGTAAACATGAATTCAGTCGGAATTCTATCTTGGATGAGCCCATAATCTGGAACCTTTCAAAGATAAAGATCAAAAGTTCCACCGTATATTAAGGTATGTGCCATCCGGAGTATCCTCTAATACCAACAGTGAACTTGCTAGCTCCCATCTATATATCCTAGGGCCAACCCTACATGCATAGCAGCACTCACCGCGCCGACCAAGCCCCATCCAACCGGTCAAGCACTCCCTGAACCTCACGAACAGCAGCTTTACGTTCCGCTCGAGCCTCAGGCCAATCCGATCCCGCCAGATGCATAGCATCAAGACGCAACAACGACTGCAAAAGAAGTTCGGATAAGCGCGTGTGATCCGATGAAGTGGGTTTCGATGTATAGGAAGCGGACGTAGGATGAGGGGGGAGATGAGGAGCTTGTGCAGTGGAGCTAAATGACTGCGTTGGTGTACTTCCTGATGTGGGTGTTGGAGCAGACGTGGGAGATGACGCGGTTGTGGCTGCAGGTGGAGTAAGTGCGTCGACCAACGCGTCGACGTCCGGTACCAGTGTTGTCCGTACACGATCAAGCTCGGACCTAATAGCAGTGATAGTGCTTTGTTCTGTTGGAGGCTCTTTCACTTTGGGTTGTGGTCTAGCTGGTGGTGCAGTCGTCGGTGCTGATGGAAGTGAATGACCGCCGATCAGCGCAATAGTAGAGTTCTCGCGTATTTTATAAGCTGTCACTGGGAAATGATAAGTTGAGGCACCAAGCTGAAAACACACATGACTCTACATACGTGGCGCGGAATCATCCTTCATCACAGCTCCAGCGTGGATGAGCTTGAAGGATCCGAGAGGAAGGTGTGTATAGTCTGCTAGGTCTGTTCTCAGTTTTCCGAGCTTAGTCTCCGGAGGAGGTACTGGAAAATGCAGTATCTCCCTGTCCCATTTGACATGAATCATGGTAGAGAACGGATGTTTGGACTGGTGAAAAAATGTACCGCGGAAAAAAGAGTACGCCGCGCGAAGAAACAGCACGAAGCTGAGGATGACTGCGGAATGTGAGTATGATCGGACAACACGCTACTAGACAAGTAATCACCTTGGTGGAGTGACGACAGCTTGAAACCTTCGGCTCGAGCCGATGATCTAAAACACAAAATGCTTCCAAGTTCTTGAAAGAGTCAGTGACGTGACACCTTCAGATGTTAACACGACCAAACAACCGGTCCCATTAATTGCAAGTCAAAACTAAAGCTACATGCCCGCGAAACAAAACAATATAATGGCCCACTATGGTCTACTGCAATCCCAAGAGAACGAGGAAATAATGGACAACGTCAACATAGCAAAGGGGATTAGGGTATATCAACGACCAGCGCCAATGCGCGAGTGTGAGTGATAATACATGTGAGCAAAAAGAATGTTGGGTAAAACGATGGCGGTATGCGTCGAGTATCTATGTGGAGAAAAGGCAATGCAAAAACGAAAAAAATGCAGATAGGATGCATGGAATAACGGCCACTGCGAATGCACGATACTTGCTTATCTCCCTCCCCGGTCCCGCCATTCGATCGCCTTTGCTACCCAACTCACCATGTCAACATTTCGATGTCTGTCGGTCTGCATCCATGGATGTTCAAGTAACTCCTTGTAACTGGCTCGCCCATCTGCATTCTTGATGAGGCACCGTCGAACCCAGTCATGCGCCTCTGGAGACCATCTTCGCTTTCCCTTGCGCATGAAGCTAAACTGTCCTGGAGATGCACCATTATCCTGAGTATGAACCTCGACTTCTTCATCTGCGATTTCCTCGTCTTCTGGCAGTCCAGGTGCTTCGCCATCAACTATGGCACTTAGTTGTGCAAATACATTCTCGTAAGTTTCCGGAGGGTATGGGTATCTATCGATTAGTCAGTTCTGCGCCAAAAATACAGCCAACCAGGGCACACCTTCCTCGTGCAATCTCAACAATCGACAAGCCCAGGGACCATACGTCTGCACTGACCGTGTATGAAGTGAAGGCATCTTCCATATTAGATCCAGATGGTGATGAACCCTTAATTCTCTCAGGCTGCGGAAGTACACGATCAACAGAGCTCAGTGCTAATCGGAGGTAAGAACCTACAGCCATGTAACTTTGACAACCAACATTCGTCTTCGCAATGCTCTTCTCCAGCTGTCCGCTAACACCAAAATCGCAAAGCTTCACTTCGCCCTTGCAATTCACAAGGACGTTCGTAGGTTTGACGTCCCGGTGCATGACCCCAAGTTCAGTTTTGAGGAATTCAAGACCATGCGTCATGGATGAAGCGATGCGGCAGAGGTGCTCATCGGCAAGCGGTGGAGGGCTAGACGTCCATGCAGAGCCCGGACTGGTAGATAAACTTGGCGGCAGAGAAACATTACCATTCGGAAAGCAACACAAAGAAGCCAGCGAACCACCATCCATGTACTCCATGCAGTAGTACACGCACGATTCCACGAAGAAAGCACCATAGAATTCCACAATGTATGAGCTTACGGCGCGGTGCAGGATGTCCAACTCCATCAATATTCCATTGAGTTTAGTGGAGTCTAGCTCAAGACGAATTTCCTGGAAGCAATGATTAGATAAGGGGGATCAAAAACGTGTCAGGGGTTGGACCTTCATAGCCATTTCGACCTTTGTCGGTCGATGCAGAACCTTCTTGACTGTACCATAGTTACCACGGCCGAGTTCCTGCTCAAGAACAAGCTGTTCCATATTTATAGCATAAGATGATCCATTGGAAAAATCGACGCCCGAAGCATGCAGAACGGCTTTCCCGGCGAAGTTGAGGCGTCCAGAAGGATCACTAAAAGAGGGGAAGAAGTTGGATTTAGCTCATGATAGCGGAAAAAAGATAGAGATACGCACACGATCTTGTTGAAATTTGCAAACGGAGTATCAAATGATGAGGGTCCTCTCCTAGCTTCAGCTAGCGATGGACGCCCTGCTCCAAGCCCTGCACCAATAGCACCGCCTCCCGTTTCAGGGTTCATGTCGGATAATTTAAATTCTGGCTTAGTGCGTCTACCCGCAGCAGTAACACCGCCACCGCGTCCGCGAGCGCGTGTAGCAACCAATGATGACGAGCCTGGTGAAGCGGAAAATGAGAAAGAAGAATGAACATTTGGGTGATTCGTTTCGTTTATGGAAGCACGTTGCGCATGTGCTGCGGAATCGATGGCCGAGCCGGGTGACGCAGCTGATCCGCGATTCATCATCTGAACAAGGTAGGTCAGACACAGGAATGAAAAATTTTCGGTCCATTAAAGATGGCGAGTAAAATACATACTGCTGTCATTTTTGCCTGCAATGAAGGAGGTATTGGAGCATTTCCTCCTCTGTTTGCGAGTAGACCACTTAAAGTGTTACGGGGTGCACCACCCGAAGAGGGTGGCGGACGTGGTGCTGGTCTCTGGGACGATACAGGAACTGGAGCAGGTCTAGGAGCATTATAAGAAGAAACGTCGTCCTGAGCGGACGCAGAATCTGGTTGCATCGAAAGTCAGTTGTGGGTGTTGAGGTGGAGGGACGGCGATAATCGAGATTTCCATATATACTCTATCGCTTTCAAGTGAGGTCACGCGTCACACTACACTCGAGAAAGTTCTGCTCAGGCTGCGGTCATGAACAAAACGATGCTGGCATCATGCGCATCATTGACTCATCCAACTTAAAGCGTACAATTCGGAATAGTTCGACCTCCTCCTTGATGTCATACCAGGTAATTTCACTTGACCTCGTGGCCACACAGCATCAGGAACAGCCTTGCCTTTACAGTGGTTATGCTGTCATAGATTTACTTCTGGCAGACTTTCCAATCCTGTACGGTGGTGTTTGTGGTGCATCCACATAGCTATGAACCATCCCCCTATGTGAACGTATGTGGCAGCTTCTCGCGGATCTTGGTCACGAACACGTGTAGACAGTCATCTACTTGCCAGAATGATTGCAACACAGCACCGCACAAGTCCACGAATCATACTAACGTTAAGGTTGTCACGGTTGCTTCGACCACTTCAAGTGCAGGGATGATTATCGTCGCTTTGCAGTTCATGTCCGCAACCACCCGGATATGCTGTAGCCGTTCTCGGTGCTATGCGGGAGCAAGGGGTAACGAAGATGTGATTATTGAGTGAACTTCACGGGAGTGACGAGTGCCTTCCTAAATACTTCGGTTCCACAAAGCTCCCGAAAACAAGGTACGTAACGTTGGCGTAACGTAAGAACGTGATGACAAGATTCGTCAGCTGCAGATTTGCCTCTGCCCGAGTCATAGGAACACCGCCTCTTGTTCTGGCGCTCGCTGATGTCAACGCCAACGGCAATGACGATTCGTCTACACAAAAGTCGTCACATAAACCTTAATCAATTCAACCTACAACTCGGGTTGTTTATTGCCTATATCTTTGCTTGTCCGGAAGACGAACCATCCGCGTTCATCTCACTCTCAAATCAAGTTTCATCAGTGCATGCGCCGGGCGCTCTCCACCGCACCAAACTCTACTCGCCCATCACTTTCGTGGCCCTCATCCTTCTCCGGTGATCGAGGGAGCGCTTTTGGCGTCCAGCCCTCTTATGACCACCATCATGATCGCCCTCCGCCAAAGCCGGCCTTCCCTTCGCCAAACTCGTCCTACATCGACAACGCCGGACACGCTGTCACTAAATTATTCAACATCAATGTGTCCGGCCTCAAGCGCATCTCCCCCAGGTATGGAGGATTTTGCTGCTTGTATCATCGTCGCCAAGGTATTCCAAAACACGAGTCTGTGCCTGTACCACTGCCACCATCATCTTCGCACTCCCAAACCGCAACAATGACTTAGACGTGTTGTCCTCGCTCTCACCTCGTCGTGATTGGTGACGTTATCAGGGGTTCGAGTAATAGGACAAGATCACCGGTGCACCGGTCGCCCATTCAGGCTGTGAGCAGAGTGTAAAAAAAAATTCCCAGCGAGAAGTACTGGTATTGTCTTTCGTCCATGGGGTTACCTTTTGACTCCTTGATGACGTCGACAGAATCACACTGGTCACCTGTCATCGCTTCTTGTACACCTCCTGACCTTCATATAATGTAATTCTGATGTAATCCGAATCCAGTCTGGCTGAGTAATAATAAGCACTGTCAAGTCGACGTCGATGCTGTGTTGTTTCCCTGTCACTTTAAAGACCTCTTGATGTTGACAGCATGGCAGCATCTCTTTGTTGTGGTTCACGTCGGCTGTGGAACAAAGGCTCTGATCTACCTCATCACGTTCAGATCGTATGACTTTGGTATAATCCGAAGTCCGTCGAAGGAACAATAACCACGATAATGACGACACCGTCTACTCAGGCTGACCTGATCCGCCATCTCTCCCAAACTTAGATACGCCAGTGTCCATGGGGGTATCAAGAGTTCCAAATATCCTACTGCGCGTTATTAATATTTGGGGCGAAACCTACCCGCGCCCCGTGGGAGTAGTCATATACCGAGTACCCTGGATGACAACAATCGCGAACGTTCTAGATCAAACCCGTGAAAACAAGACAGTACTCACATGATTTCAGAAACTCATCCCCTGCAGCACGCAACATCAACGTACATTCAACAGAATGAACCAAGTACCCAAACAACTTACCGATGATGGCAAATCCTTCCATGAATGTATCGTCCATCCCAACGATTCCGCCGATGCAGTTTCTGTGCTCGTTCAGGCAGCATGTATTATATGAAGACACTTTGACCTACTTTGACCCGTCTGCCTCTTGTCCGAGATTGAAGTCTTGAAGGTTAAGGCCGAAGTCGTGCCCACCAAGCAATAATGAAATCGTGGGGTTGGAGTTGCATGGAAAGGAGAAGAAATTAGAGTCGTAGTTTGCTGCGGGGCCCGCCCCAGGTATCTATGACTCGTCAGCAAGGTTGACGAGAGAGGTAAAGAGCGAGAGACTGACATTGGCGTAGATCGAAGATGCCACCGCCTGTGAGAGGTATATCAAAGTAGTACCTGTGTCAATCGCCTATGCAGGAGGAATGAGGTGGAACTGAGTGAAGATGTGGCTGACGGGCTGAACCTTACCGCATGGAGGTCACCAGTTACGTTTTTCCCTTCAACAACAGCTCCGTCGAATTGTACTGTCCAGTATGTCTGTCGATAAGAACCATTTAGAAAGGAGGGATAAAGGCGCAGGAGGAGCAACCTTGGAAATAACTGGGATCCATGTCAAAGGTCCCATTGCCTTTGATATATCGAAGCCTCCAAGAGTTATCTAGAATCTCATCTCAATTATGATCGTATCAACGCTAAAGCACAACGTACCGTCGACCCGTTCGCCTTTCCTCTTGTCAAATACACAGAGAAGAATGGTGCCGAGACCTTGTCCTGCATGATTAGGTTCTCGAAGAACGTTGGCTCCCCCGACGCGGCGATAGAGCTAAAACCAAGCCCGATGAGGCCGGAGATCGGATCGTCATTGAAATCATTCGATACGCGAGTGACAGCACCAAAGTATTGCTTATCGATCTTCAGACCACCAACACCGATCGTATCATGCGCAAGGGTGCCTCCTACATTACCGGATCCCTGCAATCCAGCAAGATCAGGTCAGCATCGGGATAGTGGGAGGGGAGACGTACGTAAGTCACATTGAATGATTTCCCAGTGTCTGTGTACGTTGAGCTCGCATTAGCTTCGTATTGTGTGTTCACGCAATCGCCACAGCCCACAGGGGTCCAGAGGTCTGCAGAGCCCGTGTCTATGATCACTGAGAGCTGCTGTGGATGTGCCTCGTTCCCAAACCCAACTGGGCCGTAGTACTGGAGATCGATGTTCCCAACTATCTCGTCTGTCAGAGGGTCTGTCGCACTCTGAGCGGCGGCATTCATCACAAAAAAGCTCTTGACCTGCTGTGGTGTTGGCGTTGATTTGGACAACGCAAAGCCGGAGAGGTTGCTCGGTGTATCGGTGAGCGCTGCATTTGATAGTCCATCGAGCCTGGGGTCTGAGAGTGCATCTGGCAACACCACGAGGTTCTTGCCGGCTATAACATCTTGTACATTGCCGTATTTTAGTTTGATGGCTTTAAGCTCGGCCATCTGAGTATAAAAGTTAGTCTTGCAGAAGATTGCATACGACGGAAACTCACCGCGACCTGTTGATTGAAGATTGGAATGTTGATTTCAACTACGACGGTCGAGCTGTGCCAGTCCTAGGTGTAGTTGAACGTTCCAAAAGGATCACGCACGTACATCGGGGGTGCTATGCCATCTATGGGAAAGCCTAGCGTGCTTACAGTCAGGAGTAGAAAGAAAAAAGGGAAGCGGGGAACCATGGTAGCAGACATGGTAAAGGGTAGAGAAAAAATGACGGGAGTTGGAGGTTGAAGCAAGATTTTAAGCCAGACATGAGATTCCAATCTAGACTTGCGGCAGGTTTCGACACCCTGTGTCTTTTACCATGACATAACAATCTGAGGACTTGCCAGTCCAGATCAAAATATTACTTTGAAAGGCAAACGACCCTGTGTATCTGACTGAAACCTGACATCGAGCAAATTACATTTACACGCACGTCTGGATCAAATACGACAGACAATGTACTGTTGCTGCTGGCCGTTAGCGAGATCTTTTATTGAACATTGATAAAATAGACCCACTTTGCCTGCACAAGTCCATGTATACTTGCATGTGAAGCGTGATATGTGCAGCCTCCCTTGAGTCGAACTGACAAGGAATTCGCACATATTGGGTTGCACTACACAATTGGTGGAGGATGACTCGAGGCTTGATGATATAGTCATTCCAGGGCATTGCGAATAGTCAGCAACATTTTGCATTCTCGCCAATACTCGTAGCATCTCTCACTCCGCCTCAAACCTGTCTTTGAACCTCGCTCCCAAACCATAGCTCTTACAAACAGAAAGCACCTTGCGGAGCATGCGTGCTATATGCGCATACATCGCCCACAGCCCTTCCGGAACGCGGAGTCAGCGACCAAATGCAAAGTGTGGCATGCACAACTCCACCAGGAACCCAAATTGCGATGAAACATGCCTTGACCCAATCCTCGAGGTTCCACACCGCTCACTTTCTGCCCGTAGTACTGGATATAAATGCTCCCTTGTACTCGTCCATCAAAAGGTCCACTCCACTCTCAGGCTGGGTGGCGGCCCGCATGTTGACCCGCTGTGAGATTGAAGTTGATTCGGACAGGGCAAAATCGGGAAGATCGCTTGTCGTCACATTCGCGAGCACTGGATCTGATAGTGCATCGAGCCCTAGATCTCAATGTGAACTTGGCGCACCGAGCGAAAGTCATAGTACCCCCGGTTCACGCATCCGGTTGTTCTTCAAGTTAGTCTGGGTCCTACTTAGAGTTTGTTTGAACTTGTTGGGAACGGAAACTGTTGTCAAACAGACAACAACAAGGTTAACCACATGTACATCAGGAAATTCGGGAGTCGCTGGTTTGACCAGACGGAGTTTGAAAGCCTTCATCAGTCAGGTAAGTGATGATCTGACTCGAAAAAATATTATAATGTGTTGTCAGCAAACATCAAACTGATAGAGGGGGATCAAGACTTTGTCAGCCAGTCAGGTGCCTAATAATCGGTTGTCGGACAAACACCAAATTTAGTGATGTTCTGGCCTGGCTTGGCCCAAAAGCCATGGCTTTGGCCCGGCTTCAGACAGCTCTGGCTTGCCAAAAATCCAGGCCAGGCCAAAGCCGTGAAAGCCGGCTGGCTTTGGCCTGGCTCTGGCCCAAGCCGCGGCCCACACACTTTCTAAGATTGCGCTCCTGCAAACCCATCTCATATACAAAAACATCGACATGCTGAGAATTGATATGAGCACAGGCAGTTGTGAGCTATTACAGACACACCTTGTTGCTGTTCTCGGCACGATTGAGCATGACATATGTCGATGACCACCAAACCTTCATATCAAGAAGCAACTGGGTTGGAGGTACGACACCAGCCTTCTCTTGAACTTGTTTGTAGAGCTCCTTCCGTTTTGCCGATGAGCATTCCTATTAAATCGTTAGTCCGTTATAGCGGTGGTGAAGATGATAGATAGACCTTGACACAAATGGCGCAGACTAGTCCTATCTCATCGCGCTCATCCATCTTTGAAGTGTCAGGTTCGTGTGCCTTGGGATCATGTGGATTATAGTGTGGGGATTTACTATAGGTACTGAGTAAAGTTTGGGTTCCAAGATTTATGATGTGGGCTAGACAGCTACCCAAACTGTTAGATATGAAGTACAATATTATAAAGACTTACTTTATCTTCTGTTCACACCAAGGGAACACCTTTTCATATTGCTGATGGTATATCCGGGCAAAAGATCAGGTGAACACATCACATGTTGGATGAATATCGAAGCCAGAGAACGTTGTGTGGGATGTCCGTGGAGTGGACCTGCAACTCAGTAAATAGTGAATAATGATTAGCGTGACATATATTAGACAGACATTGTCGTGACGTTGAAGTCGAGTCTTGAAGCGACCATTGTGCTTGACATCAGGAACCAATTTGCGCTCATTCTATTTTTACACAAACATTTCCCACAAAGCCAAAATACTCTCAAAGCCGTGGCCTGAGCTGCTGGCTCCTGGCTTTTCAGAATCATGGGCTGGGCCAAAGCCCTGGTCAGGCCATGACTTTGGCCTGGCCTATATGGACCTGGCCTGGCCTGGCCCACGGCTTGAGGCCGGGCCGTGCACATCACTACACCAAATTGATGGAGGGTGATCAAGTCTTCATCGACCAGTTGAGCAATAGTTAGACTCTGTAGTGACTCAATAAAATATTATAATGCATTGTCAGGCAAACACCAAATTGATCAAGACTTTGTCTGATAGTCAGACCTAATAATTGGTTGTCGGACAAACACTGAATCTCAGGGTGATCCAACTAGCTGAGTGATAGACAATACTTGGTTTGATGGATGGGAAACTTTGCAGATATTTGTGTCAAAAAAGGCAGGCATGCATGTACTAGCTAGTAAGGACATTCAACTCGATAATCATTAACGTCGTATATTACAATCCTCGAGTCTACATACAATGGAAAACTACTTTCAAGCACAACCAGAACCCATGGTAAGTTGATTAGCGAAGTATCATGCTGCCTACTAAATGCTATTAGCCAAGCGCTCAACCGGAACCTGTTGTGCCAGTGATACCAGGACCTCTGATCATAAACAAATTGGCAATCGTACACATGCATAGTATTCGGATGTCACGCTAGACTGACATAGTTTTAGGTGATCTGAGATACCACCATAGCATTAGCAAGATATCGCCTCCAAAACTACCTTTCGATGTTGCCAATCAATCCTGTTCGCACTACAATGGAGGAGCGATGCTGGGTTACGTTGCTGGCACTTAAAAAGGAGCAAGAATTGCAGGAGAGTTTCAGGGAGCTAGAAAAAGCTTGGCGTGAGCTCGATGAAACAAAGAAGGTGTTAGGGATCAAAAGGAATTAGCGGCTGGACGAAGTTGAGAGGGTTTGGGGGATCGAAAGGAATCGGCAGGAGCATATATAGTCGGGAGGTGTCATTGACGAGAGGAACACCGAGCTTGATATATGTATTCTCAAGAACCTGCAGGAACATAGTAGGCCATGGGCAGGGAATTCGAACGAGAAATTTGCTCACGGAACCACAAAAAATGAGCCATGCCACTAAGTTGCTGTATGTATGTCATTGCTATTGGTAGGGTCTGTCAATGCCTTACCAACATCTACCATTCCTTGAATCACTGCACTTAGCCCTTAGAATTTGCAGTGGCGGTAAGAAACATTGATTCTCACCTGGCCTGATCAGATCAAATGCTCTGTCAAAATTGACCTCTTGCTCATAACTGGCATAGACTGATTGCAGATCTGTTTGTAGGTCCCGAGAATGACAAGAAATCTACAGCATGCGTCACATCAGTTGCTATCATCCCAGAGACCAATTTTACACACCTTGTGCAAGAGGTGGCAACATTTGAGGTGTGACAACGTTGGGCATCCTCTTCGCTGAAAATCCCTTGAATGGAGGTAGCTATCGTGAGGGTAGCTGAAAGTCCTCCTGTGAAGGTCAGATCGATGCCAGAGGAGAAGAATGAGTCGATGAACACTTGATAATCATCAATTACGAGCACCACCAAACATCAGTAAAAATACCTCCAGAGTCCCCCGCTAGGTGGAAATGATCACCAGTGAAGAGGACCAGGTGCTGGATCATAATCTTGCAGCTAGTGATATGCGGGCCCGGCTTGGGGGGCTTGGGCTTCGAAAAACCTCAGGCTGAGCCGTAAGCCCAAGCCGAGCCGTGGCTTGGGCTCAAGGCATTGTCTTTAGCCCATTTACGATATTTACCCCATGTACATACATTCTTTAGATATACATTGATGATAATAAGAAAACTTACAGTGAATCCAGCTTCAGTGTGACGGCGCAGTGTGGATATCTCGTTTATGATTATGCAATGTTAATGACACAGACACATGAAAGTGATGATGAGACAACGTACGGACAAACTTTGCACTTGCGGTGTTTTTTCACCATGCCATTGGTGCTAGTGCACTCAAAAAGTTTGCTGAAGAATTCATTGATATCAGGAGTCCTATCCCCACGTGTGGTACCAGACTCATCAGTGATGGGCTGCACGTCAATATCCATGAGAATCCCATCCTCATCGACATCTTCGTGGTCTTCAACAGTAGTTTTCTGATGGTGGACTCATTTGGCTGATGGTATTGAGTGAGCCATGTACATTCTCTTACATGAATAGATATAGACTTACATCTATGGTTTGTCTGTGCATTTTCGAGTTCCTCATCACTAGGTTCGTAGCCCTCTTTGATATCTTCAGTTCGTGTTCTTTTGTTGGCCAGTACAGGTGCAGGGACAGTGGCTTCAGGAGTAGGTGGACCTGGGGGCGGCTGGGTATTGTTGGAAGCATGCTTTGCGATCAACATGATGTGGTGGGTAAGCTCAATAGACAGACAGATTCGAGGGATAGGATGAAGTAGTAGCATCCTTGGTAAAAAGATGAGGGGAACATTACTGGTAAGATAAAATAAAGAGTGCTCACATGAAGACTTTGTACTAAGTGGGCGCTGAAGGGCCCCGATTGATAGTAAGAGGTTTTTGAGAACTCGCATCGACCTGTCGAATTAAGCATGATTAGCTTTGATTGTTTGAATCTGAACAACTTAAAGAAACACACCTCAGCCGCTCCAGAGACAGCTGGTCTGTTATCTTGCAACGATCTTGTACATGTGAAACACTAGTGGTTGTATATCAGCGCTGCTGCTGGTGGCAGCATGACAGTGTAGAGCATAACAACCATTGTCACTGCCATGGGTAAGCATACCTATTATTAAATTATCTGTATTCTTCCGATGATGACACAGTGCGAGGCACTGAGAATACATGAGTTCGGTCTGGCTCCCTTGTGCTGCCTTTCTACAAATAATCGATCTAGTTTTCATAGTCAAGAGAGTCACTATTACTACGCTCCTTGTCACAAGAATCAGATCTCAAGTCCAACTCAGAGTTAGACCCTTCACCATCCGAGTTAGACATACCCTGATCTTGGTCAAAATTAATTGTCTCCTCTTCAAGGTCCTCAGAATTTGCAGTAGTGTCAGCATCTTTGTGACTGGTATGTGTGTATGTGTGCCCAACTCCTAGCCCCCACTGAAAACGCATGAACATGTCATGGTCTATGAAACTAAGCTGTTGAGTCAGAGGTGCTTCATTAGACCAGAGGTAGGAAACGCACCGATTGATGTAATAAAACCTCCAGTCAGACTTATCCTGAGCACATTGGGAAACACTGCTGCCATCCAAATGTCGCAAGCCTTGAGCAAATTGCGGGATGAGATGGCAACATCTAAGGACGTCATCAGGGCTTACAAACCCAAACGTGTCTGGTTCTGCCATGGGAGGGAAGTAAACACGATCTAAAGATGTGCAACGGCTCGAGCCTTTATCGATATCTACGTATTGATACCAGCGCACCCATAGGAAGTTGATTCGTCACGAGTGATAGTCAATCATGCCAGGACCAATATAAGTGACATTGACGTGATAAATGCCAAGTACGCAAGTATATAAGTAAGGATGTTGTTTGACAACTGGGTCCTCACTGGTTTGGAGAAGCATGATATTGCAATGTGATGTCAATGGATTGATCAAGTCCTGCACCCAACGGACATCGTACATCGTGTAGTTAAGATGCAACAAATTATGTCTGTACATGCGATCAGCCTTTATAAAAATGTGGCCTTCTGAGTCTGAGATTGTTGCGGAAGCTCCTGGTACTGTAACAGCAGTGGAACTGTTGGTATGCGACAGACCATTTTTCCTTGTTAAGATCTGCTTCATCTTAGCCAGGAGAAAGGATTGAAGCTTGAGTGAAAAGTCCTGTTATTCAGAATCAGCATCGTGTTGCATTCAAGTTGTCTTCATAATTGGGTTGAACTCACTTTGATTGCAGGATTGCCCAGGTGCATTTGAAGGAATAGCGGAATGTTCTCGTAATAATTTTAAGATTTTCCGACATGGAAGCGAGCATCTGGCGATGTAGCAACTTCTTCATTGATCACTGTACCGTATGGCGACTGCCTGTCATGAATGTGATTTATATGGGCCTCACGCCATTCGATGCTGGCGATCTGTTTGACGAATTCTTTTCAGTCCGTTCAATGATACCTTGTCTTCGAGGTACGGTGTTCTAGCTCTCCCTATAATACACAAAAATTGTTTACATGACTGACAGTGCGATCACGGTGGTTCTACTTACTGGTTCAGTGCTATACGAGTCTGTGGTGCCGAATTTGCATATTGAGGCGGAATAATCGCCAATGGCGTGTAACTTGTACGTTTGAAGGTGAAAAGTCTTTGTTCGCCGAGACGTCTGATTTGTTGGCGTCATGGTCCTTGTCTCTTCATTGTTAACAACATGATGTAACTGCCGGTACTGGCGACATTCTGCTTCCCACTTTAGTTCCTGGGTATTGAATGCTACACAGGTATGTTTCTGAAAATGACGAAGCTGCTTTCCGAGTGTAACAGTGGCAGTGTCAGGAGGTCAAGGGTTTCGTCGGTGTGCATGCACAGTTTTGCAAGAGCATGCCAGTGTGCACAAGTACAAAGCAGGGTTAAAATATTTATATTGTGTGGCTCTGGAAGGAGGGCATCAAATACAGGGATGGCACACTGATTAGATAGACATGAGTCAATGAAATGGTTAAAAAGAATATAGAACACTACCTGAACAAGGTCTTCAAAGTCCCGAGCAGCCATCTTCTTCATTTCAGAAGCATTTGAAGCGAATTTTCGGATAGTGTCACGGCCAAAGGTAGGAGTGAGTCTGTAGCTTGTGTTTTCTGTCATTCAGACAACCTACATCAGGTTTATTCAAGAAAACATACCAACGATTGAGTTCATGCACCAATTCATCACCTGCACAAGCAGAACTAAGAATGCATTGTAGCACTCAGCCTCTGGCTGAGCTCACATTGGCCTATTTTGTTACACCTTTATTTACAGTCATTTCCTCTCAATAGGTTCGCACTTTTACTGCTTACCTAATCATGTTTCCCTTCACCTAGTACCCTGACACCTGCACTCCAAACCCCACACAGTTTCTACCGAATACTCACTGTTTTGCTATCCCAGTATGCCTGATGCCTCTGATAGGTAGTTACAGGCTGTAGTTTTGTCGAAAGCTCCTGGTATTAGATTCCCCACTTCCTACCTGCTGTCCAGGAATTACTATTTGCTGTGTTTGCATCACTTTCACTTTCCTCCTGAGCTCTGGCCTCATCAGAAGCCCTTGGGCTGAACATACTGCTCCCCTGTACTTGCCCAGCCCATATCTTTATTTTACAGCGTATCAGATGAATAAACAGCACTTTCCAGACACCAAGTTCAAACTCGTGCATGAGGTCTATGACCAACATGATGAAAAGATTGAAGCCGAGGCATCCAAGTCTCTCAGAAAATGTGTTCTGAAAGGTCTGTCAATACTCATACAAATTTAGTGAAGACAAAGCAAGCATACAGTGGTTGGGACCAATGAGTGCTCTTTCAATATGTTTTCAACAGCATTACTGCAAATGTCATAACCGAGATTATAAATGTGTGAGCGTGAGTGTGAGACCGAGACTTTACTTTGCCGGGTATTGTTGTCTGTTACGCACTCAAATAGATCTGTTAGGCGGAGCCCTAAGAGGGGCGTCGTCCGCTAACGTTCGTGATGTAACCAGAAGGATCCGGTATAGCAAGTGAGGCTGGCGACGATAAGTCGGCAGCGATCACAGTACGCGCATGTCACGTGACTTCGTAGACGGATGTCTATGGAGTCGCTCAAGGTCAGGACTATCTTGTCCGAACGATGAGGTCGATTGAGGTAGACTTAGTCGCGATGAGCGACTAAGAAAAGATACTAGAGACTGAAGCCAAAGGAGCGTTCAGAGAGAAGTATGTTCCAGGGAAGATTGAGTAGATTCAAGTTAGAGAATCTAGTACAGGATGACTGACTACTTATACTAAGTGGAGAGGGTTAAGGGCAAGGCTACCGCACAGTAGGTAAGGGTAAAGGGGAAACGAGAATGGTATAGGTGCGTTGGCAACAGAGCCGGATTAGTGATGGATGGTCGAATGTGGAATGAGACCGAGAAACGTTGGAACGGACCAACAGTACGAATACAACGTGCGGGAATCCGCAGTCAGAAGGAACAGAAAGGGAAAGCCACATTGGTGGCACGAGTCAGACCGAGTCATAGGTGCGGGACCACATTGGTGGTCGAATCAGGGGAGGAACGTGCGTGCACGTGCATAGAGGCGGATGATGCGAGGGACGGGAATGGTCCCGAGGATCCGGTCAACGGAAAGTCGGTAAAGGAGGACGAGCCGGTAGATGGTGAGGGTGAGGATGAAGGGAAAATGATAGGGGGGCCACGTGACCGATGTTACTTGTAACATTGTCCACATGCGCAAGGGTCTGGCATTGTTTCATATCGAGTGGCAAACCCAGATTCTGAATGCGGGATTTCGGGATGAGGCACTGAGGGCATAGACACCCACCAAGATTACATATTGTAGCCAGCAACGTTCTGATAATAGGATGGACAGCCATTTAGTTGACCTTATAAGCATGAGATGTCAGTCACTCACTTTTCTGGATAATCAGCAGAATACATGAAAATGCGAGGGTAAAAGCAATGCTCAATTCCGTCACAGCAGCATATCACAATGCCATGTTTGCAGGCTTCTACAAACTCGTCATCGAGCAGAATCTTCCACTGCTCGTGATAAAGTTCCCTATGGCAATGTGCAACAAAATCAGCACTGGGACCTTTCCCACCAAAATGTTTTGACGCAAAATCCTTGAAGCTATCCGGAAGCTTAAAGATAATCGATGCGTGAGTAGGAAAAGAAGATCAGGACGCCAGTGGGCACTTACATGGTTGAAGTAGGCGACATGACTACATAGATGACAAGAAGGCTTGCATCTTCTATACTTGGACTCATTTCCAAAAAACATGTAGCAAGGCCAAAGTTTGGAATTACCAAAGGAGGTCAGATGGGTCGCATCTGACCAAAACATAAGGGCGACAACAACGCGCTCTATATTGCACCCAGGCTCCGCTGAGGACTCTTGAACTTCACGGTGTGCCTGAATAAAAGCCTCGGAATTGTACAGTTCCCCATGAACACGAATGGGTCTGTCAGACCATCCGCAATTCCAGAATAGTTTGTAGGGCTGGTAATGAAATAATTTGTCGTGCTTTTCATTTGCAAGTCTTTCCTGGATGACAGACATGAGTGGTCGATGATAGAAATCAGTGGTAAGATAATTGTGGACACCTGGGTTATCTGCATGATTGTGAATAGGTATCTTAATATTGACCGCGGTCTTCTTCCACCCAGCACCTTCGAAGGGCATATCATTATGTGCCTCTACATCATTGGCACTAGATCCAAGTCGATGGTTGATCTCATTCCAGCGCATCGAACAGATGTCTTCAGACCAAAACTTGGCATCACCAATTATTTGTAGCAAATCCTTGAAACTCTTTTGTGACTTCTGGATACCCCCATTCCAAAACCAATCACCAAGGAGAAACAACGACTTGTTTGGATATGAATAGAAAGTATCCAGGACTTCCAGGCCGTCATGATGTGTTACATGAGCAGACATGCTGAGATCCTGACATTGCTGGTCTGGCTCAGAATGTGTCAGAGTGAGGTTTTCTAGAGTTGTAAGCTCTTCCGGGTCGTGAGTTGGCAGGCAATCATAATACCGATGTGAAAGCCCCAAATAAATTAGGAAGTGTGTGAAAGAAGTGACGTGTATGTGACAACAGTGCACTTATTTCTGAAGCGGGCAAGGGATCTGCAGCTGGTGACGGGGCAGGCTCAGCCAGGGATGAGGGTGGAGGTTGAGAGAGGATATCTCAAAACCTGTGTGGGAAGACGACAATTGAGGCATTGTGGGCGATGCTCAGCTAGTGATTGTGGGTCATCAACTGCATGCAAAGACTCTGGAGGCCTACATCCATCCTAACAGACCATTCAGGTATCAATAAGAACCATTTATATCTGACACTCACATTGCTTTCAATTTCGATGCCTGATCCTGGGAGTGCTGAACTGTACTCTTCTCCATTGAAAGTAGTCTGATCGGATGTGAATTTTGAGCCGGAAAATATATGGCCTAGCTGTGGGTGCACCCCGCTTTCTCCTGCTCGCGAGGTCCAAGTTTCTACATTATGATCAATGATGGGAGGAGCAGCTAAACCGTCTTGTTCGCCTTCTCTACACAGCTTTTTTCTTGTGGTCCATACCTCTTTGGCCTTTGCTAGTGCATTTGAAAGATACTTCTTCTGCTTTCTACATGTCCTTTGGTGGTTTGCGTACACATTGAGTTGAGCGAAGCTTCTTCCGCAAGTGCACTGACAACCACTGGCAGTCGAATATCCTGCCACATTCACAGAGGATGACGACTCGCAAGCTGATAATGATGCATCCATCTTTGGGTCTGAGGCTATGAAAACGCATTAAGTGATAATAGTGACATCACTATAGAGTGCCACACCTCTATTGAAGGGGTTTGTCAGCTATTTAGGATCAAGAGTTAAATCCCTAGATTGATTCAAGACTCGGTGAGGCTGTCTACCGGGGCTTCCGGCTGCAGTAGTGTTAGCTTCAAACCTAAAAGTTCAAACTGAACAGCACTCACCGACTGACCAGGTCAGTGCATGTCGGCTTCTATGTGCTGAGTGCATAGCATGACATCACGTTTATGTTTGTGCACAAGGGCCACCAGCGGAAGCACCCGCTTAAGGATCAAAGAAAACTTTGAACTGTCAATGTAAATGAAGACCTAGTACTAGATGTTTCGATTAGGAAATATACACAAACTAAACGGCACACATCGCATCATTGCGTAACTTGCGTTAAAACAATGCCTCAGCTGCTAAAGGCGTAGAATTACATAAAACCTCGACTGAGTAACAAGCTAGTACTCACATAATGGTATAAAAGCCTAAGGATGGCCCTCAGGCTATGTCCAGTTGTACAACACAATCTGCTGGCATACTATGGCTCCTGATCGCGTACAAACCCAGGCCAGCATTGCAGCTGACAGACCTCTTCAACGAGAGCACGGCGAGTGAAGCTTGCAGCCCAAGCCAGTAACAGGGAAAATGCCATGCTTGAATTAGATGAGACCAGAGAAAAGCTGAGCTTATGGCATTGGTATGTTAGCCAACTTACCAAGTACAAGATTGTCTTAAAGATCTTACCTTTTTTTGGATCCAGGCCACTAAACAACGATGGAGAACGTGTGGTTCCTTCCAATCTTGTAGCGCATCGAAGATCTCATCAGTTTTGAGGACCATGGTGTTTGTGTGCGTTGGGTGGTGACGACGATCCCAGTGACCACCATGAAGCAGTAATAATCATGTTAATGTGGGGAGCACATGTAAAAGAGTATGTTGCTCGTTGTGCATTGAGCAAATGCGGTTATATCGGTAGGTTGTCCTTGGCTGGATAGTTGCATCTTCAAGTGTCAATTCCGAATCATTGGTGTAGTCTTCATCGAAAAGATGCACAATTTGCCCAGATTACCCATCAAGTACTACCCAAGACGCAGTGAGATAAATACTGTCATGGTGATAAGTGTTAGTTACATGTACTGATATCTGATGACACAGGCTCTGACGAGGCCAGGCCGCATGAAATCGTATTTCTCGATGGAAATGGTACGTACTTGAACCAGTCAGGACTTTGCACAATAGATTAATACCATGGGATTTGTCTGGCCATAGATATCAGATTAGTAGATGTCCAAAGGAGCCAGCCTCGACAATGCGAAGCTCGCCAAGTCTTCGACAAACTTTTACAACTGGATTCCTTCTCCCAGCCCAGTCTCACAGAAGCTGAATTCCGTCATTTTCTCACGCGGTGCAACAGTTGTGAACTTGTCATGATGAGGCGAATGTTTGAACATCATGAATGTGTAGGAAACACAGAGAGAGGAAACAGGGAGGTTATTGATCTCACTACAGAAGATATTGATTAGTAGGATCATTAACTGATCTCAAAGATTAGTTAGACTTGGAGGTCCCATTGTGACGCTCGGACCCACACTGGGCAGGAACGAGTGTCTTTTGATACTCATGTCAAGGTCTATGGAAACTCATTGGATCCATGTCATTCCAGTCTTACTCTAGAAGTTCCTTCAGCCGATAGCCAACTGGCATACACCCGCACTCGGATCCATCCTCCATCCATGTCCTTTCCATGTCTGCCTATCTCCATTGGTGCGTGTTCATTTTCTCTCGGTTTGACTAAACACTATCAAGGGTTATTACATGTAACTGCGTATTCTGTTCCGTGTGCTCTCTCCTTACATATTACTTATCTGCCTCATTTCATTGCTACAGTTCTCACCTACATGTTCTGGATGCACATGCAGTAGGATACAGTCTCGCGCGCTACATACAGTACAGTACTTCCCTTCCCTTGGATGCTACCTTTGTTTTGTGGAGTCACTTAGACGTTCCTAGTATTATTGATCAATTGACAAGCTTTGTTCATTTCTCACTTCGAACCCACGTGTTCTTGACCGCTCCAAAAACGCGCCTCTAAGTTTCCTTACCTAGGCTCTGCGTGGATCTGAACCACTCTTGGTTTCTGACTTAGCATTTTCATACCTAGTTATACCTTGGCCTCAAACCTCGTCTATACCTAGCCACTACTTGCGGAACCGTGCTTTACCTAGAAACCCACCGCTCTTTACCTAGGATCCTCTTGCTTTCGTTCATTTCTCATCGCGCACTCACTGGACCTGCGGTCTTGCTTTCACTCTTACCAGTGGACTTGCTTTTCCAAGGTCGACTTAGTTCTTTTCTGTTCTGCGTTTGCTCCCTTCACATTATACTTGAAGGAAGTGCTTCATAGCAATCCTCTTGGGTCGAGACAGCACACCTGCACTCAGTAGGATTTATTAGTGCTCTAGCTTTCTTGCTGGCCAGTCACTATTGCTTCTTCACACTGTATATCATGTTCTAGTACTCATGGGACGTGATCATTCAGAAGATTGAGAGCAAAGCTTAAGAACTTGTATGATTTTAGGGCCTGTGCAAATTTCATATTTCCAATGCCACTGGTGAAACAAATAGTAGTAAGAAGGGGAGTGGCATATAACACATATATATAAATAATATATATCTTTCCAAGGCAAAATGGGCTAGCGTCCAGTACAACGTGTATAGAGCCATTCAAAAGGCATGGTAGAACATATATTCAGTATGAAGAAACAGATAGGGTACGCAACAAATCTCAAGGGGATGGCTCTGCATCTGATTCATCTAACATACTTGAAGTGTCGCTATCCACATCATCAAATGTCTTGCCTGCAAGGCCAGACACGCGCAACACACTGCATGAAACACCAACACTGATATCAGCTTTGCGCAGCCTTTGGCATGTGTGTTGGTCCATGAGATTGTATAGTTCGTGTTCAATCATTATTTGCTTCAGGTGTCTCTGGATAAGCCGGCTCTCTGTCTGATGCTCTGAGCACTGAGCACTGATAAGATGGACAGTGAGATTGCTATCACAAGTAGTCTCCCAGAACGGGGGAAGACAGAAGATATCCATCTATTTCAGTTATTAGTTGCATCACATGATATGTAATAATGTCACCCACATGCGGTGGCTCTTGCAACTCGGCTTCATGGGAGTGTGAAGGAAGACATGTGTCCTGAGGTCGTTGTGGGACGTTGGTATGCCAGGTGGTACAACGATTCAAGAAATCAGGTTTTGGGTCATTGGATTGAAGAATATGTGAGTTGACTTGATGACAATCAGGGATGATAGATGCAAGAACAGGCTGTAGCGTGGAGGACATAATGAATCAATGGAGAATTTCTTGTTGATTTTTACTGACTTGCTCAAGTACTACTAGATTGAACGGGTTATGCTGAAACTCGCACACGTACTTTATTCTGGGCTGCACTTTGATGCCTCCGAGTCAGATCTTCTGGCAGCCCTTCATTGAGTGAATCACTGGTCATATTTCTCAAACCCAGTACTTCAATCATCCATAATCTGATGGTCATTTGTCAGACACTCCACCCGCAAATGAGAATTGTCATTCAGGTGAACATTGAATCAACTGCAGGAACAAGAATAGTCAATTGATCTACTCCTTTAGCCTGACTTCTGAGGCCTCTGGCCCCCATTTATCAAATATTTGACCTTCTGCCAAACGAGAATTCTCATTTGGGTATTGAACACATGAAACATAATATATTCATTGACACAAAGCTGTCGACAATCCATACGAGAATTCTCGTTTGGGTATTGAACGCACAAAACGTAATTACAAAGCTGTCAACAACCCAAATGAGAATTCTTGTTTAGGTATTGAACACATGAAATGTAATATATTTACCAACACAAGGCTGTCAACAATTCAATGACTCCGCGAATATGGGTGAGTAGTCGCTGATTGATCAATCAATCATTCACGTGTTTGCCTTGAGTCCTCCCAAAACAGGTTGCACTAGAATTCGACTACTTGATTTAATGCTGATATTGGGATGACATTCTAGAAATTACTGTGTAATCGTAATTAACTTCGACGTAAAACACAAAATGAACAATACAGTAGGTGGAGGGTCTTAAAAGCTCGTCCAAAACGGCTAATCACCATTCTAACTCGTCATCTGAAAGATTATTGCTGACCTTTCTCCATAATGTCCTTGCAGGTTCGAATAGGCCACATTTACAGCCCTCCCACAGATGGGAATGATGCAGTTATATTCAACTGGTTTGGTCACTCAGTAGGCTCTCACCTTTTGACATGGTCTAGCTTACATGGATTATTCTAGCAACACACAGTTGAGACCCTTGAAGGGATTTTCTTCAAGGTAGCTCATGTATTACCTCCGCAAGAAGATGTGTCGACTCTAGCCATAGAGAACACATATAAATCTGTATACATAGTAAGTTACATCCGAGTCTGCCAATGTACTACTAAATTCCTCTACAGGATGTGCGCACGCAACCGAATCTAGTAGTACCCATAAGGGCTTCATTGAGGGTTTGGAGGTGTTTGTCGACTCTGTCATATCCTGTATTCTGGACCTACATCCAACAATGTTCCTACGCCTCATCCGGACCTCCGGATCCCCTGTCCATGTCCTTTATCTGTTCAGATGTCTATACGCCCGAATCCCTGTACCTTTGCATATCCACACATCTGGATCCGATATCCGGACACCTGATTTCATATCCACTTCTCAGGATCTCCGGATCCGACCTATGCTTCATATCCGAACCCAAACCTTAAATCAGCGCTCATCCCCTTATGGTAATCACCTGTTTCTGGACATCCAGTTATCCCTATAACCGACTGTGCTTTATTTTCCGTACCTGATTCATTTCCGTCTTCATTTTATTAAGTTCCAATGCACTAGTGTTAGGCATTCCACATGCTCCGTCCATAGCCTCACATAGCCTTGCACTGTGCTGACTGATTCTCCGTTATGTCCTCCATAGTATATAAACCCTGTAGAAACTCCTGTATTTCCTTAGTCTGAATATTACACATATTAGTCCTCGCACTAGATCTCACACTAAGTCCTCATACTAGTTCTAGTCCTCCGACTTAGTCAATATCCATATCAGGCCTAGGGAGGAATTCCCTAGGCTGGAGCTCTACTCCTCTGCTCCTCTGCTCCTACACTCCTCCAAGTTTCCGGAAGTTCCTCCGGAACTTTCCCATGGTCCTCTGGACCTATTCTGCTTCGGACTTTGTCCCTGCAGCCTTTCCTCTGTATCCATTCTACTCAGGATTCATCCTGAGTAGCCATTACACATATCTGTACCAGGATGAAACCTCATAGTAATTTCCGGAAGTTCCTCCGGAAGTTTCCCACACCCCTCCGGAAGTTTCTCGCACTCATCCAGATCCGGATGGTCCTTCCGGACTTTCCCATGCTCCTTCGGAAGTCCTATGGACTTCCTTGGACTTCCTCCAGATGTCATCTGCAATTAAGGGCACATACTCGGGTAAGGGGCGCAGCGCACGAGCTGAAGCCAAGCCCTTCGGAATCAGTCCTACCCTTTGTGCACGGTCTTAACAGACTCAGTGCTTACGTTTCTCTAGTCATTCACTGTCCCAAAAGGCTGGAAACAACTCTGGGTTTACACAGATGACGATCGCATCATGCGGCCTGTGATTCAAGTACGTACAAAAGATATTGATATTGTGCTAGGGATGAGCCGATGACTTTTGACAGAAAATTGTTGAGCCAGAGCGCAACATCGTCATCTCAGATCCTTGTGCCTCCCTCACTGGAACTCAGTTCACTGACAGTGGGTGTGGCGACACTGGGTTCAATGATGGGTTCAATGATGGGTTCAATGATATTGGATTTAATGACACATTTTTCGATGATTATTTCATGTCTGCTATGAGTTTGTTCAATGGTGATTGGGTAGGTACAGATACCACAGTGTTCGGGGTTGGATTCCCAATGCCTGCTGTGGATGTGCTGCCTTCAGCTCCTGCCCCAGCAATCATGGAGTTACCTTCCCCAGTTCCTGCTGCAGCAGGGATTGGGTCGGAATATGATCCAGTGTCTTGAGGCTTCCCCACCTTTCTTCTAACACCGATCACTGATATCACCTTGGCGAACACCGCTTTGGTGACACCGCACTATGTGCTTTGTGATCCGGATGTCTTTGCTGATGGTATCAAGTATGATGAGAAAAGCCTTCAGAAAAACTTTCCTGTCACCACTATCTGCATCTATGATGCCAAGATCCTCGCTGGGCAGCGCTTGAATACTCAAGGCATAAAAAGGACATTGTTTAATTCATTCTGCAAGGATGGCATCATGGAAATGGTGACAGTTGCAAAGCATGCCAGTCGGCCAGTAGAGAGAGGTGGGCATAAACACAAGTAGAATCTCTCTCGATTCGCTTACCTTTTCATAGGCATTAAGTGTCAGGAAACTGATGAGGTCAAACCCTTGAATATGGAGTGCAAACAGATTATTGACATTGTATGTTTCATTCTGTTGGAGTTTGGATGACTGTACTGATGCAGACCCTACAGATATACAAGGAATGGGACAGATTAGTCAGATCAGTAAAGGAGGTTTCTCTTTCTCTCACCAACAGCCCACGGAAAATACATCTGGATGGATTCAGATTGAACAACTATGATGCCAAGACGGTCATACCATACATCGCTCAACTTACCAGTCTGATGACCTGGAATGGTGAGGTAACATCCATTAGATTTACCTGTGCTTTAGGGGTATAGATCTCTTGTTGAACTCATATGAATGTGACATTGATGTGTATTCTATAGAAATATTATCGTCGATTGCCGATCCTAATAATTCTGGCACTTTGTATCTTGCAACCAATCAGATATCGCTACCATTCACTATTTCATATGTTTCCTATCCAGTATCAGAAACTTCCGGAGCACTTGATAGCTACTGCATGCGGCATGGTGCGTGACATCTGCGATTTTGAAAATTGAATTTCATTCCTTTCCACAGTATGTGATTTACTTTAGGTGTCGACTTCCCGGGCACCCATCCATCAACATTTCATCCACCGCATTGGAGAAAGAATCAGCATCCCAGCTGCAAATCCTCAGGACTGTCCGCCAGAATGCGAGCGTGGACTTGCAAGCCCAAGAGCTGAATTCATGGATCAACACTTGGGATGGCCTGAATGGCTGGCTGGAAGACCTGTAAATAGTTTCGATTCGATTTTTCAGTCATTCAGTCTCACATGTATTGTGCAGTTGACAAGCACTGGACTTGGTAAACAGACAGTGAGGCCCTAGGACTGAAGCTGAAGGCACGCAGACTTTGTCTTGATCGTTCTGTCATCATCGATCTTATCTTGGGCTTATGATCATGATGTCGTTATACATGTACTACCACTTGCATTTCAATCGCGCTGTTTATCGTGTTCAGGCACTTGTTGTGATAATAATGCTAAGAACTCTCGAAATCTAGAGTGAATGTTAACCGGAACTTCTGCACTAGATTACATGATTTGCAGCTTCGGAAATCGGCAATTTCCTTGCTTCAAGACTACACCTGGGAGCATCCTTTCAGCACTTCAGCAATCACTGAGCAACGCAACCGAAACTCCTCTGTTCATATCAAATGTCACTTGGCAGATCATTAGGGCAAAGACTTGAGTTACTCGCATACGACATTCCCTCAGCAGCAATTTTTCAAGTATTTACGCATCTTCATAATGTTGTCTTGTCTAACAATAAGGCTAGTCCCCACTCACATTTCTTTCACATATTTCACAAACCAAGTCACTATGGCAATGAATTCATCGCGAGCAAGAAGATGTGGCAAAGGCGATGCAGTCACTCACTCCAGTGGCAAGGTTACTGTCCCTTCTGTAGCTTATATCGCAACACTCGTGAGTTGGCACAACTTTTGACTCAGTGCCCTGACCATTAATTTATGAATCCCATATAGATCCATTTTCAATCAACCGACATTCAGCACTGGTGAAATTCTGTCCATTGGCATTATCGAACGTTCTATCGCATTTTTCTCGGTTCCGTATGTCTCTCCACGTGTGAGATGTTCACTTTAGTGCTCCGACTATACTAGTTCGTACTTCCATAATTGACTGTAAGTCACTATTTAAACTTAAACTCTTAAAACAGATTTCCAGTTGTTCACTCAAACTGCAGCAAACACTGCAGCCAAAAGCATTTAGAGTCCCAGTTATAGTGGGAGTTTTCATACTGCCTCACAGCTATTGAATGTGTCATGTCCGAGGACCAGCAATCTTGTGGCCAATGTCATAAACCGGTTGATGCCTTACAACTTGGGCCCAGGAAAAGGCCGTGGGTGACTTGATATTTTTGGGAAGCAATGCAGCTACTAATGATTACCATGGTATTACAGGAGTGCGACAGACCCATTGGTTCATTATGGTCGTCATTTCGGCCGAACCGTCCATGCTTTATGCAACTTCCAAGCCCTTCTTACAAATGGAATTTTACAGATGGGAGAGTTGGCCGACACTCCAGAAGAAATTTTCACCACCAAGTATTTTACTTTCCCCCAGAGTTATGTGCAGCTATTTATTCACATATGTATACCAAGGGAATGACGCGAACATCATATTTTCCAAGAGCTTCTGAAGTCTGTGGCAGGTCTGGAAGAACATTTGATGCAAAGCGAAGGCGGTGAAGACGAGGTTGATGTTGTTGCGGAGCTGGTAAGTATCACGTTGTCCTATGTCTTTCAGAGTTATCTATGTATCTCACATACCGTCAGCTCACCAAAGGCGCTGTGTGCGAGGAATGATAGCTAGATGAGAAGGGGTGTAATGGGAAGAAAGGGGGAAGTGGGGTGAAAACTCAAATAGACCTCTGGACGTGAGTATAGGTTTGGCCTGAGGGGATTGCTACTGAGAATGATTCCTCTAAGTAAAAGTGTGAGGGGAAACGTAGAAACTAATAAGGGTGACTGAGACTACAAGGGAAAGCCGAAAACTGAAAGCCAAAGCCGACGCAATGCAAGTGTGAGCGAGCCGCCGAAAATGCGATGTGATATACGTTTAGACAAAGCGCCAATAAGACGCGATCCAATGCGATGTGATGCGAGCGCAAGCGGCCATGATGTGACAAAACGCGAAAGTGCGCGGTTTAGCCGAAGGTGAATTGCGAAGAGATACTGAAGGTGCGAAGGCAGAACCGAGCGATGATGAGCGCCGAGAGAGTTGGATATTATAGCTATGTGAAGGCAAGACAATTGCCGCCGATAGAAGTGCGTGCGAGAGAGAGTACCGAAGATTTTAGACTTTTAGTCAGGACTTATGGCTTTTGCGTGTAAACGGGTGATAGATTCTGATGGGAGAGAGGAGTACATGAAAATTCTAAGTGTCCGATATATGTATGTGTGCATAAGCAATATTCAGAGCCGAGTAGGTAGCAAGATGTATGTAAATAGGGTCCATGACACATTTAATAAGAATATAATTGGAATAGCTTGGGAATTGTTGTTAGTCTAGTGGGAATCAAGTAATATACGCACCAATGAACCAGCGGAGGATATGGATAGGATGGACAGAGGACGTGTGACGGATCCGAAGAGAAGCCAATGTTAGCCGAAGCGCGCGCGAGAGCCGCGGCCGTTGGCCAACGATATAAGACATGCGTGCTATACCAATGGTAGCGTGTACTGCAATTAGGACCAGAGGGACAACACAAAAAGGCCTATATGAGGCCGCAAAGACTGTAGGTCTTACAGCGCATCTGGAGCAAGGGGTGATGACACTAAAAGTCTCAAAAGAAGTGTGCTCAATTGGATTACCCCGAAGGGACAAAGTCTCGTTCCTCCTCTTGCTCACAATGTGAAAATTGACCGTGGCTTTCATCATGAATGGACAGGCGTGTTACTTTGTCCTGCTGGCCTCGACTGGTCTAACTCCGAGTGCATGACATCTATTTCCTTAACGTAAATACTGATAGAATGCAGGACGAAAAACTAAACTAAAGAATGGCAAAATCATCATAACCGGAGACCAATGGCCGTTGTTCTTGTATGCAGACTATCATTATGATCCTGAGGATCCTTGGAACGGTCTATTTCGAAGCGCCTTGCTAGTTTGTGTATGATATACATTTTACGTTGCTTCCAAATTTCTTTGCACTCAACTAGACTCTTAGGCATATAAACACGTCTTTACGTCCCCCAGTTCTGTGGACAAAGAACCAAAGGTGACTCGTTCAGGTAATGCTCGGATCCATGGGATGACCCAAGTCACATTGCCCTCCATCGCATATATTGCAATGCAGGTCTGTTCGCACTTTGGATCCATACATTTCTACTAAATGAACATTCATTCCAGGTCTGATTCGCCCTCACTTCGTCACCTGTGTTTTTGCATACAGACACAGTTACTGACTCTGAAAGGTTCTATAATTCCATTTTAGATGTTTTTGAAGACTCGGATGAGAAGCAAGAAGTGGATGACCTTGCCATTTGGTGGAACAGGTGATTGATGCCTTGTTTTATTCCGCTGATTCGGATTCTCACGTTTTCTAGGCAAATTTTCCCTTCATACTCAACTGCTCAACGTCCTCTTGTGAAGAATAGTGCACTGGTGAGAATTCAGGAGAAGCAAGCATGAATGAAGGAGCTTTCAGTGACTGATGATAATGGGGGCAGTGTGTAGCATACCGTCGGCACATGATAGTTGATTGTACCTTACTGCTAGAGAATGTTCAGTAATCTTGCCACAACACATATGACTTGCTTGTGACACCAAGATTATGCCCAGCTTTCAGACTGAAAGTGAATCATAGTAAATACCTCATCTGTGTATATTTTTTATCAATTGTAGCAATTGAGGTGTTCATACTGTGATAATAGCATCTTGGTGAATTATGTTGTCAGTCTGTCACTACAGATTTAGTATGTATCATTTTGAGATTCTTGCTCCAAATTCACCAATGATCATGTTGCTGATCATAAGTGTATTTGTGGCCAGTACTTGTAAGAATAATAACATTTAGACATGCCTATGCAATACTAGTCTTTTGATGTCAATTTCATATGCTACATAAACATAAGCATTTATTATATACTTAGTCACTAGAGTTAACAGGGCATCACAATTGCGAAGCTTACCTGTTTTGCCTTCCAGATGTTCCCCTAAAATCCTTGTCACCACGATGATAATTGTGAGTTCAGTAAAGGTAAGCATCCATTAGATTTCAAGGGAGTATGGTCCACATATGTGTCATGATTGTAATACTAGATGTTATGTTAGCAATCTATGTTCCTTTGATGGCACCTCAACAAGTGATGTCTCATTCTTGTATATTTGGCAAGTTCTGCCATGTCTATTCTACAATGTAAGACTTAATGATGTGACCTATCATTGTTACACTTATTGTTTGTATTTTACTTAATATAATTATTTATATACCTATATCATTTCATCATTGAATGTCTGATGTAATGCCAACTTTTTTGTAGTAGTACCTCCATCAGGGAAGTGACATGAAAATGGTACAGTTTTGTCAAGCTTTACCTGATTTAAAATTTGTATAATATCTATCAAAATGGTAGTTCATTAGAAAATGCTTGACCCCCTCAAACATATGGCAGGGGCTACACTTTCCTTGATTTGTTTCATTCTGACGAGAACAGTGCATACCATGCAACAAATCATCATTACCCATTTAGTGGCCAGAAAGACTGGGAGGTTGCATCGAGTTATAGGTACCCTGTTATCACTCAGATGTTACTCGGCTCCATCAAACCCTGAGGAAACAAGGTATGGACATCCCTCACATAATTCACAAGGAAAGGACCCCAGACCAACCTATGATGTTCAGTTCAGTTTATTTGTGACAGCATCACCCAGCTGTATATAACCCTCAACGCATTCCTTCACCCATCCACATACTTCCCTTCCGCTCACATCCCTCCAAGCTTTCTTCTCTCCAAAACTTTTCCCTTTCTCTTGTCCTCTTTGCTATGTTAATATTGTTTCATCCTCATTATGTTGATGTATCTCCTTGTTGAATGTATAATTTTCAATATGAACTTTGTCTCTGTTACTCTTGATTTCTTGCAAGTTTACTCATTATTTGCAAAGTATGTTTAAGTTCTGTGATAGAACTCAAACAAACTTCATACTTATAGACTACCTAAATATGTACATGTAACTTTGTAATTGTCTGTGCTTATAGACTATCTCTCTCTGCACCCTTCAATGATGTGTAACCTCAATGCAGTTGGAATAAACACACGTTGGCAACTATCACACTTCTCCAAAAGACCATCAGCATCAAACACATCTATACCCCTACCAGCTGCAAGCTCATACAAGTGACCTGGCTCATTCGGAGACAGGATGGGGCCTTTCTCGACCATGGGTAAGTCAGGAGCATGTTTGGGAGGGGCTATGAGGGCATCAGGCTTAACATGTTGCATTTGGTGTTGCACTGGGTGATGCACACAGCCGAGCAACTGATCTCTCGCAGTGGGAAATACAGCTGTAGATAAATTTACATGAGTTAATGAAAGACAAATGAGTGAAAAAAAGCACCTGAATGATGACGCCGGTTATTATTACTATGACTAGGGATGGCAGAGACTGTACAAGACCGCGTTTGTGGAGGGTAAATGGACCAATGGGCACCAAGATAGTCTGTAAAGTATGGTGCAATTTCCGCATAACAGAGAGGTGAACTCAGCCGCTGAAGTTCAAACCTAGTTATCAAAACTGCAGTGTTGGTGGCAGCTAGACGCACTAAATAATGCAGATGAGCACTTTCACACAAACTGAAATGTACGATGTATGAGACCAATCCTCATAGGTAGAAATACGGTGTGTGATGTGACACATCTCATTGAGATTAACTGTGAACTGAGTAAGGTAGAGATAGAGGTTGTTGAAAAGTTCAAAGACTTACTGGAAAAACCGCACTTGTTACTGTGGAAACAACACACAGCTTTTGTAAAGCCATTTGCTGTCAATACAAAACAAATGGGAGTTGGGCATTCCTCCACAGCACCACAGAAGCGCTCCCAAGAAGTGTGCCTACATTGCAAAAATTGTGCAATACCTGAGGGTGTTACACAAGTTCTAGTTGTGTGGGAGACTGGACTGAAATGGATGAAATGTTAGCATGATATCTGAATAGGTTAAATCAGATGCACTAAGCAGTTTCAATGCACTGTTTCACATCATGTGAGTAAATGATGAGCTCCATACTGCTTCATTGGTAGTGACGACAAATCAAAACATCGAATCAGAAGCTGGCATGGTAAATGGTTGAAAAATGAGATGACAAGCAAAAGTAAAACTCATGCACCTTTTATAATGTGCCCCAGCTCAAGCCACTGGTCTCTTGGTCCACGTCCACATTGAGGTCGCTGTCCTGCTTTATTGCTTGTATATTGAAGTGAGAAGAGGTGAAAAATACAATTCAATGGTACTTACCTTTTTCTATCGTCTAGTGATCTTCGCTTCCAACAGACATTCTTGAAGCAAGGACGTCGTCCAATCGAATGGCTATGGAATACAATGGATGAACATAGAATGAGTTTTAGGCTGTCACAGTAGTTTGGGGAAAACCTTGTTTGAAAATGGCCCCAGCTGATCAGTCTGTTAAAACTCATTGAAAAGAGTTTTTTGATGGCTTGAGGGTATGGTCATAGAGTCGCCAAGTAAAAAAAGTGTGCTAAGCGCTCTGTGAGTGGTGGAGAGAATCGGAAAAGTTAAACTGCGTGACAAACAGTTTACACATCAAGACCTAAACAGAAGTTCCCCCTGAATGGTGAAGACGCATAGAGTACGAGAGTGCGTGATATATACCTTCAACCATGCCACTAGATGCACCCCAATGGATCTCTCAGAAGATCAATGTCTTGCTGTCCAATGTGCCCAATCCATCCTTAGCGATGCTGGACTGTCAGCGTCTGATCTCGATTACTCACCAACTACTAGCACCTGATCCTTGACCCCTACAACTTCGAACACATCTCCTGCCGCATCGTGCTTCGCCCCGTTGTAGAAACTCATGCCTCTCCTTGTGCAATATTGCAGTTTTCACCAAGGAGTATACAGCATGAACTTGTAGCATCACTCTGTATGCTTCCTACAGCTATTCCTACATGAGGCGCAGCTTTCCCGTGCAATGTGCGCGATGCTTCCCGCGCTTCAAAATGTATATGCGTGCGAGCTTTCCCGCGCTTGAGCGCCCTATAGCGCCAGCCATCCAGAAGCATCCATCCACTGTCCACCAAGTTCCCTAGTGCGTATATTTCCATTTCTCACATTTGCATATCGTTCCATCTTTATTTTTATCATGGACCCTTACTTACATATATCCTTACATACCTTACTCAGTAGCGCTTCGGCTCCGCATGACAGCGCTTAGGCGCCATACTTAAGCGCCAGCAGTACATACTATTACTCACTTACTCAACCACCAAGAACGACAGAGGACTGAACCACAACAATACCCATTTACTACCCAGCAGAGCATAGTTGAAATCTATTCCTTGGCACCTCACATATAACATCTCTCAGCTTGCATCTCGCACCTCTTGTCAAGTGTCTAATCATCACTTAAGCAAACTCACTCTTACTCTCTCTTGTTTCCGCATACACGCGCGCGCATTCTCGCACCTCGCACGCACCTGCGCTTTCCCGCGCTTTGCATTCGCCAACCAGTAGCGCCTTCGGTGCCTACTACTAGATCCTTGCTGCACTTGCTTCCCTTTTAGGGTCGAATGCACTTGTCGTCTCAAGTATAGCAGACTAGGCAACGCGCGACCTTACCACACTTATAGATACAGTCAGGAGCATTGTTCGTCCCTCGCTGTATCGTTGAACCTTCACCATTACCCAGCACTGAGCCCTCCCCAATTGTTCAAGCTTCCAACTACATTCCACCGCCTGCGCATCACTTCACTGCAGATGAAATCTCACAAAATGCTCACCATGTCAACTGGCAGACAACTGTTGATGCCATAGTCAAACATCCTTTCGGGGCAATCATAGAGTACCCTGAAACTGGATCAGTCATGGGACAAGCAATCGCACACATTTTCCCAATATCTGCGAACTGCATTACTCATGGGTTTGACAATCCTAAAGCTTCATTTCAGTACTTGTTGGGTGACGGACATGGAGGCCAGAAGAACATTCTCTGCCATTTGCTTTCAGATAGCACTGATGGCAAACCAGTTAAGTGCAACAGGATTTCAACATCTTGTAAGTTTCAAATTCATCAATCTATGCCTGATGTCAGTTGACACTCAGCAATATGCTTAGGTAAGGGCCTGAAGGTATGTTCCTCCAACACTGATGCATTCATCAATGCTACCCATTCATACACCCACCGGGCACACATCAGTGAACTTATCACTCCTACCAGAGCATTTTCTCCTGCTGATGATACAGCAGAACATGAAGTTTTCACCAAGACTTTTTGCATTTTTCTGCACACTTAAGGTACACGGCTGTGCTTTCTGTACCAGCACTGAGTTCACAGATTTCAACTTCAAGAATGACTTGAATGATTCAAACATCGACCCCAACGACTATGAACGTACTCTTGTGACTCCCACTGTATCCTTGTGCTCTCCGACATCTTATTCAGGCAACCTTATCATGCGCACTGATAAATACAATCAATGATTCATCCAGTCAGTAATTATATTGTCGCCATCATTCTAATATTCACTAATCCAATCACCGCGGCTGTAGATGTGAACATTGTTCACCCACTGACCGGGCACATCTCATCCTTTGGAACCTTCAAGAATTCAACATCAACTATCTTGAAGCATTGCTCACCCATGATATCGCAGCAATTGCTACTCATGAAGAATGTGCAGAGTGTTGTGGTTACGGACCCCTAGTGCCTTGCAATTTTGTTGCTTTGCCAGTTGAGCACAAGCAAACTTGTGGTGGGTCATTTTTTCAAAATCCCTGCCTCTCAGCTGATGTCATGTTTATGCAGCTCGTTGGCACAGGAACTCAGCTGGCATCTTGGAATGTGGTTGTCTCCTCAAATGGGAGCACAACTGCCAGTCAAAATTTGATATATTTGTCCCTGTCGACCTCATCGCTGTACCCCATATCGTGGTTGTGTGTTGCAACCCACACTCTCACCTGCCACCCACTCCAGTCAAAACACCACTTCCACTCGTTGATTTGTTCAGGTCGCTGCTAATGGATATGGATTGGGAGCTTGCCGATGCAACTCCGAGACAAATTCTATGTGACTCTGGATTCATGTGGGGGCTACATATGGCTTTGGGTTGGACACTGGACCACAGTCCAACTCTTGCTGACCTTCACCCATCTCTAGCGAATCTCGATGTAGCACTCGAGCTCGTGCTGAGTACATATTCTCTTATTTCTCGGTACATGTCCAATGCCCGTCATGCACTAATCACTTCCCAATGCTAACCCGCTCAACCCGATGCTAACCCGACACTTTGACTAGTGGACCCGATGTTTTGGCCGCATTGGACCTGATATTTTCCCATGCACTTGTCCTATCCGTGTCCCATCCTGTCTTGCTAGCCCCACTAGGTGTGTAGTTGATTATTTCGCACATTACTCACATCGTAGCCAGTGCTATTACATGTTTTCCCATCATCTGCAGTACCTTGTGTTTATTTACATGTACTTCGGACCTGAAATCATCGGCCGCTACTTTTGCCTACAGGTTTCCAGATTTCTATGTACTTACATATATATTGGACTGACCTCGAGTATTTTTATGATCCAAGTAGTAGGGAGCCATTTCCCAATACATAGTGGTCAAACCCGATATTTCGTAGTTCTTAGTTGACATTGCGAATATTACCACTCTTTCTATCTGAAATACCCATCATTATCATTAATCCGCATACCGCTTGCTTTTCCGACACTCACTATCGCGATTCCTGCTAACCCGCTAAACCTGAACCCAAAACCTGCAAACCCAAAACCTGAAAACATCGGACCCGACACTTTGGCATCAGACATCGTAGATATAGAGCCTCAAGAAGCATCACTTGTCAAGGTATAGATCTTCATCTATGTCATTTACCCATTGTGTTGACAGCATCTTAGCCCTTTCACAGTGCCGTTGTAGCACTCGAGCTCGCGCTAGGCTCGTATCCAGCTATTTTCTGATACATGTCAAACATCTGAATCACTTCCCAATGTTATCCGAGACTCATCCACTCAAATCCAACGCTAACCCGCTCAATCTGATGTTTATCTGCTAAACCCGACGCTAATCCAATGGACCCGACATTTCCCGCGCATCGGACCCAATATTTTCCCACACATTTGTCCTCCCTATGTCCTGTCCTGTCGTATCTATCCCCACTAGGTGCACAGGTATTCATTTTCACGTCGCTAACATTGTAGAACACATTATTACATGTCCGCAGTACATCGTGTCTTATTACATAGGACATTGGACCCGAAAATCAGCGCTACTACTTTCGCCTATAGCACTCCGAAATTCTACATAGACACTATATATTTCGCATACCTCCTACCTATTTACTTTACCTTTCTACCTCTGAGTAGGAGGAGGTCATCCAATATTTGTAGTTCTTAGTTGGATTCTGCAATATCATCCATTCTTTATCCGAAACACTCCGAAACATCTGACAGTAACCCGCCATTCGCTATCCCCGACATTTGCTATATTCCCAAGGCAAACCCGACGCTAACCTGACGCAACCCGAGGCAAACCCACTAACCCAAAACCTAAAAACATCGGACTCGTAATTATACCTTCGGACTTTGTTTCCCATGCTTCGGGCTATCTTCCTTTTGTTATAACTGATTATTCTAATACCATACAGTAAACCCCTCGGGTCGAACACACTTGTCTTGCAAGTATAGCAGACTAGGCTGTGCACGACCACAACACATTTTTTATATTGCTGGCTACTTACTTTGTGTAGTGTCCAGCAATTGTTGTATCTCTACACCGTCGTGTCACTCAACATCTAGTGACACAACCTGCAGGTAATGGACACCAGAACCATGGTTCTCATGCTATGCATGTGCCATCACAGCAACCAGCACCCAGAAGAATCCTACCCATCACGCCAGTACCATCCTACTCGCTTTTCGATGCTCTTCAACCAGATGTCAAAGGTGTTCTGGAGCTGTGCCCATGGCAACAACATTCTGTACATCCGCTGACACACGATCATCTGCAAGAACACTATTCTAGCAGCTATGTTAGTGACCTCGAGTATGCCCTCACACTTGGAGCTGGTATCATTGATTATTTCCCTCCCCCATCTCGACGATGGCACTAACCTATACACTTTCATCACTATTTACCAGGACTATCTATACCCAGTCATGATATCCCTGACACTTCAATACTCTTTGCTTCGAAATAACCAAAGTAAACTCCATTAATTCTGTTGTCAAGTCTTTCTAGATAATCCACTCAACTCTTTGCTTCAAAATAACCAAAGTAAACTCCATTAATGCTGTCGTCAAGTCTTTCTAGATAATCCGCTCATCTCTTTGCTTCAAAATAACCAAAGTAAACTCCATTAATGCTGTCATCAAGTCTTTCTAGATAATCTGCTCAAGCTCGTTCATACCGACTCCATTCTTCCATCCCTCCCTAGTATCTCACTCCATGGGCGTAATACTCAGCTCCCTTCTCCCATATAGCCCAGATTTGATGTCGACAAGGTGTCTCTGCACAAGCCTAAGCAGAGTAGCGACTGTTTAATGGCACTACCTCCACTTCCCTCACCGCTTCTTTGTTATATTTTATTTTTTCAACTACTAGTCTGCTACTAATCTTAGTGTACACCTACCAACCCTCCAGGTCAACCAGGAAACTTCTTGCAGCTACTACCAGGGCAGCAGAGGCCCAGCGGCCCTCCAAGACCAAATGGTGCTGCACCTCCATTCCAATCCCCCACGATGTCTCACTCTCTCCATATTACAGGAGGCAAAGCTGGCTCTGGACCACCATAAAACCCATACCCACTGTGCAGGTCTCACTATAGACGATTCCAGGGGAGTGCTGATGTAGAATAGAACAGCCAATCCATGTATTATTGTGCCAGATACAAAATATAACAAAGTGTGCATTGAAAATTCTGCGTCCGACAAGGAGATACATCAACATAACGAGGATAAAACAATGTTATCATAGCAAAGAGGACAAGAGGAAGGTAAAAGTTTTGGAGAGAAGGGAGCTTGGAGGGACATGGGTGGAAGGGAAGTGGATGGGTGAAGGAATGCATTGAGGGTCATATACAGTTGGGTGATGCCGTCACAAATAAACTGAACCAAACATCATAGGTCGGTCTGGGGTCCTTTCCTTGTGAATTATGTGAGGGATGTCCATACCTTGTTTCCTCAGGGTTTGATGGAGTCAAGTAACGTCTGAGTGATAACAGGGTACTGGAAACCCATTGCATCCTGGTTACTGCATTCAGGGTTGAGCATGGCGAAGATCAACAACTTTCTTTCACTCAAGATGGTTAGTTTTAAACTTTTTCATTGCATTCACAGTTCTGACAAGTGTTTCGTTAAGATCAAGAGTCTTCTATTGTCCTTTCATTCAACCAAGGAACTACATGGTCGAGCCAAAATGCTACCTAGTGGTCCCTGCTGGTTGTCCCAAACAATCCCTACTGCACATCTGACGAAATTGCCTGTCGTTTTGTATTGGTGCGATCCTCTGGATTGCATCACAAGCATTTTAAGTCACCCTTTCTTTCATGATCACATAGATTTTACGCCTCGCAGGGTATATACTACTGTGCAGTGACTGTGTCATGTGTACTCTAAATGGATGACTGGTGATGATGTGTGGAACATGCAGGTGGGGTTTTCTTTCTTTTTGTGAGTTGCTGTACTTACTTGTTTTCAAAAGTCAGCCCTGACAAGAGGTGCAATGCTCCTTGGGACAATTTTGTTATCTGACAAGACCAATATTTCTATGATGACGGGAAACAGAGTTGCACATCCCTTCCTTATCAGTCTCACTAATATACACATGTCCACATGGTAAGTCATCATCTAATGCCTTTGTTCTTACCGCCCTCCTCCCCATACCAAAATTTATTTAATAAAAAAAATGTATGCAAGGTGTACTTGAGGGCTGCCTAATTCATGAGTGCTTGAATATTGTGCTACGTCCCCTCAAGTAAGCTGCTCGTAAAGGAGTCATATTGTCTGATCCTGTTGGACACAGTCGATACTGTTTCACACCACTTGCAAGCTATATTGTCGACACTCTGGAGGCCATGATGCTGGCTACTGTTGGTGGGGAAACCTCCCCAGTCACTATGGCCATGTACAAGCAGTTCAGAGACAGTTTCCGCCATGAGCCTCGCACCAAATCAACTATGCTAGCCCAGCTATGTGTCATCTGGACAAGGGCGGATCCTGGTGATATTGAAGTGTTCTTTCGTGAAGCTCAGAAATTTTGCTTAAATGGCGTATCTGAACCATTCTTTGAGGACTGGGTACTTTCTGATCCATCCCATTTTTTCACTCCTGAGACGCTCCACCACGTCCATCGAGAATTCTATGACCACAATGTGAAGTGGCTCATTTGTGTAGTTGGGGATGCCAAGCTTGATTTTTACTTTTCTGTGATGCAGCCCATCACAGGGTTTTGCCATTTTCATGGCAGTGTTTTGAAGTTCAAACAGGTTACAGGGCATGCTCAGCGTGACATCCAGCGCTCGATCATTGCAGTTAGTGCAGATGCAGCACCTAGTGCCATGATCACTGCCATCCAAGCTCTAATGGACTTTCATTACCTCATGCAGTCACCTTGGATTAACGACATCAATCTCAAGTGCATTTCTGCAGCGCTCGACGAATTTCATGCCAACAGGAGTGCAATTCTTGCTGGTGGTTTTCATTGCAGTCAGTGCGGTGGAGTCATCGATAACTGGTATATCCTGAAGATTGAGCTTATGCAGAGCATAGTTCCAAGTATCCGAAACAGTGGAGTTATCATGCAATGGACTGCTAATACTACAGAACATGCACACATCACCAAAATCAAGGATCCCATGTGCTCGAGCAATAACAACAATTACGATTCACAGATATCTGTCGTCATCTAGACCACACTGATAAATGCCATCACTTTGAACTTGCCATGAGTCTGCTGGACAATATGTCAGGCTTGAAGCAGCAGGTTGATACCAATCTTGATGATGATGACATTGATTTTGATGACAACAACAACAACAACAACAACAACAACAACAACAATAACGATTATGACATCCCAGCAGAGCTTCTGGCGACCATTGAATGTCCTGACTATTTGCGTCCCATCACCAATCACTTTGCAATTGCAAAGCTCCTCCAGCACAGGGAGGTGGGAACAGTTCCTGTGCCATTGTGCTCATTCTCTATTGGATGCACATCATTTCATCTTGCCTATGCCTCATCCATCAGAGCCATTTCTATTGACGATACTGCTCTCATGTTTGGCCTTCCTAACCTATGACCAGCCATCACTGACTTTCTTGGTTATGAAACTGCTCAGGGGCAGGATTTTGTTCACACCATTGGAGGGGCTAGAAAAGCTGGACCCACTGCTTTACTTCCATTCGAAAAGCTCCAAGTCTGGTTCAAGCTTCGATTGCAGAATACTGATTTTCATGATATTGGTATCATATGGCCAGCCCAGACCCTTAATTTTTCACCACCTTCTGGCATCTGGACCTGTGGCCGGTATGATCTGGTCATTGTTAATAACGATGCAGGATGCTCATGGCCCATTGATGGTCTTTGTGGTATGTTTTACTCTCCTGCCATGCTAACTATTTTCATTTTCATATATTAGGGCACACTGTTGGTGAAATCAGGCTAATTCTGCATCCTGTTGGCAAGGCTCACACAAACTGGTCATGGAAGGACTGCTTCCTTGCCTATGTGTATTGCTTCGACTTTGTTCCGCAAAGCAGAGGTGATCATGAGCTGAGCACACAAATGCATGTATATACTCAAACGAGCAACACATTCAAATGGTACTCTAGTGGGTGATATCATACCAGTTACGCAGCTTAGGACACCTGTCAACCTTGTACCTTGCTTTGGCGCAAGTGCGGACAATTGGCTCGCCCCATATAACAGTATGAAACATGCTTCAGAATTTTGGCTTAATAAATACTGGGACAAAAACATATTCTTTCCTCTTTTTATGAAGTTTTTGTAGATCATTTTTTGACTTCATGCCCTATTCTGAGTATGATAATCGCCATTGGCCTGTTTTATTATTAGTTTACTTGCAACATTGAGCTCCATTCCCAATAGGGGTGCTATGTGGCACATGATAAGCATTGTCTCACTTGATCCCACCATTGTCACTCAAAAAATAGCATTCTTTTTCAGGACTGTTAACAATGTAATTAAGCTTTCCTCCTTACTGTTCATCTCCGACATCAGCAATGTTCATACCATGAACAAGATCACCTCTGACAAAATAAATTGTTTGGTAACACACGAGGATGCACCAGAGGTGTCGCAACCACTAGGACACTTACTATCTCACATCTTCAAGCCTTTCAAAGTTCCTCTCCCTGATGTATCTGAGCTCAAAATTCCCCTAAAAAATCATCTATCTCCACCAACGTATCAGATCACAATACTATGACTTATTGTCTGATCCTATTGTACTGCTGTATGACACTGCAATGAGTACTTGGAACTGGAATCTTCCAGTTGACCCTCCTAGAGATGACTCGGACTCAGACACCAGTGGGACTCCGGTGAGCCTAGACCTAGAGGCTGCAGAGAGTGTAACTTACAAAGAAATTATTGCATCTTTTATCAACACTTTCCAAAGACATCCACACTTATCATCCAATCAAGAACTTGCCTGCCTGACGCAGCAGTTTAACAGATTCTGTTGTATCTACCTCTGATTCCCTCGTTCAACTGTCTGATTCAGAGGGCCTGTCGTCTGGCAATTATCTCGAGTCCATAGCATCTGATAGCTTTTATTCTGAGGAACACTTGAATGAGGATGGGAGCTCAGACTTTACTACATCCATACAGGAAGAAGAATCCCCCCTCCCCCTCTCCAGTGCATCCCACTCCAATGTCCAGTAACCTCCTTCTCTGCCTTGCATCCCAAATTCCCCAGGAATTGACTGAGAGCATATCTTCCATCACACCTCATCCTTCCCAATTTCCCTACTCTACACACTCACCCAAACCTTGCGGCAAGATCTGTGTAGGGGATACCATGTATATTATCAAGAAAATTATTTCTGTGACCTGGGGCCTTGTTGGTTGTGGAAGCATCTGCTATCTGGTCAGTTTGGACAGAGAAGACTATATTGTCAAGGACCATTGGGTCCTCAGCAACCATAATGATGTTATTTTGAACGAGATTGAGATATTACAACTGATGCATAGTGTCCCTGGCATTCCAGAGCTAGTAGATTATTCACTCATCATGACATCAGAGGGTGAGGTTGATAATACTCAATGTTATTGCAAATGGGAACATCAGAGTACCCAGGGCACCAGCTACACTCATGTCTGCCTTGTGTTAAAACTGTGTGCTTGCCCCCTCCATATGTTTCATATGCTGAAAGAGTTAGTGAGAGTGTTGAGGGATATTGTGATCAGTAAGTGTCTAGTTGAGTTATACAAGAGCGTTAAACTGATGTCTCCTCCTTTAGTCCAGAAATCAGTGGTGGAGGAACGCAAGATTCTGTATTGCAATTGCAGTCTGAATAATACAATAATCCTAGATGATTTTGACATCAGCAAGGGGTTTCTTATTGACTGGGAATTTGCAGTATGCATTACTACAGATAATAAATATCTCATTGGTGGTACAGTAAGTACATTCCCTTCATGTTGAGTTCACAAATTGATTCTCTTTCTAGGGCACAGTCCCCTTTATGTCATTGTGGGCTTCTCAGTCATATTTCACTGTTGCAGCAACAGGTGAAGGCGGAAGCTGAGAATAAATAGCAGGCAAAAGTGCACAAACCAAGATTGAAAACCCTAGCTCCAAAAACACCAACCTTTAAGGACCTTGAGAAGAACCAGGCACAGGATGCAGAGATAGCCAAACTCAAAGCCCAGAACTCTCCTTTCCTACTACTTCTATCGCAATAATTCAAATGTCAATACCTGCACAGCATGCAGTCCCCACACTATATCACTCAGCACTGCAAATGTTCAATCCTAACGTACCAGTATTGACACTCTCCCCAGCATCATTGCAGTCAATGTTCAACATGGGGCCATTTATGGCATCACGAGGTGGACCTTCAGCATACAATGGAGCCAGAGGAGCATTCTCTTTATACACACTGCTCACAAGAGCACAGATACTAGAAAGAATGGCACTGGTACTGCAGAGACCCAATACAGAAGTAGGAATGTGTCAATATGAAGCCGATGTAGACCTATGGTATTGTACATATGGCACAGATGGGATGACAATCCTAGATTGCCCATACCTGCTAAGGCCAGGAACTGCATTAGTGGGCTCTGGAGAATGTTATAACTGTGGGATGGTTACAGACATAAGCCATCTGAGCTTGCAATGCATGATGACAAGTCTGTTGCGTCCACACGAGACTAAATAGTGACAACAAGTGGCAGGAATGTTACGGCGTGTGATGCTGCAGCAAGGAACACGGACCCCATATGCCACCCCAGTCCAATATGTCATGCTAGCAAACCTTCCACCATACTAATTGTACAGTAACCCTTATGTGCAGCCAGTATATCATGACATCCTGCAGGACAAACAAGGATGGGGAGAACAGAATGATGCATGGGGAACATAGGAACCAGGGTATGACTGGGAGTCGTAAAATTATGGGGGGACACTACAAACACCAGACCAGCAGTAGTCCCACAGATATCAAGTCCGCATTTCAATTCATTGCATGAACTGCAGTTAAACTCTTATATTTCCTCTATATCTCAAGCAGAAGCACAAGAAGTGCTTAGCACTGTACATACTATGGACACACTTGCTACTTCTACTGAATCACCCTCTCTTATCTCTAAGGCTAATATGTTACCAGTTAGCACCTTTTCACTTTCAGATTCCTTCTTCTCTTCAAATATGGACACAGAAGCACCAGTAGATGAACCACAGTCTATTACAAGCCTGGTTGTACCTTTCTCTATACTTGATAATCATATCACTGATGTTTATTTGATGGACACATCAGGAAAAACAATCTGAGATCAAATCAGTAATCCATTTCTAACAGTACCTCAATTATATGGACCATGAGGGGAGAAAGTGTGGATTCTGGCCATTGTCGACAATGGGGCCATGATCAATGCCATTGACACAGCATATCAGAGAATCGTGCGAAGACTAACACCACCAAGTCCATCTGCCAGAACACTTCGCATGGCTGACAGTTCCCTAGTACCATTAACAGGTATATGGACAGGAACAGTTTCGTGGGGACCCATTAATGTACATACATCCTTTGAAGTTTTCCCTAGCGGAGGATCCTGGCACATGCTAATTGGCAAACCACTGTTAGAGCAAGTCCACGCAATTCAAGACTATGGCAATGACACCATAATGCTCCCACATGGTAACAGTTTCTATTGAGTGTTGAACTTTATAACATACTGCCCATTACCAACCCCATGTTTACCTTCAGCTATCTGATTCCCATCTGTCACTAATTTCATTCAGATGTCAACACTTTCTTTAGACTCTAATTTAAAAGACTCAAATAATACTAACACTTCACACATACAAACTATAGCAGATACATATCAAATAGCAACTAATACTAATCCTCCTAATCATCCAGTCACAGATTCAGCCACAGAGGAGAAGATATGTCCAATCCTCAAAGTCGAAGACCTGGAACAACTGATACATATAGGTGAAGTGCCAGATCTTTCATCTTCAGTGCTACCGAGTAATATATTCACTAGATTAATGAAATGTGGACCCTTTTGAGCAGCAAGAGTGGAAGCCATAGTAAATCTGGTTCAGTGTAAGACCTATGGTCTTTGTGGCCTTGTATAGGCCATTTTTGTGTCATCCCTCAGGTCCTAATACAGTGTGCACTACCATTGGTATAGTGCACAAGCATTCCATCATCAGCTGACAGCCGTGGCTCTCGTGCGCACTTCAGCTAGTGTCAGCTTCTCTTTGGATCCGTTGCGTATCCATATTCTCCACTGGTTCATTGGTGCGTATATTACTCAATTCATACTAGACTGACAATATTTCCCAAGCTATTTCGTTTACATTCTCATTAAATGTGTCATGGACCCTACTTACATACTTCTTGCTACCTACTCAGTTCCGAATATTGCTTAGGTGTGCATACATATCTCCAGTACTTAGAATTTTCATGTAACTTCTCCCTCCCATCAAAATTTATCACCTGTTTGCATGCAACTAAGTCTTGGACTAAGAATCTAAAAATCTCCAGCACACTCTCACATGCACATCTCTATTGGTGGCAATCATCATATATTCACATGTTTATATCACCTAACACTCTCAGCTCTTATCATTGCTCGGCCCTGCCCTTGCATTTTCAGTTCTTCTTTCGCATTCCACCTTCGGCTTAACTACACATTTTCGTGTTTTGTCGTGTTGCGGCCACTCGTGCTTGCACCACATCACATCTTATTGGTGCTTCATCCGCACCCATATCACATTATACTATCAGTGGCTCACTTGTGCTCGCATTGCATCAGTTTTCGCATTTCCTCTATTCTCAGTTACCCTGACTAGTTTCTAAGTTTCCCCTCACACTTTTACTTAGAGGAATCATTCTCAGTAGCAATCCCCTTGGGCTGAATCTATACTTGCATCCAGAGGTCTATTTGAGTTTTACCCTACTTCCCCCTTTCTCTCTATTTCACCCCTTCTCATCTAGCTATCATTCCTCACACACATCGGTATGGAACTCAACTCATGGAAGATCAGTGGGACAAGGCACAGACACTAATAGCAGAATTTGTGGATGTCTTCATACTATCAGTGTGAGAGGTAAAGCCAGTAGACTTTATCAAGTTTCATTTACAGATCCCACCAGGTACAACCTTTGCCAAGAAGATACAGCAAAGACCTCTGACAAAGCCACAACATGAATATCTATTCCCAGTACTGGATGATATGCGAGACATAGAAATAACATAATTCATCAAATTGGACGAGGTCAAAGCTATTGCATCAATAGTGTTGGTACAGAAAGCACATTCAGATACAAGCCTATCTATGGGGAATATACAACAGATCGTAAATAAGCAATGCATTGAATTGGGTGAGCCTTTGGATCCAGAAATTGACCTAGACTCAGCACCTTCAGTCACACCAGAACCTGTGGACACTTCGAAGATCAAGTGGCACATATGTCAGAACTTCAATGACATCAAAAAAGTATCAGAAGTTGCTGTGACTCCACAGGGGGACATCGCAGCAAAACAGCAGCATTTAGCAGGACACAAGTACAGTGGCTCAAAAAAAGTGTCTCAATGTTTGTAACTTTTCATGTAATTGCTTTATTATGAGCCAGGGTGTGGGAATATGACTAAGCTATAGGGAGGTGTCAGAACGCTATACTTCTCAGCCTCATTTATGTTCCCTATAGCGCGTGGGAAACTGATGTCATCATGCACAGATATGGCTATTTTAATTTGATGACTTATTAAGACACTTTTTTGACTTTCAGTTTGATCAATACAATCTCTATAATTATGATACTTTGTGTGACCTTCTTTTGCTCTAATCACTTCTGCCACTCTTCTAGACATACTATCTATCAATTTTAAACAGTTCTTCCTAGTACTCCTTCCTCACTCTGCTGCAACTCTATCCTACAGCTGAAATAGCCCCTATGATGAATTTTGATAGGCTGCAAGTAATTTCTTGAGTATTTTCCAGAGACATTCAATAGGGCTGAGGTCCAGGGACTGTGTTAGACATAATAGAACATTGATATTATGGTCTTTGAGCTATTGGTAGCTAACTTAGAGATATGCTTAGAATCATTATCTTATTGCAAGATAGTATCTTCCTTATCAATCTATGATTCCTATATCCTTTTTAGCAGACTCTTATTTAAAATAGAGATGTACCACCCTGTATTTATTCTACCCTTTACTTCAAACAGAATATATACTCTATTCCATCTCATACAGCCCTATATCTTTATGTTTGCTACCCCACACTTGAAAGTTTACATGTTTTTCTTTTCTTTTAGTGATTCACCTGTCTTTCTATAGATGTATTGCCAGTCATCTCACCTTATCATATTTATTTTGATCAAATCTTATAAGATAATCTTCTTCTAGTCCTCTTTCAGTCCAATACTGGTGCTTTAAAGCTAAAGTTCATTTCCTCTTTCTATAGGCTAAAGATGAGGGATCTTTTTCTTCTTGATTGTAACTTTAATATTTGCTGCCTTGAAAGTATTATTAATTATTTGAGTATAAACAGTGCTGGAGATGATAGAATTGATGAATTGTGTGGCCTTAGTAGCATTAGCAGCCTGTCCAGTTAGCACCAGCAGCTCAAAGACCATAATATCAATGTTCTATTATGTCTAACACAGTCCCTGGACCTCAGCCCTATTGAATGTCTCTGGAAAATACTCAAGAAATTGCTTGCAGCCTATCAAAATTCATCATAGGGGCTATTTCAGCTGTAGGATAGAGTTGCAGCAGAGTGAGGAAGGAGTACTAGGAAAAACTGTTCAAAATTGATAGATAGTATATCTAGAAGAGTGGCAGAAGTGATTAGAGCAAAAGGAGGTCACACAAAGTATCATAATTATAGAGATTGTATTGATCAAACTGAAAGTCAAAAAAATGTCTCAATAAGTCACCAAATTAAAATAGCCATATCTGTGCATGATGACATCAGTTTCCCACGCGCTATATGGAACATAAATGAGGCTGAGAAGTATAGCGTTCTGACACCTCCCTGTAGCTTAGTCATATTCCTACATCCTGGCTCATAATAAAGCAATTACATGAAAAGTTATAAACATTGAGACACTTTTTTGAGCCACTGTACATATGCATACTTGATTTAGCAGCTGGATTCTATGCAATCCCAGTAGAAGAAGACAGCCAACCAAACTTATGTTTCTATACAGAAGGACGAGGGTACAAAGTGTACTGCCAGATGACAATGAGCATTCATGGTGCGCCGTCGTGTTTTAGCGATCTCACAGCTCAAGTGTTACATAACATCTTGGTCAAGCTAATGATGACACAGTGGCAGGAAATGACTTTGATGAGTCATTGAATTGCTTACACACATTTTTCATTAAATGTTGAGAATGGAGCCTATCAATATCACCAATGAAAACACAACTGTTTATGAATGAGGTTATCTTTGGAGGAGCATGAGTAGGACAAGAAGGAATATGTCCGGACTTGGTGAAAATGGTGGCAGTCGCTGAGTGGCCGATCCCTCAGAATCTTCTAGAACTGATGCGCTTCCTAGGTCTTACTGGTTATTTCAGATCGCTCATCAAAGACTATGCATGCATTGCAGCCTCACTCATGGACATGCTACATAACCTGGATATGCTAACAAGTACCATGAAGGTAAAGAAGAGCAAGTATAGACAGTTCCTATGAGAATATAAGCTCAAGAACTTTTGGGAACAACACCACACACAAGCCTTCTTGAAACTCAAGCAAACCCTCATAATGGAACCAGTACTGCATGCACCCAAGTTCAATGGGTCGCCATTCATCATTACCAGCATGGATGCAAGGACAGATTTGGCACAGTTCTAGCGCAACGATTCATGACACAGAATGATGTAGGGGAAACAACGATCAGAGTACACCCAATTGCATTTACATCCAAACAGACATCACCATCAGAAGAACAACATAAGCTGTACTTACTAGAATTTGCAGCTCTAAAGTACACATTCAATCAATTCGGTGGCAGCCATGACAAAGTTTGATGATATTGGGTGGCTTCAAACAAAAGCTAATTTTTTGACCTTTATACATACATTTCATTTCAAAAAAATCATTTTGTAATTAAACAAACAAGAGGTAAGTACATATATACATATGTAACACAACAAAAGACAGAAAACAAGTATAAGAGGGAGGAGAGTCCATAAAGAAGGGTCTACAAAGGAGGGACCAAGGAGGGACCAAGAGGGAAGGCCAAAGAGAGTGAGAGTTTGAGATTCAAAGGGCAAGTTTCAGAGTAATCAAGTGGTGATAGCATTGAGAGAAGGAACTGATAAGAAGATTGAACTTTGAAAAAAAATTAGACTTACATAAGCATCCTATAGGGCCAAGCCTCTTGATTCCAAGTGGTCACAAGTGACCATAGGTGACCATGCAGTTGAGAAATGCTGGTACACTTGCCTATTTTCATCAGAATTGTACATTTTTTGCCATATCTTATCCTTCACTACCAAATTGCTTATCTTATATATTATTTTGTCTACCTTTGTCATTATATATAATCACATGAGTTTTTGATCTGATCTTACCAATTACAACTATGAAAACTGTAACCTTGACAATTTCCTGATGTCTCTATTTGGAGCTATGTAACTCATTCTTATTTCACCCATAGATTAATTGTAGGACTTGATACACAGGGAGTGGTATAGCACTTGGCCTAGCATTGGGCTTATATCTGGCTATTTTACAATGTATGTCAAATTCCTGTCACATGCTAATCACTTCCCAATCATATCTAACTCTTTCTGTAGCAGATCTGATGTTTTGACTGCATTGGCTAATCTAATATCTTGTGCACTTATCCTTCCCATGTCCTGTCCTATCTTTGCTAGCCTCACTAGGTGCATAGTTGATTATCTTGCACATTACTCACATTGTAGCTAGCACTATTACATGTTTTCTCATGGTCCGCAGTGCCTCATGTCTTTTTATGTATACATCAGACCCAAAATATTCTGCTACTACTTTCACCTATGCATTTCTGGATATCTACATATGTACATACATAAATATTAGACTGACCATTTTATATGTATAAATGGAAGGAAACATTGAACTAGGCACTTAGTCAAGCCTGGTAAGGCACGCATGTGGGTGATTGGAGTGCAGTGACTCTAAATGAGTTGAAAGGTAATAAGAAGAAGTCCTGGCAAGAATGCAATGATTGGCACTGATGTACATTCAGATGCTTAGTGTTGATTGGCAGCTGAGACAGAAACTTAGACTTAGAGTCCAATAATGTGCAAGAAGATGGTGGTTACTTGTTAAGAGACAAAAGAATACACGAAACTATGTAAGTATCATTAAGTGCTGAGGCAAACTGGTGTAGAGATTAACATCTCTATAGCCTCATAGAGGTCTAATTCTCTGATACTCTAATCACCTTCCAAACACAGCACAACTCATATCTTATTCCCATGTACTTGGCACTTCATCAGCCGCTTGCAAGCACAAGCACTTTGGTCATGCATTAGCGCAGGTATCTTCAGTTCCACCACTTGTCCTCTGTCCATCCATTCCATGTCCATTCAGTTCACTGGTGCATATTCCTATTCTATTTCTGTGTTTTCTGATAATATCTCCTGTGCTATGTGCACACATTCCATATGTATATGTCACAGACCCTTATATCACATATTATCATGTACTCGCTTTGCTTCCCTGTGTGAAGAAGTAATAGTAGATGGCTAGCAAGAAAGCTAGAGCACTAATAAATCCAACTGAGTGTGAGTGTGCTGTCTCAACCCAAGAGGATTGCTATGAAGCACTTTCTTCAAGTAAAATACAAAGGGAGCAAATGCGGAATGGAAAGAGCTAAGGCAATCTTGGAAAAGTGAGTCTGCCGATAAGAGCGAAAGTGAGACCGCAGGTCCAGTGAGTGTGCAATGCAAAACAAATGAAAGTGAGATGATCCTAGGTAAAGAGTGGTGGGTTCTAGGTATAGCGCAGTTCTGCAAGTAGTGGCTAGGTATAGACGAGGTTTATGGCTGAGGTATAACTAGGTATGAGGTGCTAGGTCAGAAACCGAGAGCGGTTTGGATCTGTGCAGAGCCTAGGTAAAGAAGACTTAGAGGCGCATTCTCAGAGCGGTCAAGAACACGCGGGTTTAGAGTGAGGATGAACAAAGCTTGTCAATTGAACAAAGTACTAAGAACATCTAAGGTGACTTCGCAAAACAAAAGTAGTGTCCAAGGGAAGGGAACTCTCATACTGTATATAGTGTGCTGTAGAGACTGACATCTCTGTGGCCTTGTAGAGAGCTAATTCTCCAATGCTCTAATCACTTTCAAAACATAGCACAACTCATATCTAGTTTCCATGCACTTGGTGCTTCATCGGCCGATTGTGTGCGCAAGCACTTCAGCCACACATCGGTGCATACATCCTCAGTTCTGTCGCTTGTCCTCCATCCATCCATTCGATGTCCGTTTGGTTCGTCGGTGCATGTTCCTATTTTATTCTCATGTATTCTGACATATCTCTGGCGCTTGCGCACACATTCTGTATGTTTCGTCACGAACCCTTATTACATGTAATCATGTACTCGCTTTGCTTTCTGGCTCGCTTTAGTGCTTGACAGCACTTAATGCTACTTAGAATATATATACTCCTGCCTCTCTATATAATGATCATCTTTCTTCCCGCACATCATTGGACTCTAAGTCTAAATCTCTGTCATATCTGCCGACCGACACTAAGCGCCTGAATGCACGCAAGTGCCAGTCTTCATATTCTCAAATAAAAAACATTGTTTTATCTGTCTCCTGACTCACTTAGAGTCGCTGCGCTCCACCACCCACACGCTGAAGGTTCAACGATACTGCGAAGCACGAACAACGGTCCTGACTGTATCTATAAATGTTGTAAGGTCGCGCGTTGCCTAGTCTGCTATACTTGAGACGACAAGTGCGTTCGACCCTAAAGGGGAAGCGAGTGCAGCAAGGATCTAGTAGTAGGCGCTGAAGGCACTACTGGTTGGCGAATGCGAAGCGCGGGAAAGCGCAGGTGCGCACGAGGCGCGAGAATGCGCGCGCGTATATGCGGAAACAAGTGAGAGTAAGAGTGAGTTTGCTTAAGTGATGATTAGTCACTAGACAAGAGGTGAGAGATGCAAGCTGAGAGATGTTATATGCGAGGTGCCAAGGAATAGATTTCAACTATGTTCTGCTGGGTAGTAAATGGGTATCGTTGTGGTTTGTTTTCTGTCGTTCTTGGTGGGTGAGTAAGTGAGTCATAGTATGTACTGCTGGCGCCTAAGCGCTGTCATGCGGAGCCGAAGCGCTACCGAGTAAGGTATGTAAAGATATATGTAAGTAAGGGTCCATGATAAAAATAAAGATGGAACGATAAGCAAATGTGAGAAATGGAAATATACGCACTAGGGAACTTGGTGGACAGTGGATGGATGCTTCTGGATGGCTGGCGCTATAGGGCGCTCAAGCGCGGGAAAGCACGCGCGCATATACATCGTGAAGCGTGGGAAAGGTACACGCGCAAGTTGCGCATTGCGCGGGAAAGCTGCACCTCATGTAGGAATAGCTGTGGATAGCATACAGAGTGATGCTACAAGTTCGTGCCATGTACTCCCTAGTGAAAACTGCAATATTGCACAATGAGAGGCACGAGTCTCTACAACGCGCACCTCGTGTTCACTCAATGCACATTACCACACTTGTTGCTCAGTAGCACTTAGTAGTGCTTTTGCTTCTCGTGCTTCGCTCTTCATCACATGCCTCACCAGGCTTATCCAACAGCCCAGTTCAGTGTTTCCCTCCACTATTATACATAGAGGAACCTTCTCAGTAGCAATCCCCTTGGACCAACATTAGTTCACACACAGAGGACCCTCTGAGTATCTCTTATACCACCCACTTATCATCATTCTACATTCCTCACCCACAGCGCGAGATTTTATTCTACTGCATGAGTGTCTGGAACCCATAGGTGAGAACTGTAGCAATGAAATGAGGCAGATAGGTAATATGTAATATAAATATGCGCAGAACGGAATACACGGTTACATGTAATAAGCCTTGCATATCATTTAGTCAAAGTGAGAGAAAATGAACATGCACCAGTAGAGATAGGTGGATATGGAAAGGACATAGACAGATGGTACAGAGAACAGGCCCAAGTGCAGGTGCACGCCAGATGGCTATCGGCCAAAGAAAACTTGTTGCTAGGGAGAATTGGAATGACATAGATCCTACAAGTTTCTATAGGCCTTGACATGGATATCAAAAGACACTTGTTCCCGCCCAGCATGGGTCCAAGTATCATACTGGTTCACCTCAGTGCTTGACAGTACTTAATGATACTTACATAGTTTCATGTATTCTTTTGTCTCTTAATAAGTAACCACCATCTTCTCACATATCATTGGACTCTAAGTCTAAGTTCCTGTTGTAGCTGCCAACTGGCACTAAGCATCTAAACAAACATCAGCACCAGTCCTTGTGTTCTTGCCAACACCCCTTTTTATTACCTTTTGACTCATTTAGAGTCGCTGCATTCCAACCACCCACACATGTACCTCATATCTGCTCAGTGTACACTGTTGCATCTTATGGTTCAGTTGTTACGCTGACCGTCGGTCGGCGTGTGCGAACTAGGATAGGTCTTCTCAGCAACGGCTCGAGTGAGCCTACTGAAGCTGAGGGTGGTTCTCGGCTTGACGGAACGTCAAGGGTTCCTCCGGTGATCTCGGTAAGACGGCGCTCGTGGAGATACAGGGCTAGCGGATACGTGCTAAGTCGTAAGGGGGCGACTTAGAAGTGCGGTCTCACACAAGGAAGCTGGTAAGGCTTAGTTGAGCAAGTTCTGGGGATGAACCTAGTAGATTAAAGTAAAGTCTAAGTACAATAATCCTGTCTACTTATAGGGAAGTACTACAAGTATTCTAGCTCAGTCTGTAATCAATAGTATATCTATGATCTATGATAACAAGACATGAGGTTCAGATAAGGTACATGAGGCTTAACCTCTGATCAAGCATGCTGCGCCAAGGGCAGCTGCGCATAGGTACAGGAAGCGCCAAGAGCGCTCCAGATCTTCATGAAGCGACATGCGGTATGCATGCGCTGATCTAGGGTGACCATGAGGCGTACAGCCTCCATGGATCAGGTACAAGGCCATCTAGGCCAGGGGTGGGGTCATAGCGCCAGGGGTGGGGTCACAGCGGTCCAGACCGCTGTCTTTCTAGGCGCAGGCGGCGCACTGCCGCACGGGGAGTCTAGCAGAGCGGGGGCAGGCGTAGGCAGAGCTGGGGCTCCTGTAGGTGTTACGGATGCCTGTAACATCAGTAGTGCTTCATAGTACTTCTGCTTTCCCATGCTTTGCACATCATTGTGTGCCTTACCAGGCTTGACTAGGCGCCTGGTTCAGTGTTTTCTTTCATTTATATACATAGAGGAACCTTCTCAGTAGCAATCCCCTTGGGCCAACATTAGCTTGCGCACAGAGGACTATCTGAGTACATCTCACGCCACCCACTTTCCACCACTTCATATTCCTCATCTACAATGTCTATCCATCTATTATGAATCTCTTCTTATACCCCCCATCTCACACTACTCTGCATGCTTTTCCTGTGCTTCATATTGCCTAATAAGCAGCACCATCAGCATCAGCTCCTAGATCTCTGCTACACTTACTTCCCCTTTAGGGTCGAATGCACTTATCACTACAAGCATAGTAGCTTAGGCAAGCAAGACTTAACTCATTGTTCAGTATACACTCATCTGGATTGTTGTACCTACATCAGCTTACCTGGCAATTATGCAGCAACATCTACAGAATATCAGATGGCCCTCCCCCAACAGTATCGCTAGCACATAGCACCGGTACACCAGCAATTTCAGGTGCCAGTACCTGAACAATATTAGATATTGCCATCCCAACAATACCAGGCACCTGTCCAATAATACCAGGTGCTGGCACCCAATCAATACCAGGCACTGGCACTCTATCAATCTCAGCTGCCATAAGTGTAGCCTCAGCCCTGCTATCATCAATAACACAAGCAGACCATATTAGATTGGTACCCCACTGAAGAGAATGAGGATAGAGCAGTAGTAGAGGCATATGTAGATGTGTTTGCACTCCTTTGTACTGGGTTATCGAGGCTGCCTTTGTAGCCAAACACTATTGGAGATGAGTCTCTGGCTCTATGGGAGGCTGCACAGCTTGTTGCACTCACACCCCTTCATCTGGGAGAGAGCACTCATAGGGAGAGAACCTAGGGTGTCATTCAGATAAGTCATTGAGCATTTGTTCAAGCACTTACTTATGATATACAGACTCAAAAACATATCTCTAACACTGGGAAACGACAGCATAATACCAAACTGCCTCTGACACCTGAAATAACTGCTGCTGCTGCATCCAATTTGATAGAGGGGTCTGTGTTAGTCATGAACTCACCTGTTTTTGTATACATTAAGCTCTCAAAACAATTGGCTTAAAACTTGAAGGAAATTACAAAAGAAAAACTTTGAGCCTTGATATTGAATGTGGACACTGAAACTGATGGAGCTCCTGATGACAAGCTTTATGACAAGATAATATACATAGTACTAACAACTGCAAAGATAGAGCTGTTTAGTCAAGGTACTAGTCTTATTATTTCTTAAATAATCATTGTACTGATAGGCCTTTGTTGTAGTGGAGATCAAGGATGTCAAAGGTATCAACAATTTTATGGTAGCCTTATTAGCAGATATGCAATGTAGTTTCAAAACTCATGTCATGAAGACAATTCTGGACGGATATGGTCTGTAGCTACCATTATTTTCCAAAGACAACAAGTCGATGCATAGGCAGGATAGAATCAAGGATCTATTGGAAGATTTAAAGTACTTACATTAATTTAAACAGATATGTATTTCTATTAAATCATTTGTAGTATCTGGCTGATATGGCTATAGATAACTGATGATACAGGGGTTGAATAGCTATTGGAGAATGAAGTTCTTATCAATATGATTATTAACCTTCTGAAAGGAGGCTTATCAGACATCATATGCAGTCCACTTGATTGTTTGTTTGCAATATGTGGTATAACAATTCATTATGTGCTGCAGGCTTATCAAACTAGTTATTTTGTTAATGTCTTAGTGAACTCATCTACTTTTGATGATGTTTACCATGATATTATTATCTATATTGTAACTACTATCTATACCTCAGATACCTTGTGTCAAAGGTTTGAGGCTATACAACAAGCAATTCTTAGATGAGTGGATAATGATTAGTAGTAGTGAATCATTTGATTTGATACTGATAATGTCAATCTGTTGCTTACATCTAAGTTCTTGGTTGTTGAAATTGTTGTACATGGTCTTGACTTTCCTTTATCACTTACATTCACTCACCCTCACATTCTCACCTGCCCTCACATTTACTAGCTCTTGTATTTTTATTTACCTTTTTCTAACCTGCCCTTTCTCACCTATACTCGTATTATGTACTTCTTACATATTATGGTATTACTACATTCCTCTGACCTCCTATCCAACAGAACTCCAAACAGGCACACTCCTCTTCCTACCTATTTCCATACTTATATTTGTTTAATCAACAACCTCACTTATTACTCTAAACCTTTGGCCATTTGTCCAAGTAAGCATAATGACTTTGGTGAGTTTTTTTTTCAATTTGTGCTTCACTTTCTAGTTTAACATGTCTCTTGGAGGTGACTTGGACCAAAGGCTGTTATGCTACAAGAACATGCCTCATGGAGATGATATACTCTGGTCAAATACTTGATAGCAGGCTTAGGAGGCAACAAATTCATTACATAGATGTCAGAGGTAGTGTACAATGTTCAAGCTGGATAGTACTATGAAAAATTAGAGTGATTGGCTTGTTAAGTAACGTGCTTTGTTATACTTTGGTCAAATACCTGATGGTAGGCTTAGGAGGCAACAAATTCATTATGTAGATGTTAGAGGTAGTGCACAATATTCAAGCTGGATAGTACTATGGAAAATTAGAGTGACTGGCCTATTAAGTAACGATGCACAATGACCCAAATTTGTGCACTTCTTATTCTTTTGATAACTTTCCTAATAAAAGTCTACCCAAAATCATCAAATTTGCGCCATCTGAGACTATACTAACTAGTGATTGTAAAACAATGCTCAAATGATAATTTTGACTCTAGATGCAATTTCAACCAACAAAACTCTGTTTCTGCTAAAGTGGGTATTAAGCCTGAGGATAGATAGAAAATTACTTTAAATTATTGAAAATTCTGATAATTTATAAACCTCAGATACTCATAATAGGGAAAATTCATTAGATATATGGTCCAAGTAACTTTTCATCACATGTTTCCAATAGTCTTTGGTCTATATAGTATGTACTCTTTTGGTCTATAAAATAATAGGAAAAGACCACAGACTACTACTATAAAGGGACCAGCAGAAAAATGTCTATTACATATAAACCTCTAGAGGCACCTCATATTATGGGAATAATGCATTATTTATTATAATTACAAGATATAACTAATATATCAACCATTGTAATGACATTACATAATGATAACTGTTAATTTTGAATAGAGTTAGATATTGTATAGTCTATTAGACAGTTAGAGGTTAGTAGTTAGTTAGAAGTTAGCAATTAGTTAGTGGTCAGCTATGATTACATTTTCTCTTAGAAGGTTAAATGTTAAATTAAAGATTGGTGCACTGGTAGTTACTACATTAAAATGGCATAATAGCTTTCTAGAGGCAACAATCAACCTAAAAGATTTCTGAAATAGGATAACCAAAGTGATAAAGACATCTAGTAACAATAAAAATGCTTCCATTTCTAATAAGTTTGACATTAGGAATATGGTAGACATCACTAGTAATAATTTTTGCACTGATGAAAAAATAATTAATAGTGTTAGCTTTAACATCTGATATACAATGAGAGAAACCTAAGTTAAAGGCTTCAGGATAATCTTAACATTCTGAGTTACAAAGATTGACTGTGAGCTAGAAGAAATGTGTGATAAAGATTCTGTGACCTAAATACATAATTAACTTCATCATTATATAAGGAAACATATTTAGTACTTACCAATAACTTGAAGTAGTATCTGCATACTATATTGGCTATTTTAGATTGTAGACTCGAAGCCCACCTAAGTCTCTAACACCTCAATAAGGATTATTAGGATTCATGAAGACTTCAACTAAAGACTATTAGTGTAGACGTTCATAACAAATATGAATATATTAAAACCATATAACACTGAAACAATCTATTTTCTCATGTCTATGGTCACATGTGTGAAATTAGTTTCTAATCATTCTACTTTCATGACTTACCTAGCTATATTGCCTCAGATAGTAGTCTACTCTTGTGGAAAAGGCTCATCTATAAGAAAAGAAACATCTAGACTAAGGTATCTGTGAGCCTGCTTATTTGTATTAATCTTGTGTTAATTTATGTGAAGATGATAATAAGTGTAAGTGTGATGCTTGAGTAGATGTCTAGGATCCAATAGATAGACTCCAGCCTATAGTAGTGAGGAATAAGATAAAGAGATAAAATAATAGAAATGATTAAGATGAGCACTAGGCTTTGGATGATAATCTATGCACTGCAACAGCTGATCATAGTGAAAGTTAAGTTAATGAAACTTTGAAAATTACTAAGATAGGGTATTATAAATAATATTTGAAACTTCTGAAAAAAATCAAGTATACTTTATATCATATATAGCTATTATAGCTCATAACAATCCTCTTCTTTATTGTCACTGTATAGCAACCTCTTGCACCTATATAGCTACTATAGTAATATGTTATTATCTCTAGCATCTACAATTCTTGATAGATCACTAACTTGTGATTATAAAGAATTATAATGCTATCACTTAATGCTATCAGGCTCTTATATTCTTATTACTAGCTGCTATTACCATAATTTGTAGATTTTCTTGATATAATGCATATATTATATATCCTTCACCTATGAAATATGGCTTTCATATATTATCTTTTGATGTGTTTAATATAACCTGAAATAAGTTAGATATGCCAGTTACTATAACACAGAATGAGTTTACTATATGTATTATATACCTGAGACATATACTACAGAAAGTATAGGTGCTATATAGATCATGTAATAGTAAGTTCTAGATATACAATGAGTATATACCTTAAGTCAGATTTTATGGGCAAGCTATGTTAGCTATAACATAGACTAGAAAGTGATTTAGATAATATTTAGCAGTTGATTTGCATCAGAAAATAGACCTCTATAAGGCTATAAGAAATCTAAGTCCTATGCCAATATTTTATAGTTCTTAGTTCTTAGTTGACATTGCAAATATCATCATTCCTTCATCATCTACATCTGTCCTTATTATTATTGTGCACACTACTCACTTTCCTAATGCTCACTACCATATCAATATTAGTTTCTGACATCCAAAGCCTAAATCCAAACCTGATGCTTTCATATTAGAGATTATAATTATACTTTTTGACGTTGTTTCCCACACTTGGTGTAGGTATACAACACAGAGTGGAACTATATGAAGATAGCCCCAAACTGATATCTCTATGTTGTGGTCTTGCACTGCCTAGTCTGCTATACTTGGTGAGACAAGTGCATTCAACCCAGGGGTCTGCATTCTGGGAATAGTCTTGGGGGCCAGTGAATGATGTGAGGTCAAAAAAAGACGCTGTCCCAGTCTATAGGTGATTCAAGGGGGGTCCATGCATGGGCGACTTCAAGAGGGTCAACACTGTCATGTGTAAGTGCTCTGTGTTATACATCATGATAAATTTAAAAACTATACCTCTCATTGAATTCCTGAACAATGTCGGACTCATCCTCTTTCTTGGTATAGGCATCCTTGTCCTCTTCTTCAATCTCAACTTCTTCTTCATCCAACTCATTGTCCTCTTCCTCCAACACCACATCAAGATATTGCAGGGTGTGATCTCTGATCTTCAATAGTGCGCAAACAACTATATGTTGCACCAAGTGAAGGCCAACTTCATCCATATCAGGACTTAATTGCTATGATCAACATCAGGTAAGATTTGCACTTGAAACCAGAGGTGGAACTCACCATGCTTGCAAAATGTATGAGATTATCATCTAGTATGTTGAATTGTCTGTCATTACAATAAAGCCAAACCTCAATTGTAATGGTGAGGGGCAACATCCAAGTGTGCTTAAACACTGTTACTTCGCCAAATACAGGGTTGTTGTGCTTGCGATAGTTGGCTACCACATTCCCAGTCTTCTTGTCGATACTTTTAGAAAACGCAGAGGACACTGATGGTGCTTAATAATGTTCTTTTTCTGAAATGAAGAGTAGCATTATAACTTATATGTCTTTACTTAGATTTGCCCTATGTTGTAGTTTTGCTAGGGCTTCGTATTCTGTTTGTAAAAAAGTTATCTCCATGTTCCAGAGCTGTAAATGTCCACCATCAGCATTGTGGAACTCTAAGAGCGAGTCTGGGATGCTGAGAGGTTTCTGTGTGGATCCGGCTTGCCCTTCTCTCCTGAGAGTGGAATTCATCTGTGTGATGAAGGCACCAAAGGTTAAATTGATGCCCATTGTCACAAGTGCCTCATCAATAGATGAACGCAGAGGCACGAGAATGTTCTCGTGAATTAGGGTAGGCAGCTTTATGACGAGTGGCTGCCAAGAGATGATGTGTATGGTAATCTACGGGAAAGAGTTGAACATCACTATTGAAATAATATGTATTGCTTACTTACAGGGTCGATGTTAGTAGCATATATAAATGGAACATTAGGGTAGCACAAATAATTAAAGTGTGCTATCCACACCATGTTACATGACTCATCCATTTTTATAAGGTTCACAATGTTTGGTGTCACCTACAGTACTCACATATTTGCTGTCCATAATATTGTTGGAGTTATTGTTATTGGATAAGCAGCATTGTGATTGTAGGTCTCTTTTCCTCCTCCATCATCTTAAGTATATTCTAATTAGATTAGATTTAACATATATTTGAAGTACCATAATATCTATCTCTCAAAATTTGAGACTTTCTAATGTCAATGATTGGTAGTGCAACATTGACACAAAAAAGTTTTGAGGCCACAGTATTAGAATATCAGAGTAGTAAGTCTGGCAACATTATGATCATAGCTAATAGCTACTTCTGAAAATAGCTGAAATCCTAAATGAAGCAAGAGTGCAAAAGGACAAGCATACATAGCCATAATAACTAATACTCTTAAGAATCTAAGAGATTGTATCAAAAACCTTGTGCAGGTCCATGTTGGTTGCAGCAGAGTAGAGGAAGATTACTAAGGAGGAATATAGTAAATTAATAAATAATATATTTAAAAAGTAACAAAAAAAATTAAAGCAAAAGGAAGTTATATAATAATAATAATAATAATTTATCTTATATGAAGTAAAAATAAAGCTAAGAGGCAAAGCTTTCTAATACCTCCCTACAACTTAGTCATATTTTCCATGCCCTAAGATATGACAAAGTAATTACATAAAAAACTACAAATATTGAAATACTTTCTTGAGCCACTGTATATAGTGAGACCACCTCGACATCACATAATCTTGCCTTAATAAGAATGCCATACTCCCAGGGGGTCGCCATTCTAATTAGCATAGATTATGCCAAAGCTCTACACTGCCAGTAAATAGTATAACAATGCTGAATATCTACTCTTTGGAAAAAACCACCAAGGTCCCACACTGGCAACATCCGCTAGCCAATGTTACTGAATACCAATAAGTGCAAACATATCAAATATGGTAAGGGTTCAGTGCTCATCGTCGGCAACATCCACAAACCTCCATGCTCACTGTTCTCAACATTGAGCACAAGTACCTCACTCAATTTTCAGGACCTTTTTAATTCTAATATCTTGTATGTTTCTGAATCTATTAGTAGTAGTATTGAAGTGTAGATATATGACAAAAGAGCGAAATATAATGTATTTATGAAGTTTCACATAAGAGACCACCTAAGCAGACACTCCAGCTGTGGGGATAGAACTTGGGCCCAATGAAGAGGTGACAGAAGGATCTGAGGAGGGGGCAGACACAGACACAGATGAAGTTAGGTCTGAAGAAGAGGTGACAGAAGGATCTGAGGAGGGGGGAGACGCAGACATAGACATAGATGAACTTGGGTCTGAAGAAGAGGTGGCAGAAGAATCTGAGGAGGGGATAGATGCAGACACAGATTTGCCTTTCCTAGGGCCACACTTCTTGCCCTTATCCGAGCACTCTTTCCACGCCCTCTTCTGGACCGGCATGGCCTCTCCTGAGACAGAGAACACACCATTGAGCTCCTCCCCAGGCCGCTTTCTGCTCTGTATTGCTGAAAGTGGCTGAGACTGAATATCTGCTGTTGATGTAGGTGTCTCCATGAAAGGGGGGGAAGGTGATGGCACAGGAGGAGTAGAAGTATTGTCTTCATCAACATCCCTTGACATTTAGGCCATCTTATCATCAAACCTTCCATTTTCCCAATCCTCGAACTCAACATCTGAAAGCTGCTGAAAGCACGTAGTGTTAGTGTTCCAGGCATAGTACAAGACACGAAGTTCATTGCATGAACTTATGTCACCAGGGCAGCAGAACTTCGATAGCGGCCACTTCTCAAGTACCATGCAGTACTTCACTGTAATGTTGGTATCAAAGTTAGTGTAATACATGTGCTGTGCCTGTGCAGGTGCTGCTGCAGCCTCTATGATGACAAACAAACAAGCCGAACTTGAAAATGTGTCGGAGAAAGATAAAGATGGCACACTCACGAAGCTTTTGTAAAATCAATTCACTTAGCTTCTTCTTCAACTCAAGGACCTCATCCAGGTGAGTCTTTGCAAGGCCTGTTGTAGTCGAAGTCAGAAGATAGATTAGACATACTGTGAATTCATACCTTGTACACCTGCAATACAATAGCCTTCGAAGTGAAATGCAAGCGTTCCAATTGAAGTCTTGAAGCAACAGTCGAAGAACTCAGCTGCACGAGCCATGTGGAAAACGTGAGGCTGATTCCAATGTTCTGTATCTCCTTGTACACTAAGTAAGATGAATTCAACACCAGTATGACTATGTAAAGCCATCAACTGGACATAATCATCAGTAATATAAATCTCGCTACACAAAACAAAGCTTACCTCTTGATCTATCTTCTCGAGAGTCCTCTGAGCATCATTAAATGTGTGAATCATGGTGTTGTGAGTGGCTAATTCCTTCATTTCACGACATTCAGTAAGGGTCTCGATGACATCTTGAGTTTCAATGGTGCATTGATCTTCGTCCATCTCCTGCCAACGTGCACAAATTTTGGACATGAGCTCACATGCCTTGTGATGTTTCTCACTGGCTGATAATGCTGTAGTGATACAGTGAGATGGCATGAAATAAAGATAGAAGTAGAACATACCTGCATTATGATGTTCGACTTCTTTTTTAACAAAAGCATTCCATTTGTTGGCCTTACGTGTGCCCTTGTGTAGCCTTGAACATTGCATGATTTCTTTGAAGTAATAGTCGACTGAGTGACAACCGAACTTTTCACGCAGTAAAGTAGCTTGCTCCATGATAACATTCCAGGCTACAGCAAGAGCCTCTGTGTATTCTGTACAATGCTGTTTTCATTTAGCTTTTAACAAAGCTTTCTCTGCCAAAGTTTTCTTGTAGCGTTGAACAGCACAGTGTCTCCAGAAAGAACGAGTTTTTGTAGTGGAAATCTTTCGCATGCGTGATGCATAGCAAGAGAGTGCATTATCAGACTTCACGCCAACCATGGATGTTGTACAAGCAAAAAAAACAGAGCAAACATTGAAACATTAACAAGACGACACATGACTTTGAAAGTGGAGCATCTAAAGTGACGACATGACTGGTGACAGAGGCAATAATACTGTTAGACACCAGAGGGACTGTCTTCAGTAGTGATAAGTCCCCAAAGGAAGAATGCTTCAGCCCTAGCCATCCCCTTGTCGGTGAGCTTGTCAACAAAGTCTTGGGCCGAAGAACTCATGTCATGAGCATATGCAACATGGAGTAAAGCCTTCACAGTGTATCCATGAGCTTGAAGATACCAGTCAGCCATGGGACCAAATGACAGGAGTGGAGTGTCATCGAAGTGCAGCTGGAGTGCAACACCACTGACTCCATTGATCTCACGAATGTGCTGATATATTGGCGCCGAGTTGGTGTCAGATGTCGGGGGACAAGTGAGCATTCTCCAAGCACACAATGAAAAGTTTTGTGGGGTGGAACCATCCAAGTAAACACTGGCAGATGGTTGATCTATGTCCACCTGAAGCGTGAGGGTTAGATGTACACAACAAAGAGAAGCTTACCCATAGTGCCACTCATCATTCGCGATGGTGATCCTAGACACTTTGTTAGCAAGAGAATATAACAGATGAAGAAACATTATATACTGTTGGTGAGAGAGAGACCAGCCAAATTTAAAGTAGGAGCACACGGACTTGCAATATCGGTAGCATCACCGAGACGGTGAGTCTTCATGATAAGAAACTCTAATGCTGCGGGGAAACCTGCCAGCTTCTTAAAACAAGGACTGGAATGTCTGGTAATAGCTTGATGACATTCATCCCTGCAGATGAAGATGTCAGACAGGATGATTGATGCACCGAAAACTAACACTCACCATCACAAAAAGATGCAAGACTCATGGCCTACAACTACAACATAAAACTTAGTGACTGTTTCTTTAAAGAGTGAAGTGGTGCCAGGTGATTTGTAGAAGATGCAGGTGACATAAGTGGGAGATGTATCATCCGAGATATTACTCATGAGAGGCTGCAAGGTAGAATGGACCTTTGAGGCCTGTGCATAAGTGTTACATTTGATGGCGATGGGAAATGGTGTGCTTCAGAAACCACAAGCGATACAGGGTCTTGAAAAAAACTGCTGGTCAGTGTCAAGTGGGATCATGTACTTATAGATAGACTCACCGCTGTATAAAAATGTCTGGATCTTTTCCACCAATCACGACCCAATGAGAATCTATCATTATGTCGTTGATGCGTTGATAAACAGTTGATGGTAGCTGAGCGCTGAGCGCTGGTTGATGACTTGACAATGAGTAATGGTGGTATGTGATGTGAACGTTGATCAATCAATATCACTGTTTATCACTGTTATCAATCAGTGATGCATGATCATTGGCTGTCACTATCACGACCTTATGATTTTCAACTTCGCGCACATATGAGCCTATGCTGGAAGGTACAAGGCCAACAGAACAGATAATTGCAATGTATGAAGTACAGAATCACAAAATGCTATCAAGGACGCAATGTCATGTCAGAGATAAATTCTATGAGAGTCCCTATGTCCTGCTCCACTTTGTCACCCTCATCTAAACCTTCTTCGCTCTCGTCATTCTTGAGTGGCTGATCTGTGGTCACAGTGGAGGGAACTTCAACACTGCTAGACCCCTTCCTAATACCAGAAGACTTGTCTCCACTAAATGCATCAAGACAATGAATCTGGGCGATGCGTGATAAGAGTTGTTGGTTGATACAACATCAATGAGTGCAGTGCTCATGCATGGCTACAAAGATAGGTGAGTTGGATGTCTTGAGTGCATCAAGTATGCGGGTGAATGCTTCGTTCTCGACAACAACTGCAGTGTGTAAGTGACGCACTTCAACATCACAACAGGTAATCTCCTCCTTTGCACGTTGAATGTGGAGATATTGGCAGATAGTCTCCTGAACCGCAGGCTTGGTGCATGGTTTCTTGTGAATGTCTTGCTGGGTTTCACAAAGTAGGTTGAATTCATCAAGGAAACTGAAGTGTGAGACTTTCGACCACTCAAGTGGTGGCCATGGTGGTTGCAAGTCTGATGCTGCCTCGTTATACTTCCTGACAGCATTTTAAATTGCTCAACATCGAGTTTGAAGAGATTTTGCGATATGGGTGCGCATCTTGTATGCTATAAAGTACTTCAGTGACATTTCAACCAATAAATCAAAAAACTTACCAGTTTGCGAGACGTTAAGTCTTTGCAACTCAAACAACCGTTGCACAACAAGATGCTGCAGATTATCGAGGGCCTTATGATACTTGTGAAGTGTCATGTATTTTAGGGTATCTTGATATTCAGGTGATGATATATTCCAGTGATTTGCGATACCGAGCTTTATTTCCATGGAAATGACTTCACATTGAATGACAGTAAAGTGTTCAGCTGCAAAGCATTGCTGTGTCTTGAGTTTACATGTCTGCGATAGATTGGCTGAATAGAAGTTGGACTCTGAAGCAGCCGTAAATTGATAGTCATCCAGGGCAGCAGAAACGAAATGATTGAAGCTCACAGAAGCTTGGCACCTGCAAAAGACATCAGTTACAAGTATGCACAAGAAGGAAACACTGACTCAAGTTCTTGCATTTGTTAAAGCAGTTCAACATACATGACAGCATGTGCATCCCACTTGGGTTCCTTCCCAAGTGTCTGAAAGTACTGAATCTCTTCAGCTCGCCAATTCATGAGGTCAGTGTCTTGTATGCCAAGAGAAGTCTTTGCCTCCTCCAATGCTACAGTCTCCGATGATATGATTTGCAGTGCTTGCCTATAGTTGTTGAGTAGCATAGTGCCAAGGTTTGTGTACTTGTCTTCATCCCACTGCTTGAAGAACAGATCCAGGAACATATGATGGCAGTAGGCACTAGCATAGTGAATGACAGGTGCTAGCGCATTCGAAGCACTGAAGATGCACTCAGCAATGCCAAAGTCTTCGAGTCCTGCACTTTCAATGCCGAGAGGATGGTGGTGTTGAGTTTGACACACATAATTGTGTGCGTAGCCGTGGAACGAGTCAACATACAAGCGTGACTGCATTTCCGTGAATGTAGTACCCAAGGATGATGCATGAACCATAGATGAGAATCCACACCCAATGTCATAGGCACCAAGTGTGCGCTCACCAATGACTTCAAGGACTTTGGCAACAATTGCCAATGGATACTTCGCTCTGCAGTGAGTCAGTAACATAACAACAAGGAGAAGGATTCACGTACAACTTGCCACTCTTAATCATATCTGTGTACCATAAGATGAATCCATGTCTACAGGCTGTGACAAAGATCCCTGTCTCATCGAAGACTGCCCACATCCTTTTCTTATCATCGTCTGCCGCTGCTTTCCAGTTTTTGCTACAATCTTCAGCTATTACGTGTGCCCAGGAGATGTCTTCTTCAGCTTCGGAGATGGTGTCATCATCAGGGCGATCATTGACTCGATATGCAGAGCGAGATTGCAGCACTTCATTAGTGAAGCGATCAATGAAGGTACGTGGAAGCATGTAATCACTCTCATTATACACCCGAGTGTTGCCACATTGTCGGTCACCAATGCCCATCATACGCTTGACTGAATTGCCACCATTCATCACATACATATGTGTAAACTTGAGTGGTGGTTCACCATTCAGTTCGTAGGAGCATGGAGGACATGCATTGAGTACCCGCCAATTAGGTGCATCACGTCCAAGGGCTGTGTCCACTCATCTCCCAACTTTGCGAAGAATGGTGAGGTACACATCAAACGAGTCTGCCAAGGCAGTGCGATATGAGCGGCGGTAAGCAATCTAAGTGTTGTAAGCATGGATCTAAGGCATACATTGATGGAACACATACCAAGTAAGAGTCGCATATTACCTTTGCGAAGGCTTCAATACTGAGTGATGGCTTGCGCAAGCGAAGCAGGCGGTAATGTTCAAGATTCCACAGGGATATTGCAATTGAGGGATTGTGGGGTGCATTGCCCAGAAATCCAGCGGATACAAGCGACTGAACTGGAGATAGGGAATCCTCCGACCGGTGAAATGTTGCACACGTAGATAGTGTGAATATGTTGACCGTGTTGATGGAGAAGGAGTAGTCGTTAGAGTCTCATGTTGGACTTCTTTGCTGTGGTTCGAGGGGGGTGCCAGCTTGTGATGACTTCCAGGTAAGATATGTGACCACTAGCATAGGAATCAGAGGGCGCCAGTTAGCATGAACAGATTCTAGCTGGTGACACCATGTACGAGTATCTTTATGTTGACAGTATGCCCATCTGATGATGAGAAGATATTAAGTCAAAGAGAAAAAAATGTACGGGTTATTGACGTAGTCACAGAGAGCATTTACAATGCTTTCCTCATTGCTCATATGCTCTGGGAGTGTCTCTACGTCCAGACCAATGTCCTCACTGTCAATCCACTCGGTGTCTTCATGTCGTGCTGGCAATTCCTCATGCATGTCGGCAAGTGCGTTGATGGTCTCATCAGCGAGCCCTACATCAGCAAAAGTGGTGCAAGCTGACAAGGTCTCGGCAAATGCCGTAAGCCTGGCGTAGGCTTCCAGATGCGGCTACAAGCCTTGGAGGCGTCACACCAGGCATTGCAAGGCTCGCAAATGCGAAGTACTGTTATAACCGCTTAAGACAAGTCCATCCAATGCCGCAGAACCCAGAGTGCAACTTTTGCTGACGCTATCCATTGGTACAATCCTTCATCACTTCAGTCATTCATCGTAAACTCTCACATACTGTGAGCATTCGCTCGAACATTGTTGGAGGACAATGCAGCGGTCACATACATTCTCCTTGATATGTTCCCTACACTGGTGAGTACTATGTAGACAACGTAGTGTTTGCCATGCTGATTGCATTCTAGTACTTGGCATAGTCACCATAATCCTCCTCATTGTCTGCAGCGCCCTCCCCGTCCTCAGCACCAAGATCAATCTCGCTATCACTGTCACCATCATCTTCATCGTCCTCAATGTCATCCTCTATCATATGCTCCTCCAGATCTCCATAACCAAATTTGCTGCGCTCGTCCTCTAACTCTGAGCTTGTGTTACGCACTCAAATAGATCTGTTAGGTGGAGCCCTAAGAGGGGCGTCGTCCGCTAACGTTCGTGACGTAACTGGAAGGATCCGGTATAGCAAGTGAGACTGGCGACGACGAGTTGGCAGTGATCACAGTACGCACGTGTCACGTGACTTCTGAGACGGATGTCTAGAAGTCGCTCAAGGTAAGGACAGTCTTGTCCGAACGATGAGGTCGATCGAGGTAGACTTAGTCGCGATGAGCAACTAAGAAAAGATACCAGAGACTGAAGCCAAAGGGGCATTCAGAGGGAAGTATGTTCCAGGGAAGATTGAGTAGATTCAAGTTAGAGAATCTAGTACAGGGTGACTGACTACTTATACTAAGTGGAGAGGGTTAAGGGCAAGGCTACCGCACAGTAGGTAAGGGTAAAGGGGAAACGAGAATGGTATAGGCGCTGTAGAGACTCATGCCTCTCATTGTGCAATATGGCAGTTTTCACTGGGGAGTACATGGCACGAACTTGTAGCATCACTCTGTGTGCTACCTGCAGCTATCTCTATATGAGGCGCAGCTTTCCCGCGCAATGCGCGCCATGCGCGCGTACCTTTCCCGCGCTTCACGATGTATATGCGCGCGCGCTTTCCCGCGCTGTAGCGCCCTATAGCGCCAGCCATCCGGAAGCATCCATCCACTGTCCACCAAGTTCCCTAGTGCGTATATTTCCAATTCTCACATTTGCATATCGTTCCATCTTTATTTTTATCATGGACCCTTACTTACATATATCTTTACATACCTTACTCGGTAGCGCTTCGGCTCCGCATGACAGCGCTTAGGCGCCATACTTAAGCGCCAGCAGTACATACTAACTTACACACCCACCGGGACTCACTTACTCTCCCACCAGAACGACAGAGGACTTACTGGTTACTACCCACTATTTACCTATCAGAACATAGTAGAAATCTATTTGTTTACACCTCGCATCTCCCTTCTCTTGTCTTACATCATATCATCACCTAAGCAAACTCACTCTTACTCTCTCTTGTTTCCGCATACATGCGCGCGCATTCCCGCGCTTCGCGCATTCTCGCGCCTCGCGTGCACCTGCGCTTTCTCGCGCTTCGCATTGGCCAACCAGTAGCGCTTTCAGCGCATACCTCTAGATCCTTGCTGCACTCGCTTCCCCTTTAGGGTCGAACGCACTTGTCGTCTCAAGTATAGCAGACTAGGCAACGCGCGACCTTACAACATTATAGATACAGTCAGGAGCACTGTTCGTGTCTCGCTGTATCGTCTTACCTTCAACTGGAGCCCACCGCGAGGGTTTCTTGTGTTTCTAGGCTCTTCCAGCTCTCCAATCATCCCCCAAATTCGCCTATTATCCTACCACAGTCATTCCTTATCAGCTTCTCCCATATTCCCAAGTTTTCAGCATCTTGTCCTCCTCCCCAGCGCATTGATAAGCGTTTTTCTCACGCGTTTTTCGAGCGGATCTCTCGCAAACTTAGGGTCGTATTCCCCACGTCCGTCCGGTCATTTTGAGCCCTCGCTCATCGAATTTGGAGCAGTAGTTGTGGAGTTATCGAGTTTTTGGTGTTTTTGAGAAGTTGAGGGGAGATAAGGGTTTTCTGGGTGCTCAAAGGCCTGTGTCTTTTAGCTCTTTTGGCCATTTACCATCCTTCAGTGGCTCTGTCCATTGCCCCAATCTGCTTCTTGATAGGACCAGCTCTTGTTGCCCTGCACCATACCCCTTCCTCCTCCTCCCTCTTGCACCTCCGCACTTTTTCGCACTTTCACCAGCCCATTTTGCCTCGGAACCCCATCGACCCTATACCCGTTTTGAAGCCCTCATTCATGGCTTTCATTCGCGCCCATCGCCGCCCCGATCCGCTCCGTCATTCGCCCACCATTCGCGTTTTCCGCCGCCCCTCTATTTTATCGCACATTTACACCATTTTATCTATATCTCCTCGCCCCTCGATCGCGCACCTATTAACCCTATACTCGTTCTGACCGCATTCGCCGCCGCTTTCCATCCGTCCGCTCCGCTTCCAGATACGTCTGCGCGTTCCTCCGCAATCCGCACTTCTCGCGTTTCCCTCCATTTTCCACCATTTCCTTCATTTCTCACCCAGTTCTCCACCAATCCTAGTCGACCCTATACTCATTTCGAAGCCCTCGTTCGCCTCTTTCTATCCGTCTACTCCCCATTGTCACCCATGCAACCATCATCGCGTTTTTTATCACTTTATCGTCGCTGCTCCTCCAGTACTCAAAGCAAAGTCTGGAGATTATCGTTTTATTGCATTGCCTGACCCTCACTCACTGGCGCAGTTTACCTGGCATACGCGTCAAGGAAACAAAAGGTGTTTGAGGACCCCCAGGTTAGTTTTCTTAGTTTAGCTTAGCTTTGGTTTGCATAGGTAGATGACTGGGGACAGTCATGATTCAAAGTTCCCATGAGATGTAGGGATTCATTTCTGGCTGGGCTTGCAGAGACTGTTTTTACCTTAGTGTTATGTTTGCACTTTTGTAGCTTACATAATCAAGTTATCTTTTCACCAGTTACCAGTATGAGTCTGAGTACTCAGCAAGTTTTCATGATATTTCCTCTTCTCTGAGCCTTGAGCCTGGTCCAGAAACCCTTTAGGGTCGAATAGCAGCTAGGTTCTGCAAGACCCAACATTGTTCAGACTCACCATCTGAATTGTTGTACCTTCAGCGCGTTGGCAACAGAGCCGGATTAGTGATGGATGGTCGAATGTGGAATGAGACCGAGAAACGTTGGAACGGACCAACGGTAAGAATACAACGTGCGGGAATCCACAGTCAGAAGAAACAGAAAGAGGAAAGCCACATTGGTGGCACGAGTCAGACCAAGTCATAAGTGCGGGACCACATTGGTGGTCGAATCAGGGGAGGAACGTGCGTGCACATGCATAGAGGCGGGCGATGCGAGGGACGGGAATGGTCCCGAGGATCCGGTCAACGGAAAGTCGGTAAAGGAGGACGAGCCGGTAGATGGTGAGGGCGAGGATGAAGGGAAAATGATAGGGGGGCCACGTGACCGATGTTACTTGTAACAGCTTGCATCTTCGTCAGCTTCATCATCTGAGTCTTCCTCTCCATTGAGCTGATCAACACGCTCCGGTGCTCTATCCTCAGGCTCTTCTGCATCTTCAGGCTCATCCTCCTCACTTTCATTGGTATCACCTTGGCCAGTGACCTCTTCATCCTCATCCATATCAGCAGAGTCCCTGCCGGTGGAATGGCTGTGCATATCTTCGTCTATGTCTTGGTTGGCAGTGTGAAAAGACGTCTCATCCTCATTCATGGGAGATCCTGGCACATAGAACATTCCAGTACATTCACTTTCCTTCTTGAATGGCACTGAGTCGAGGGCATCCCAGTCCTCATAAAAACTTTGTGTTGCCTCTCGGGTGGTCTTGTGTCCGACACCACCACCACGAAAGCGCATAAACATATCACAATCCATGAATCTAAAATATGGTGAGCACAAAGAGTGTATCTTACAGAAAATCCTGCACTGATTGACATAATACCAATTAAAGTCTGCATCGAGGTCATGCGGCTGTTGGGCAATCGATGGAGGAAGTAGATTGTATGTGTAGCGCTTGTCATATACTGGTATTAGGTGGACGGCCCGTATGACTTGTTTTGGGTCAATGAATCCAAATGCTTCTGCTCCTACTTTGTGTGCATCAAAGAAGCCAATCCGATGCAGCCATCATGCTGCCCAACCAGAGTTGTGGTTTGAATCCCGGAAAAACCAATGCACCCACAGAAAATCGATGCACTGTGATGTCCAACTGCGAGACTGAGCACCAAGATATCTCACGTAGACGTGAAAAATCCCAACAATACATGCATACCAGTATGGATGTGGAGCAAGCTCACCAGGCTGGCTCTTCTCATTAGCAAGAACCATGATATCAGCATGCACACGTGGGTTGAGTGAGTCCTGGGCTCGATGAAGGTCATATGTCGTATAATTGATGCGAAGTACCTTGTGCCTGTATATCTTGTTGTCAACAATAATAAGTGAGTTGCGCTGTGCGGGTGTGAATATTTGCTCACTGTTGTTGTCAGAACCAAGTAACCGAGCAAGAATATGATCTTTGAGGTGCAGTAAAAAGTCCTGTGACAAAACTTGGTGAAAAAAGTGAGAGCAGGCGAAAACATGCCTTGACTGCAAGGTCCTCACGGTTCTTATGGAGCCAAGCTGTAAGGTCCCAGTGGAGGCGACGTGAATTAGAAATTTGGTACTGGGACTCTGGGGAGCACTGTGGTAGCACTTCTTGTTCGGAGAAATTGACTGTCGGATGTGAGTTATCTGAGTGCTCATCGCTGGCCTGTTGTGCGGCAGTCTGAGCTTTTTGTCGAAGTTTGTATAGAAGTCGTTCACGGCACTGTTGCTTTGCAATACCTCACGCAAACTTAATTTTGTTGGTACGCGCATAAAATCTCTTGACTCGACGGTGTTCCAATTCACCCTGATGTATACTTTAAGATGTGATAACATAAATTATAGAAAAAGCTCACGACTTGTGTAGAGAAGTTGTCCGTCGTTCTGAACAACCAAATAGACTTGACATAATCCCCAAGTGCATGAAGCTTGTACGTCGACATGTTGAAATGGCATGTCCGAGGGCCATCTGAAGCTGTCTTCTTCGGTGGTGTTTTTGATTTGCCCTTCTTCAAGTATGCAGGTTTGCAACGCCCATGTGCAGCCACTTCCTTTGGCAGCTCCTGAGTGACAAAGGCATCACATGTAACATCCTTGAACCGACGCAAATCTTGCCCAAGTCTAGTGGTTGAGTTGTCAAGGAAATGCAATGTAGTTTCAGTATGCAGTCTGAGTTTTCCTAGCATGTGCCACATTGCAAGTTCAAAGAGCAAATCCAATATAACCTCATTGTGGTCACCAGGCAATAGCCCTTCCAACACAGGAATAGTGCACTGAGTCACATCGAACAAAGATCAGACTTGAAACTGTGCACGAACCTGTAAGATATCCTCAAAGTCTCTTGCAGCGAGTTTTGAAAGATTCGAAACATTGCGGTTGAATTTGCGTATTGTATCTCGGCCAAAAGTTGGAACATTACGAAATATTTGAGTTGGTTAGTCTGGAAAGCAATCAAACAAATTCAAACCTCACCTTGCGTCAAACTGTTGAATTGCGTCCCCGCCAAAAGCATACATGATACGCAGCAAATGTGTGAGAGTACCCTTCCAGACCCCCAGTTCGAACTCGTGCATAAAATCAGGTACAAACATTGAGTGAAAGTCAAACCCAAAGTGGGACAAGCGTGCTGAGAAAGCATTCTTCAAAGTATCGGAGGCGTCAGGAACTTGAGTGTACAATAAATGTAAAACTTACACGTGTTGGAACAAGAGATGTTGGTCCAAGTACCTTGTCGATCACTGAGCTTGCAATGTTATGCCCCTTTGTAAAAATCCAGCCTCGGACCATCTCGATCATGCTCCGGCGAGCATGGTTATCCACCCGTACATCTCGTGTGCGTCGCAGTCGATCCAACTTTGATCCCAGCTGTTCAATCTTGTCCTTCGGAATGAGGCATCGGGAACATGGAAATTTACCAAGGAACTTAATACATGCAAGGAGAATCCTGAAATTTGAATGAGCTGTTGTAAAGAAGGAGAGTTATAGACATGTACTTCTCTGGGTAATCCGCTGCATAGGTAAAAAAACGAGGAAATACTCGACGATAGACGTTGTCCGCAAATCGGATAACAATACCATGCTCGTAGGCATACATGAATTTGTCGTCGAGGAGTAGGAGCCAAATGGCATGCATAAGATCCCGCTTGAGATGGGTAAGGACTGCACTCATTGCAGCTTTCCCATAGGCATGCATATAATATTCATGTACAATATCTGGTAACTGGATATGTTACCGTCAGGATTGACCATAACAACTCGAGATACAAGACTTACCTTTGGAATATATGCTAAATGATGTGCTGCAAATTCGAGTGGCTTGTTCCACAGGTACTTTGATTGGTTTCCAATAAACAGGTAGATAGGCCATAGCGCAGCGTGCCCGAATGAAGCCAGATGTGTCGAGTCTGACCACAACATGATGGCAGCAACAACCGTCTCTAGATTGCACCTCCGAGGCTGTGCCTTGATTTGCTGATGCTCCTGGAGCATTGCGTCAGCAGTATAGAGTTTGGTGATGATTCATTCAGGGAATTCATGTTCGTCAGGGTGCCAGAAGACTTTGAAGGGAGTAGTATGGAACGTCCTTGAGGACATCTCTTCATATGCTGATTTGAGAACTTCAAGCGGCTTGCGATAGTAAAGTCCTTTGACTTCAAATTCGGGGGCATCTGCTTCTGACACAAATTTCTCCTTCTCCGCAGGCAGCTTAATCTTCACAGACGCCTCACGCCACTTGTCAGATGTAAACAAACCCAAGTTTGGATCTTCGCCTGCCTGATCCATTCTCTTAGCCTCCCGAGATGCAGAAAATCCTCTCAAGTCCTCGCGCTCAAAATCTTCGGCAAGTATCACCTCTTGCACTAGGTGGTCAAGGTCGGCAATAGATCTACGTTGTAGAACCAACTCATGAGCCGAAAAGTCATAACATTGAGGAAAGGTGCAAAGAAGGTGCGATTGACAGCATCAACAGCAGTGCCAAAGCCTGCATACCAGGATCGCTTATGCTCGCTGGGACCATCAGCTGGTTGGAATGTGCAAGAGTCGCAAACATCGTCAAACGACGCTATATTCTCTGGATCATACGACGGGAAAGCTCCCAGGTATGAGTGGAACACACGGTGTCCTGGTCCGTGTGTACCCAGACATCTTCATCTGATTCCATGTCAGACTCGGTACCAGAACGTGGTGAGGTGGCATCGACATCAGACTGAGAAGCAGCATGATTAATGTCAGTTACAGGTGGAGGAATGGGAACTGGAATGGGGAGAGCAGGAAGCTCATCCTGAAAGCGTAATGGGAGCTGCCGTTTATGATTTGGAAGGCCCGACGGTCGCTGTGGTGGACTTGAATGTACCAGTGGAGGTGGGGGTGAATGATGCACTGGTAATTCCTAAATACGAGCATGGATATATTGTATCGCTCTGAAAAAAATAAATATTCACTTACATATGGCTTGAGATTCTCAAACTCCGGCTGGCTCGCCCCGTCATGCAAGGGAGCTTCTGACTGAGTATGTGGCACAGGAGGAGGCTGTGGGGCTTGGCGCTCACGACGGGCATTCATGACATTGTTTGAGGCGTCTCTAAGGCCTTTGCACCATTGGTTCTGGTGCGTTGACAGACCATGTGCTGATTTGGCAGTATAATTGCAAGCAGGACATACGAACGACATGACAAGGATGAAAGTGAGTAACGCAAGGATGGTACACTTTGCAGGCATTGCCTGCGTGTATCTGCCTAAGTCACTACAGGCGTGCACTGCAATGGGGAGGCGAGGAGTCAGAACAAAGGACACATTTTATGTTAAATCGGACCTGCCACCCGATCAAAACCTGCCTGTAAAACTCTATGCTCCCAAAGAGCATCCTGGCAGTGCTGTGCACCATATGGTGATGTATCCTTCTCTCCTGCTATAGGTCCAATATTGCCATTCTCTCCCTCTGGCTGACGTGCTTGACCAAGCCTCTGCGGATCATGACTGAAGCCAATAGACTTATCTCTAGTAGTTCGTCGATAACTGGATGTGAAGAGGTCTTCACATATTTGCCTATAGTCAGTATCTTTGGTAGTTCGTCGATAACCAGATTTGAAGAGTCTTGGGTGTAGAATCATCACTGCGCCACACAGGTGTCAGCTCAACACAAGAAACAATGATATTCATGCGACAATCTATGTAGGGTAGATGGAAGTAGTACGGAATACTGGGAGGTCCGTGAAGCCATTAAGCAACTGGCCATATCTGTAGTGAAAGACAATCCCGTTGCTAAAGCTGACGGAGGAGAGCGTCAGTGGAAGCATCGCAAATGAGAGCGAATGTACACCAATTCGCGGCCGAAAGGCATCAAGATCTCCGTGCCCAACTTATATGTCCAGGTTGCCAAGAATTCCAAATCACCAATGGCACTGAAGCCTTCCATCAGCGCAGCAGTCGGATGCGAAGATGCGAGGGTGGGTGCAGATGTGAGGGTGGGTGCAGATGCAAGGCGGGTGAAGATGCGAGGTTGGGTGAAGATGCGAGGGTGGGTGAAGATGCAAGGTTAGTGAAGATGCAAGGGCGGGTGAGACAAATAGCCTAGTACAAGAAACAAAGTCAGTACACATAGTAGGTAGTAAAAGTTAGAAGCCATCAGGCTTAGGTGCTCGGAGTCGCCTCCTAGAGGCGTGTCCTCGCAGCCTGACAGCCTCTGGTCCAAGTCGCCTCCTAGAGGCGTGTTGGACCAGGAAGTGAAGTGCAAATAAAAATAAAAATAAAAAAACTCACCAGAGTTTGTGCGCTCGCTCGGAAACTGAAGAAACAAGAAGAATAAGTTCAGACTTCCTGTTTTGAAAGTCATGTGACTTTCAAAGTCAGTCGGCACTTTCCGGAAATACACAATGTCTCAATAACGTGTCAATCTTTGCTTATCTCTTACCATTAATTGTACTCTTACGCTACTATTTATTATCCTCAATGCCTTCAATGTCTACCATCAACATGTTCGAGGACAACATACTCATTGAGATTGATGGTGTTGCCTCTACGTGGGATACCTATTGTCTTGGCCTAAATATAGTCACTCCTGGCTCCAAAGTATGAAATAATCGTTTTATTTACAAGTACGACTAAACCTATCATGTTTTTGTCTATTCAGCGAGTGATTTTCCGGTTCAAAGATATCGGAAAGGCCATTCGAGAGGGTTCATCTGACTCCGGCCATATGTGAGTTCATTCATTCAATACAGTGCGTTAATTATTCACTTTGAAGCTAGCACTAATACGAGCACACTCGAGGCTGACAACATCAAGACAGAACCTGACTTAGTTGAGACTTGTGTAAAGTTCGAGGAGGACGACAAGGATTCCATAAATTCTGTGTATGCAACCTTCTGTCTAATTACTATACTCGGATTCTGACTAACAGATTTTCAAAGAAATGTGTCTCCATGCAACCTACTCGCTCGACACTGTGGTAATCCAAACGCAAGACCAACTGACCCATTTGCACTGTGGCGCTACTCAGTACGGCCATTTGATCGGTCAAACATTCCGTCGGAGGCTGCTAAAAGGAAGGCACTGCATCAAGACATCAAGGACTATGCATGCAAGCGTCGTAAATTATGATCTGTCCACTATTGCTTCAAATTGTTTGCTCATTTTCCCATAGTCACTCATACCTTTTGCAGTCATTTGTATCAACTACTGTTTGCTATCACCTGCTCTCGTACTACAGATACCTTTCATGTTGCTCACAGTACCTCTTTCTTCTTGCACTGTACCACTATTTTACAATGTTCTTTTGCTGATTATCATATGTCATGTACTGCTCAATTCAAAGTGTATCTGCTTGTCACGGTTGTCTGATGATCTTGAAACTCTGGCCATCAATATTTTTAAATTCTGATATCTGTGAACAACTTCCTGATTTCCCCTGAGCCCTTTACCTCACCCTACAATGTCTTCATCAGACTCTGACACATTGTCGTCAGCCTACAACTCCAATAAATGCGCGTCTTCATCAAACTCTGACGCGATGTGACACTCGCATCCTCCCTGGGCTGCAAAGTGTGTCTTTTGGTATTGGTGTCAAGGAGTATGGGGAGATATATGTCCCGTCTCATTTTCTGGTGTTCCAATGGCAAGGATACCTCGGTCGACGCTATCTGACATACTCCCACAGGCGTATCCGTTCCGCACTTCCACTCTGCACTGTCCGTCCATGTCCTTTCCATGTCCGCTATCTCCATTGGTGCATATTCATTTTCTCTCGGTTTGACTAAACAATATCAAGGCTTATTACATGTAACCGCGTATTCCGTTCCGCGCGCTCTCTCATTACATATTACTTATCTGCCTCGTTTCATCGCTACAGTTCTCGCCTACGGGTTCCGGACGCTCACGCAGTAGGATAAAATCTCGCGCGCTACATACAGTACTTTACTTCCCTTCCCTCGGACACTACCTTTGTTTTGTGGAGTCACTTAGACATTCCTAGTATTATTGATCAATTGACAAGCTTTGTTCACTTCTCACTTCGAACCCGTGTGTTCTTGACTGCTCCGAGAATGCGCCTCTAAGTTTCCTTACCTAGGCTCTGCACGGATCCGAACCGCTCTTGGCTTCCGACTTAGCGTTTTCATACCTAGTTATACCTCGGCTTCAAACCTCCCTTATACCTAGCCGCTACTGGTGGAACCGCGCTTTACCTAGAAACCCGCTGCTCTTTACCTTGGATCTTCTCGCTTTCATTCGTTTCTCATAGCGCACTCACCGGACCCGCAGTCTCGCTGTCGCTCTTACCAGCGGACTCACTTTTCCAGGGTCAACTTAGTTCTATTCCGTTCCGCATTTGCTCCCTTCGCATATTACTTGAAGGAAGTGCTTCATAGCAATCCTCTTGGGTCGAGACAGCACACCCCCACTCAGTTGGTTTTATTGGTGCTCTAGCTTTCTTGCTGGCCAGTCATCATTACTTCTTCACAGCGACGTTGCCAACTTCCAACTCTGAGAAGCGTACATCTTCATCAAGCTCTAATGTGTCGAAAAAATGTGTCTCAACTGATGATATCCTCGATAATCTTACTACCACTGGCAGGCAGAAGAAAATAAAGTGAGTTTTACATTCGTGGGCTGACCACTATCATGCAACTCATGCAACTTAAGGTTGAGCAATGCATTATCGGAATATCGCACGGCCAGGTGCAAAGCGGTCCTTACATTGAATCCATTTGCCAACATGTCGCTCGCATTTCACTATGGGATGATGCTTGACAAGGGAGGCATCTCCAATTCAAACATGTAAGTTGGTAATCGCATCTCGTAGTATTAACCTGATCTGCTCGTAAGATCTGATGAGCAACAAACTCATTACCGTACATTTTACAATGGTATTCTAGATATGATTCCTGGTTTCCGTGCAACTCTCGATGAGTTGTCATATGACGAACTTAAACCATATATCACGGCGGTACGTTTCTGCATATATGCGCATATATTCATTGATTGGCACCAAACTAATGACTACAAATAACTAGATCAACAGCGCCATGAGCTCACAACGATCCGATGACTTCGCATCCCTCAAACACTCAATACTCAAGTATATTTTGACAAACCGTAACAGTGATACCCTGCAGCCTCCCATACCAAAGTCATCCTGTAAGTCCAACTGAGGCACAAATCATCCACGATTGGCGCGTGAGCTCTGCCCTCGGAAGTGGCTGGACAGATTTGATATCAATGTCGACTTGTAAGTTCTTGTTTTTATTTCAAGTTCTGGTCACTGACCGTTACATACTCAGAGGAATTCAGCATCTTCAAGATGGGACTTGGCCTTTACTCTCAACTAATTGGCCGTCATTCCTATATGCAGCCGATGCCATCTACAACAGCGAGGACCCAAACATTGGCCTCTTTCGCGGGCATGCTGGTATCAGGGTATGTAGTGTATTGTCACCTTTCATGTGCTCACAATTTTCCTAGGCATTCCAGCACTTGTACCTAGGTCCTGCTGCTGCAGGATCAGAGGAACATAACGACGATGACAGCAAGCACGGTAGAAGCAAGTCCAAGGCTACCATGTATGGGCTTACAAAGGTGACACCGCAAGCATGGGCTTGGGCCATGTGTGCAGTGTGTCTGTTTTTATTTTTGACTAGTGTACTGATTTTCGTACAGGTGTGGTTTTTGCTCTCAGCCTGCAACTCATACAAAGTGTGCATCGGGTCATTCAACCTAGAAGATTTCTTTTTCGCTATCCTCGAAACTCTCGATGATCCCGAGGACCCATGGGCAGTAGAGACAATGGCATGGATTAATGAGTATGTGTCTAGGCTAATATCAATGTCTACTAACACAAATTACAGACAGGTTTTCAGGAAACATGCAGCCAAGGCCATGACAGCTGCTGCAGATGACACCGATTCTGACCTTGCGAAAATGCGAGCGAAATGTGCCGCTCATAAACAAGGTAACACTTCGACATCGGCAACAAACAATGTTGTGCGCAGTACCACTACTTCTCCACCCTCAGTATCAGCAGCAGAACACCCATCATCACCTGCACCATCACCACTATCTCCACCCAGACTCCCTTCGCAGGTTACACCTTCCACATCATCACCACCACGCGCCTTGACACCACTATCTGACTCGGAATCATTCCCACCCTCCCCGGCAAAACAGCCACCTGCTATACCCACAGCCGTTCTTCCCAATCCAGTGCCTGTTGCGCACAAAAAGGCCAAACTTGTCCCCAGACCTAAACCCATTCCAAAGGCCAAACCAGTACCCAAGCCACGGTCCAACACTCGCGGTTCTGCGCGTCTCTCTGCTGGTGGTATCCAGGTTGAAGAACCCACTAATGAGGTGGGTGATGCTGGTATTCTGAATGTGAAAGCTCCTGCACCTCCAAAGAAAAAGCCTGTGGCTCGTCATGGTAAAAAGGCTGCCTAGGTATTTTGAATCCTGGTTGGTTTGCCTATTCTGACTCTTGCTTTAATCACACAGGTTTCAACACTGTCGCTCGCTGCATTCCACTTGGTCATCTCGTGCCCATCATGCTGTACATTACACTCGCACTCACGACTGCTCCCGCACTTACAATATTTCATTTCTCGCACCATCATTTTTGCTCTCATTGGACCCTTGCTCCTGCTTTCGGATGGCGTCGGACTCGCATAGACACCTGTGTAGTTTTACTACTTGCACTGCTTTGTATTGTACGATCATGAAATTCACTGGATTCTGTTTATTGCATTGCAGTGTGCTATCTGTCTGGTATGAGTCATGTAAGCTATGAACAGCCTGCTTGGAACTGGCAAGGCTGGATCAACATTGCAAGGCGCCTCAAGACTTTTTAAAATACACGATTATGATGGCTTTTGACCAGCCTGGTGCCCATCTGGCACGATGGAGAGGTTGTCTGCAAGCCATGTTCAGTCTTGGCAAAGTTCATCAGACTTGGGGTATCTTTCCAAGCCTGGGAATGCCTTACCGGGCTGCGCCACTTTTGCTGATGTAGGACCAATAAGATGTAGAAAAGTAGACAGAATTATGATAAAGTACTCACCAGTAATGTCTAATTGATAGTGTGCTTGTGCAGCAGCTCCTTCCTTGCTAATTGTTGCATGAGAGACAATGCGGTGTTCAGTAATGTGGGTCCTATTGCCTGCATTAACGATCCGAACAGTGCGAGAGAGGCCTTGATGAGTCCTTGAGGGTGGCATAAAGGTGAGAGGGAGGGAGTGAGGAGAAAGGAAAGCACCTGTTGAGAACAGTGAGCATGAAGGTTTGCAGACGTTGCCAACAATGAGTGCTGAACCCTTACCATTGTAGAGATACAACAATTGCTGGACACTACACGAAGTAAGTAGCCAGCAATATAAAAAATGTGTTGTGGTCGTGCACAGCCTAGTCTGCTATACTTGCAAGGCAAGTGCGTTTGACCCAAGGGGTTTACTGTATGGTATTAGAATAATCAGTTATAACAAAAGGAAGATAGCCCGAAGCGTGGGAAACAAAGTCCGAAGGTATAATTACGAGTCCGATGTTTTTAGGTTTTGGGTTAGTGGGTTTGCCTCGGGTTGCATCAGGTTAGCATCAGGTTTGCCTCAGGAATATAGCAAATGTCGGGAATAGCAAATGGCGGGTTACTGTCAGATGTTTCGGAGTGTTTCGGATAAAGAATGGATGATATTGCAGAATCCAACTAAGAACTACGAATATCGGATGACCTCCTCCTACTCAGAGGTAGAAAGGTAAAGTAAATAGGTAGGAGGTATGCGAAATATATAGTGTCTATGTAGAATTTCGGAGTGCTATAGGCGAAAGTAGTAGCACTGATTTTCGGGTCCAATGTCCTATGTAATAAGACACAATGTACTGCGGACATGTAATAATGTGTTCTACAATGTTAGCAACGTGAAAATGAATAACTGCGCACCTAGTGGGGATAGATATGACAGGACAGGACATCGGGAGGACAAATGCACGGGAAAATATCAGGTCCGATGCGCGGGAAATGTCGGGTCTGTCAGATTAGCATCAGGTTTAGCGGATAAACATCAGATTGAGCGGGTTAGCATCAGATTTGAGCAGATGAGTCTCAGATAACATCAGGAAGTGATTCAGATGTTTGACATGTATCAGGAAATAGCTGGATATGAGCCTAGCGCGAGCTCGAGTGCTACACCATATTTGGTATGTTCGCACTCATTGGTATTTGGTAACATTGGTTAGCGGATGTTGCCGGTGTGGGACCTTGGTGGTTTTTTCTGAAGAGTAGATATTCAGCATTATTACACTATTTACTGGCAGTGTAGAGCTTTGGCATAATCTATGCTAATTAGAATGGTGACCCCCTGGGAGTATGGCATTCTTATTAAGGCAAGATTATGTGATGTCGAGGTGAGTGAGACATAAGATAACTAAAGGATCCACTACCTCACTACAAAGTTAGGATTGGCATAAAGTACTATAAGACTGCCTGTATAATAAGTGAACACAATCTAAAACTCCTAGGTTATAGGAATACTAAAATGAGCCACTATATACCTAAGAAAATTGAATTCCTAACTTGAGAAACACAAAACTCTCATCCTTCCCAATTATTTACTACAAATACAAATGCCCAAATGATATGGTTATCATTTCAATTGATATACATCATCTTAGATTCATCTAGCTACTATAAAAAATGCTCCTCAAAAATCTAAACTAGGGCAAGCTAGTAGTTTGGTTACTATTTTTTAAAAACTCATTGATATCCTCTTACCATTGTATAGCATTCCATTGGTCAGATGATAAAATTTAAAAATACTACCAATTTTCCTAATAATAAAGTATCAATATACTTCAGTAGGACATTAATAGCTATGATGGCTTAGGAGATCTGATATCAGGTTCTAGCTATTCAATATAGTATAGAGTTTATGACCTTCTAGATCCTAAAATAAAAAAACAGTATTATCAACAGAATAGTTTATATCATGTTTGGAGACTTGGTACTTGGCACAAGAGGCAAAAATGTCATCCCACTGCTTTTGAAAATACTTTTTATTTACTTTAATTATGAAGTAATCAAATCAAACAATTGAATAAAGTAGAAGGCCTTTAGAGACTTTAATATTGTCAGAAAGATCTTGAAGAGACACTTGCATCTTACTAGTAACTAGAATTACTTTAGGATAGTAACCATAGCCCTTCAAACAGTAGCACTATTTGATAAAGATGTTTAACTCTAGTTAGGCACTTTGAAAGATATACTAAACCAAATATATTTGTGTTAAAGTCTTTGCACTATCTAGTTTGCTATATTTTCAGAAGTAGGTTTATTCAACTTTAAAGTAGCTAGATGAGACTCATTCAAGTACTTCATTATACTATTAATTTAACAAATTTTCTACTGCAGCTTGACTAACAGCAAGTTATATAATGATAATAAAGGTTAAACCATCAGTAAGATCTGTGCTATATATAGACACATCATGCATTCAAGTATCAAATTAGGTAATGTTTGCATTTTTTGTTTACTTCAACCTTGAATTTTTTGATATCCTACTAGCTTGTGAGCCATATTGGCTGTATTATGATACTGACCAGCTAAGGTGCGGTCTGGACAACCAATGACTCTGGGTTCGAAATTTGTGGTTCAAACTGCATGTGAGGACCCCACATGATATAAGGTGCGAACTGATTGATAATTGATCATATAGCTATGGAATACAATTGATTGCTTGCTGCATGGTGCACCCACCATGATGGACCTTGAAGCTCAAACATGCCATCGACGACACCAAGTCATTGTCATCATAACAATTGCTGTGGCTCAGATCTCTTATCTTTACAACCTTTTATTCCCGTCCCGCACTGAGAGGATACCTTATCATACATCCATCCTGACTGGCAAAGCATGGGTATATGAGTTGATTACCGGTCACCCAGATCACATCAAGCATAACTTTGGTGTTAACCTTCAGATTTTCAAGGAAATGTTAGAGATTCTTCATCAGCATAGATTCATCCAGTCCTGCAATGGCGATATAAGTAGTTGTGTGCTGATTTTGCAGATATTTCAAGTGCATGCTTATGTTCTTCTCATCGCCTCCCTTCTATACTTCGAATGTTCAGTTCCCGGACCATAACACCCCCATTTCTGCAGCAATCCACGATGATTCACAATTCAGATTCTTTCATGACTGTATTGGCGCTGTCAACAGCACCCACATTTGCGTCTTTGCACCACTCAAAGAGCACATCATCCTATGCAACCAAAAGGGATTTTTATCCCAAAATTGTCTGTTTATATGCGACTTCAACTTTTACTTCACATACTCACTCACAGGCTGGGACAGCTCAGTGGCTGATGCCACTCTTTGGAATGATGCATGCTCTCATGATTTGCACATGCCTGCACAAAAGTATCTCCTTGCTGATGCAGGCTTTGGTACATGTGACTCACTTCTCATACCCTATCAGGGTGTGCACTATCATCTGAAAGAATGGTGCCAAGCAAACCTTGCATAAGTCCTTTCTTTTTACATTTGTTTTGCTATTAAAACATTTCATAGGCCACAAGATCCAAAGGAGCTGTTCAATTTATGCACGCAGCACTACACAACATTATTGAACATATCTTTGGCATTTTGAAGTGCCAATGGCGCATTTTGACAATTGCTCCAGAATATGACATGTGCATCCAGGCCCGGTGTAGGACTTGGAGTCCTTGTGGCCTCATAGAGGTCTAATTTCCGATGCATGTTGAATGCTAATCATTGCCCAAATCATTCCCTATCATATCCGACTCAATACACACCAAACCCGAAACCATCGGACATTGGGCATTGGACATTGGACATTGGACATTGGACATTGGACATCGGGTTTCACATCAGCCGATCGGATATCGCACACACTCACCCTACCTATGTCCAGTCTCATCGTGCTAGCCCCACTAGGTGTGTAGTTACTTGTTTTCACATCCCTAACATTGTTGACCACATTATTACATGTATTCCCATAGTCCGCAGTACCTCATGTCTTATTACATAGGACATTGGACCCGAAATATTGCGCTACTACTTTCGCCTATAGGGTTCTGGATTTCTATGTATCTACATAAATATTGGACTCCCCATAGCATCATCATCATCTGAGTAGAGGAGAATCATCTCCGACACTTAGGGGTCAAACCCGATATTTGGTAGTTCTTAGTTGACATTGTGAATATCATCGTTCCTTCACCATCTGTACCCGTCATCGTTATTATTGCGCACACCGCTCGCTTTCCTGACGCTCGCTATCATGTAGCTATTAGTTTCCAATACCCCGAACCCGAACCCGATAACCTGAAATCCAAAACACATCGGACCTGACACTTTTGCATCAGACATCATAATTATACCTTCGGACATTGTTTCCTGTGCTCGGATTAATGACCTCACATCACCCACTGACCCCCAAAACTATTCCCAGACTGCAGACCCCTGGGTTGAACGCACTTGTCACCAAGTATAGCAGACTAGGCAGTGCAAGACCACAACATAAAGATATCAGTTTGGAGCCATCTTTGTATAGCCCCACTCTGTGTTGTATACCTACACCGGATCCCGGCGGCACTATGTGCCATCCATAACTTCATGCGAAGACATAATCCTGATATTTTTGACCTTGCACTTGATTACAAGTACAATCTTGTGGAGGATGATAATATAGGTTCTGGACTTTTGGAGGGACCAGCAGATGCTCCTGAGTGGTGACGAGCAGATGCTCATTACGAGAGAATTGCACTAGAGATGTGGGATGATTATCTCAAGGAACATGAACAAAGGGGACTCCCATTGCCATAGTTATACGTATTACAAATTTTGTACTTTGAAATGATCAGCATGCTATAATACAACCATAGAGTCCTGCAAGTCGATTGATGCATGTGATGTGCCACCACAAAGTATGCACTTCTTCTCCAGCCACTCGAGCCTCATTGCCTCATCCAATGAGTAAAATATAATAGCCTGGTTCTCGTGCTCAGCAAAAAAAAGTGCAATTGCCAAGTGCTATTTACTCATTAGATGTGTGTACTTATTGAGCAGGGATATGGCACTCCTGACGTGCATAGAAGGCTGTGGCTGCACCGGTAGCTGTGGTGGTGCCAACACGAGGTTCTTCTGCATCTTACGTACCACTTCGACGAGGCTCTTCATCATCTCAGTACCCTCCTGCTGCGCTAACAATGTTACAGATAGTGGGTGATTTTGTTTCTGAGACACTGCAACTGAAGGAGAGAGAGCACTGAATTTACGCTTTCCTCGGCTGATACTCGTCACTACTGAGTCACTATTAGAGCCTTCAGTGGACAGAGCGAGATATGTAGATGGAGCGGAGGGGATGATGGACTCTAGGCCCACGGAGGATGGTGGCACTGGAGGTACAGCCTCTGTTGATGAGGCAATGGAGGACAATATAGCGATGACAGTATCTTGAGGAGCTGTGTGGCCAGTGGTGGTAGGTCAGAAGACATGTGAGCCTTTCAGCTTGCTTGGCATTAGCTGCTCCATAATATTGAAGTGTTCAAAGCCCTTCATCATGAAGGGCTTAGCATGAGGATGTGTCCAAAAAGAATGTCATCGAGAGGCATGCAATCAATTACAATACTTACCTTTGTAAAGCGTGACAAGACATCATCCTTTCTATCTGTAACCCCTGCTCCATGCTCATCGCTCCATGTGAAACCTGATGTGCACTTGATTTCAACGACACTATGGTACACTTTCTTTAACTATAAAGATGTCACTGGCAGCTGACACAAAGATTATAATAAACATACCGCTGTCCATTTATTTTTGCATACTAGACCAGTTTTTTCTGCCCCCCTCTGATTGGGGTATTGTGCCTTGAGGTGGGCAGATGCCTGATTAAAGGTAGGCATCTTGAAGCCCCCTTCACCTGATGAAGGAAGGGCCACCACAAGGAACTCGAGAAATGTGCTTTCCTCCGCTTTTGTCCAGACTGCAGGAGGCTTGTGGTTTGTTCCAGAGGCAGTGGCTGATGCTACATTGATAGCACCTCAAGAGCATAGCGAATGTGAAGAGCCACTGTTAGATTTATTGGACATCTTGACAATGGTACATATGATAGTGGTGATGGTATGGATCTTCCCGCTCATGTGCAGTCATCACGTGTAGTTTGAACCACGAATTTCGAACCCAGAGTCGTTGTCCAGACTGCACCTAAGTAATTATGAATTTTGAGCTTGAGAAGAAAGTAAAGAGAGTGATAATCCTGATGTAAATCAATCATCTAACTCCTTCAATATAGAACTTTTAAATATCACATTAGTTCTAGTGAGTAATACTTCCCATATTATATTCTCTATTCCCTTATGCATATAACTCCTTCTATACAATGCCAATAAACAATTCTCTCTTAATGATATCATCCTATGGTACAAACAGGCTTTTAAAAAGATAGTAACATATGTAAAAGTATATAACAGTAAGTTTTGAGAATTGGTAATCATGCCAGTGGAACATGTCCAGATTGCACTGCATTAGTTTTTTTTCACTTAGCATATCTTGTTTAGTATAAAATATAAAATATGTATTAATATACCTCAATAATGTTTTTCTGAATATATTTAAGTTGAAATTTTGGCTAAGTGAACTAATTTATACAAAGACACTGAAGTGTAAATCAAGTCCATTTAAGGCAGCTTGAGCAACATGTTTCTTTACTGATACATGCATACCTCAGCAGACATGATAGAGAATGCTGAGATAGAACTATGTATACTAAGTCCCTTAAGTCTTAGAATGAAATACAAGAAACTCAAAGTAAAATTTAGTGATACTGGTGCTGGTGTGGTGCTGCTAGGTGACATGGCTACAAAAAATATGTTAGGTAAGTCATCTGTTACTTGTTTTTGTTCTTTGCTGATTGATTCTTATAGATGCAGTTCTTATTAAGCTCCCATAGTACACAGAGCTTGATTAAATCTGGCATTCCAATCCATCCATGGCCGCCAAGATTCACTCATCTAAGCCAGGGGTCAATCATACAGGCACCTTGTACTCACTTGTCCAACCACATGGTAGGGCTGGTTCTACCACATATTTTGACACCAGTGCTCAACAGTCTTCTATACATACTTATGATGCTTAGTCCTTCTCAAACTCCCAGCCCTACAATGTATATACCTCCAATAGCATATTTCCTGCCATGACTACATATTCCACCAGCACTACATATCCACCTAGAGCCTCTTTTGTTATAAATTTGCATAGCAATCCTGCAATTGATTTGCAACTACATCCAGCTGCTTCTGCTTCTGCTTCTACCCTTACCTTAACTTCGCATAATCTGCTTTAGATACACCTTCCTGGCCTTTGTAATTTTCCTGATGTTAAGATCTATGACAACTTTGCCCCCCAATGTGATAACAGTCATTTGGAGAGCAGCCTATTAGACTCCCTCCTTTGAGATGCTTTAAACCACCTTGATTGTGATAAGATAATATTGTTACAAATAACATCTGTCACATGGCCCCCCTATCATTTTCCCTTCATCCTCATCCTCACCATCTACTGGCTCGTCCTCCTCTACCAATTATCCATTGACCGGATCCTTGGGACAGTTCCCGTCCCTCATATTATCCTCCTCTATGCACGTACATGCATGTTTCCTCCTATGATTTAACCACCAATGTGGTCTCACTCCTCTGACTCAGTGTGACTCATGCCACCAATGTGGCTTTCTTTTTTCGTTTTCTTTTGACTGTGTTTCACGCATGTTGTATTTTTTACCATTGGATTGTTCCAACATTTCTCAGTCTCATTCTGCATTTGACCATCCACCACTAATTTGGCTATGTTGCCAGCATACCTATACCATTACAGTTTCCCCTTTACCCTTACCTACGGTATGGTAACCCAACCCTTAACCCTTTCTACTTAGTATAAGTAGTCGGTCACCTTATATTAGATTCTCTAACTTGAATCTACTCAATCTTCCTTGAAACATACTTCTCTCTGAAGCCTCTCAGCTTCAGCTTCAGCCTCTAGTATCTTTTCTTAAGTGCTCTTCACGCTTAAGTCTATTCAATCGACACTCATTGTTCAGACTCATCATCCTTACTTTGAGCCTGGTGACTTCAGAGACCACCGTCTTAGAAGTCACATGATATATGTGTCTGTGATCACTGTCGACTAGACATTGCCAGTCTCACTCATCATACCAGATCCTTCTAGTTATGTCACAAACATTAGCAGATGTCACCCCTCTTAGGGCTCCGTATAACAGATCTATTTGAGTACATAACAAATATATAATACTACCAATACTACCAATAACCCTCCCCAAGTTGTAGGGACCAAACAACAATTTGCTATATTGCCCACTCCCACTCCTGAAGCCCCACAACCACAATCATTTTAAATCCTCACTAAGTTCTCAGCATCTTCATATAACAACTGCTCTGCATTTGGTGCACAGAGGCCATCGAGCTGTGGAAGGGTAACACAAAGTGGCACCAAAAATTGTATGCAGCATGTCAACACCATCATCGACAACACACAACACTACATATGTGTCATTGTTAGACTATATTGGGCCACTGAGCCCATAGACCTTGCTGCTGATCAGTGTAGGGAGCTTAAAGAAGAAGGCTAAATCTGACATCATGCAGCAGGTGGACCAGTTCTGGTGTGAGATCAAGAGCTTACAGTCTGATGCTATGTCATGTCATGATAGCAAGCATCAGCAGTTCCTTACAAAACTTAAGATAAAGTCTGAGTACCATCAGTGCTAACAGGAGAATAAAGATGCTGAGATCCACCTTTGTGAAGTGGATATATGGGTGCATGAAGCATATTCACAGGTGCTTGACAAGGAGGCTGAGACCCTCCATCTTAAGATCCAATTCCACCAGATGATGTAAGGTAGCAGAGCCTAGACATTAAATGGAGCTATATAAGCTATTTGTTGTTGTTATGTCTGTTATCTCCATCTGTTGCTGTATTATTTTCATATTTTTTTAACTATCTTATTTGTTTTTTTTAATTGCTTTTCATTTGACATTTGTTATTACATGACTGGACATATATTTCTTTGTGATAGTATATGTCAAGTCTAATATGAGAGAGATTATCCTTCCCTATGTTGTGCATCCAAGTGAGGACTATTCAAGAGATCATCCATCAGCTTTACATAAGCAGCCTGACCTGGAGTGCCCTCATAATTCCTGTTACCAACTACTTCATCACCATCAGGATCCTCAAACTCCTGATCAATGAAGTCTTTACCCTCATCACAAGCTTACTTGAGAGAGCTCTCATAAGTGACATCTTGCTTGCGATAATGTATTTCAAACCAAATGATTATATTATACAGGATGATGCAGCATTTGATCCACTGCATAGTAAATTCAAGGTTTTTCTCAGTCTGAATTCTAAACCAGAGCTCTCAAAGGGACTGGAACCATCCCTCTAAAACAGCAGATGTATGTTCAATACGAACACAAATCTGAAAAAAATCAATTCATTGAAATATGGTTCCCTCAAAAAAAAAATACCTTAGAGAGGTGATAATTAAATGTCTTCTGGTCCTTAGTCAACCGCCCATTGCAAGGCTTCTTGAAAGGATCAATGCACCATGGCTCCAATGGATATGCAGTGTCAGCCCACACCCAATGACCATTAGATAGAAGGTCAGTGTGCTCTTCATAGAGACAGTATCTTCTTACTTGAGGTGTCTTATATAAAAGTGGTCAAAAGGCAATGACACCACAATTACACTTTTGAGAAGACTAGATGCTGCCAAATAACCTCAAGTTCATGGTCTATGACTTTTTCTTTCATGGTAGATAATGTGTTGTTCGTGGGAGGTTACCTGCTTATACAGCTTGGTGGTATGATTCTACCTAGAACAGTAGATGTTCTACAAAAGAAATCCAACTTTATCTGGCAAGACAGATAATGTAGACTTTATAGAGGAATATCTAGCCTTTCCTATGGCTAGATGGAAGATGCTTAATACAAATAAGTGATGTGATGTGTGTACTGTTGTGCAACTGGTTGCAACTGGATGTAGCAGATATTGCTAGAATTTCCCCACCTAGATATGAAAGGACTTGTTGATGGGAAATAGAAAAATTTGTATAACCGTGTGATACAAATCAAAGATGCGGTGTGACACTTGGATCCTCCCTAGGCTGCAAATGGGTCATTTCCATATATGTGTCAAGGAGTATAGAGCACTACGAGTTTCCCTATCATTGTCCATCATTTGTCCAGCAAGTAACCTCTGTCCAAACCTGAATCCGCTTTTCCCAGACTTTGCGCATCTGCTTATCTGCACTTTCCCATGCATTGGCCACATTGGATGTGCATTCCCGCGCTTCGGATACCTCAGAAACGCATTAGGAAAGATCCTTGTCCATCCATAGTCCATCCAAACCCCATTGGTATATGAATTTCCTTACCTTGAGGCTTGTAAAATGTGTTGCAGCCTTATTACATGTCCTTACATATTTCCTATATTTCCTATCCCTTCCTTCTCTGAGTGAGAGTCTAGATAGTATAAGTTGACTACTTCTAAGTATTACTTACTACACTTCCCTCGTACTGGATACCTCTTCCTATAGGTTTACCTTCGAAGTAGTCCCTTGTAGTGTGTGCTTTTAGCCTCTATTAGGTCCCTATACCTCTCTATACCTAGACTTTCCTTACCTTGCAATATACCTTTGCCCTCACCCACTCCAAACCTCGTTCCTTAACTTCCCTATACCTTGTCCACACTTTCCCGCACTTTCTGCACCTTCGGCTGTGCGTTCCCACACTTCAGATAGCCTCAGATACATTCCTACACCTTGCACATATCTGTCCGCTATTTTCCTGTGCTTTGTTACGACACAAGGTCGTGTGCGACTTGGATGATCTAAACAGCGACAACCACAACAGTGGTACCGAGTGCTGAGAGTCATCGGCCTTTACAGACAAGCAAAGGTTGCGTACTCGAACATAGCTCATGGTGGTTAACGAGGGGTTACGCTGAGATAATAGCAGAGTTACAGACAGTGAGAGGCATCACTGAAGGTATGAGTCGATGTCGAGCAGGTAGCTTTAGCAGGACAAGGAGTTCAAGGGAAAACCAAGTAAGATTAAAGTAAGGAACGTCTACTCTAATCTTCAACCTTATATAAGGCTACTCTATCGTGTCTAAGCTCAGCTCTAAGCTGGGTTCTAATCTGCTTATCTACATGAGTCAGAGATAGCGTCCATGAGGTGGGCTTCTATCGTAGATAGGATCCATGAGGCATCCTTCTATCAGTACATGAGGCAACACAAGGCTTGCCTTCTATCTTGATAACATAAATAGGTCTTCTAGACCTATGTCATCATATGCGGTCCAGACCGCTTATCTAAGCCGGCAGTTGCTGCTTTGTCATCTATCGTCATAGGGCTGGTGAGACCCTTGGTATTGTCTATAGCTGTGTGGTGGCAGAGGGCTGTCTGGTGGCAGGGGACTCGTGCCATGTTACTGTAACACGCTTAGCATGCTCTCAGGTTGCACATATCCATCATCATTCTAGTAGCAATTCCCTTTAGAGTCGAACACATCAGTTTAGACATAGCAGCTAGGCATTTGCTTGACCCAACCTTTTCTTGCCACCCAGCAAGGTTGTTGTTTCCACAACACAATAGATGGAAAATATAGCATTATCCTTGAAGAAATGTGTCCAATTTTTGCATTAGCACTATAGAAACCCTAATTTTTTCAGAAGTCTGCTATACTTGCAGGACAAGTGTGTTTAACCTGCGGGGTTTGCTGTTTAGACATAGTCTGAATGTCAGTGATAAGATAAACAGTCAATAATCCAAGAGTATGAAACAATGTCTGAAGGTATACTACAATATTTTTGGGTCAGTGGATTAGTGGATTAGCAGGTTGCAGTGTAGGTGAGGAATATGAAGTAATGGAAAGTAGATGATGTGAGATGAACTCAGATGGTTCTCTGTACACGAATTAATGTCAGCCCAAGGGGATTGCTACTAAGAAGGTTCCTCTATATGTATAGATGGAGGGAAACACTGAACTAGTGTAGGTTTACAACTCAGAGTGGTGCTATAGGCTCCAAACTGATATCTTTATGTTGTAGGTCATGCACTGCCTAGTCTGCTATACTTGTGAGACAAGTGTATTCAACCCTGAAGAGGAAGCAAGTGCAGCAAAGGTCTAGAAATTGGCACAGAAGGTGCTACTCATGGGAAAGCAGAGGGTATGTGTGCAGGAAAGTAGTGGCAACTAAAAGCTGAAGATGCAGGAAAAAGTGCAGCTGCGAAGTGGCCAATACACAAGGGGTTTAGATGATAATAGAGATGAGGGACAATAGAAATAGATATAGAGCAAGGCAATAACAGATACAATGTGAGTAGTAAATAGATACTGATTGCCAATAGCTACCAACTGTAGGCTAATGGGAGCTGCTACTGGAATATCCAGAAAACAAACTACTGAATGATATGTACTGCTGCCACTTAAGTATTGTGCTAAGCACTGTCATGCAAAGCTAAGCCAAAGCACTACTGAATATGGTATTTAAAGCTATATGTAACTAAGGGTCTATGATCAAAAAAGGTGGTACAATATGAAAATGGTCTGATATGCAAATATTAATCAAAGAAAATGTACTATTGGGTTGGTTTTGGACTATGAATGGACATGAGACTTCAGCTGATGGAGTGTGAGAAAAACACAGCTAAGCATGGCTGTGCACATGTAGAGGAAAGCTATGGCCAGCATGGGAAAGTATTGGCCGATGTGCACAGCTCACAGGAAAGCTGTGCTTTGTGTACCAAAGCAATAGGGTGCTGAGGGGCACTGCAAAAATAGCCTCTACAAGGCTGTAGGGACTTCCAGTCTTATACCAGGCGCCTAGTCAAGCCTAGTAAGGTGCACAATGATATGTGGAGTATAGGAAAGCAGAACCACTATGAACTGCTGATTTGTGATATGAAGCAACAGCATGCACTGAGCAGATGTAAGGTGCACGTGCAGATAGTTGGAGTACAGCGACTCTAAATGAGTCAAAAGATAAAAAAAGAAGTTTTGGTAAGAATATGATAATTAGCACTGATGTATGTTCAGGTGCTTAGTGTTAGTTAGTGGCTATGATGGAAATTTTGACTTAGAATCCAATGACATGCAAGAAGATGGTGGTGACTTGTTAAGAGAGAAAAACATACATGAAACTATGTAAGTAATGTTAAGCACTGTCAAGCACTGAGGCGAACTGGGAAGCAAAATGAGTACATGATAATATGTAATATAAGGGTCTATAACACAAGATACACAATGTGTCTGCATAGCACTGGAGATATTATCAGGATACACAAGAATAGAATAGGAATACACACCAATGAATCAAACAGACATGGGATGGATGGATTAAGGACGAGCAATGGAACTAAGGATGTGCACACTAATGAGCAACCAAAGTGCTTGTACACATGAGTGGCCAATGAAGTGCCTGGTACATGGGAATAAGATATGAGTCGCACTGTGTTTAGGTAGTGATTAGAGCATTGGAGGATTAGACCTCTATGAGGCTACAGAAATGTCAGTCTCTACAGTGGGTTGTGGGAAAATGGAATAATGAAGATGATAGGTATTTCAGATGAAAAGAGTAGTAATATTCGCAATGTCAATTAAGAACTACAAAATATTGGGTTTGACCTCTAAGCATTGGAAAATGGCTCCCTACTACTTGGATGATGATGATACTCCGATATATATGTAAATACATAGAAATGCAGAAACCTATAGGCAAAAGTAGTAGCAGAATATTTCAGATCTGAAGTACATGTAAAATAACATGAGGTACTGTGGATGATAGTAAAACATGTAACAGTGCTAGCTATGATATGAGTAACATGTGAAATAAGGAACTATGCACCTAGTGGGGCTAGCAAGATAAGACAGGACATGGGAAGGATGAGTGTAAAGTATTTGATCAGCCAAGTTGGTCTAAACATCAGGTCTGCTAGTCAAAGCACTAGATTGAGCAAGTAAGTATTAGATAATATTGGGAAGTGATTTGTGTATGATGGCCATTTGACATGCATCATGAAAGAGCTAGATACAAGTCCAGCATGAGGCCAAGTGCTACATCAAATATATATTTTTTCTATCAGTGTTTATGAGTCCAATATTTATATTTTAATAGGCTATCAATCATTTCACTAATCTCACTGGTAAAAGTAAAGAAGTGCTGAATCTTCACAACAAATCTTACAATGATTTCAAGCTCAATTGGAGTAACTGGAAACACCTTGAACTCATGAAGCCAGCCACTGCCTAGCAAACTTTCTCCTCCATGAAACATCCTACTACATGGCAAATGATACCTATATTGGAATGTCTAGCTGACTGGTGGCAAGAGATGGCCAATGATATACAGTGTGTGCTGATCACTGATGCAATTAAGCAAGGACTCAAGAACATTAACAAGTACTACAAGAAAACAAGTGACTCAGATGTGTATTTTATTTGTCTTGGTAAACATTAATATTACTTTCTATAACATATACCCACCTCTCATACAATTATAGTTCTTGACTCCAACTACAAGCTTGCTTATGTCAAAGAACGATGGGACAGTCAAGATGTTGTAGATAGAGGGGGCTCACCTCAAGACTGTCATAAGTATTTGTTCAAACTCATTATCGTCTTTGGACTTACATTCTTCTACAGTTTCATCAGCGAAACATAATTTACTACAAAGTATTACAGAGTGCTACAAAGTGCTCTGTAGCATTCTGTAGCACAATCTAACCTACTGATGTTGATGAGTATTATAAACCACCAAGTCAGATGCCTGTTAATAAACCTTCTCCACCAATAAGACCCTTGCATAAAAACCAGTATGGTGATGCATGAATGTGTGAGGCCATTAAGACATATTAAGCTACAGACAAACTTACTCACAATCCTCATTAAGAACTCACTATGTATCTGTCTTCACCACTAGAGGAAGCCAATGACATTGTTACCTGGTGGAAAGTAAGTAGTCTGTTTATTTGCTACAGAAATTGTTTATTAGCTTTATTCATTGCAATTTCCTATGCTAGCATGTATTGTGTGTGATTATTTGCCCATCCAAGGCAGCTGTGTCCCTCTGAACAGGCTTTCTTGAGCAGAGGGATCACCTCCATCATGCAACATAATACACTTGCATCATCTACATTTGGCTTGCTACAGTTGTCAAAGGTGGCATATAGGAACGGCCATCATGTTTCTGCAATAGTTGAGACAGAAGCACCTGTGTTTTTGGATGTATAGCTATAAGTAGGAGTCCTATCTATGTTTTTTTTGCTCATTGTAAATAAATTTGGTTCAGTTCATGTACAAACCTAAAAATAATCAGACCTAACTATTCTAAACTGTTTGCAAAGGTCCAGTTCAAGGTTCATCGAGTCTGGTAGAACTAGACCTAGGTCTGGTTCTTAGTTCTCACTCAACCCTATGTGAACCAGACCAAACCAAACCATGGCAGCACTATGTAACTCATGGCTGCAATGGAAAACTAATTGATTTGAATATTATGTATTCCATCAAGTCTGAAAACTGTGTCTACTGGAATCAAAAGATATTACAAGACTTTCAATAATCATCAGCAGATTATATTCAAGTTGTGCTACAGAATGCTACAGAGCACTCTGTAGCACTCTGTAACACTTTATAGTGGATTAAGTTTCCCTGATGATCATTACCTCTAAGATTGCAGAAATTGGTGCTAATTAACAGGGCATCAATTAAAATTTCCTAGCTATCAAACCCAACTAATTAGTGAAACTTTCAAAAAGGAAAGATAGTCTTAGAGGCTAATTCTCTGGAACTGATAATATGCATATGAATCCTATTGCTAACAGCCAGAATTTATGGTAGCATATGATAGAGCCATAAGGTCTTTGTCTGTAGATACCACAGCAAGCACCAGTCCCTGACTCCACTGTCTCACAAATTCCTTGATTTCTTTTCTTCCTCTGAAGGCTTATTTGTACACATTCATGAACCATGCAATCCTGCATGGGTGATCAAAATATTTCAATCCTAGAATATCCAACTGTCCAACCCTATCCAGCATTCACCCTGGATATGACTCAGTGTGACATCTACAAATAAACAGCACACCACCTTAAACTATGTCACTCTTTCCCGACCCCCACCCTTTGTGTCATGGTGAATGTTGGAGGTGAGCCAGTAGGGAGCTGATAATGCAGCAACTGCAGCACCTTAAGAGCTGATGGTATTGGCATAGTCATTGAGTGCAGTGCAGGGAGGTAAGCATGTAGCAACACTGTTAGGTAGTGGCTTGGCCAAATGTAGTAATATCCCTGACATTGTGTGCAAGGTGGCTGACAGTGAGGACATGTGGGAAACAGCAAGCTTGATACATGATTATTGAATGTGTTGTGATTGATGTGTGGGAATGATGATTACTACGCTGGCGCGGATGCGGTTGGACAGTCAGATATCCCAGGATCGAGATGTCCTCTGGGTGGTGCATTCCCAGGAAACTGGCATCAATGTTCCCCTTTCAAACATTCAGAAAGCTGGTGTACTCCGGATTTCTGTCGAGGGAATAATACTTACTATCATCTCTTCTAAACCAAAGACACGTTATATAACCATGGGTATCAATCATACAAAATATTTTACTGTGCATTATTGATGCTGGGCGCGAAGCCCACCCGCGCCCCGTGCGAATAGTCAAATACCGAGTACCCTAGACAATCACAGTCATGAGCGTTGCAGATCAAATGCCATGCGATAAGGCACTACTCACATGATCTCATAAATGCATGCCCTGCAGCACGCGACATCAGAAGAACATCCAAGAAAACGAACCGAATATTCAAACAACTCACCGATGATGACAATTCCTTCCATGAATGCATCGTCCAGGCCAATGATCCCACCAATGCAGTTTCTGCGCTGGTTCAGGCGACGTGCATTGTATGAATACACGCTGACTTACGTTGACCCATACCCATCTTGTCCGAGCTTAAAGTCCTGGATACTGATTCCGAAGTCGTGCCCACCAAGCGAGAATGAAATCGTGGGGTTGGAGTCGCACGGGAAGGAGAAGAAGCCGGAGCTGTAGTTTGCTGCGGGGCCAGCCCCGAGTATCTACGACTTGTCAGCAAGGTGGCGAGGGAAGCAAATAGCGAGAGACTGACATTGGCGTAGATCAGATTTGCCAATGCCTTTGAAACGTATATAAAACTAGAACCTGTGTCAATCACCTGTTCATATGAAATGAGGTGAACCCGAGTGAATTTTCTGATGAATTGAACCTTACCGCATCGACGTTACCAGAGACGTAGTTCCCTTCGACAACAGCTCCGTCGAAATGCACTGTCCAGTAGGTCTGCCAATAAAAACCAGTTAGACAGGGTGATTCAAGGCGCGGGAAGATCAACCTTGGAAATAACTGAGACCCATGTCAGAGGTCCTACCGCCTTGGATATGTCGTAACCACCCAGAGTTATCTAAAAAAAATCTTCTCGATTACGGTTATATGAACGATAGTACGCCACGTACCTTCGACCCGCTTGCCTTTCCTCTCGTTAAATGCACAGAGAAGAATGGTGCTTCGATCTTTTCCTGCATGATTAGGTTCTCGAAGAACGTTGGCTTCCCTGACGTCGCGATGGAGCTGAAACCGAGCCCGAGACATCCAGAGATCCGGTCGGAATCGAAGTTACTCGACACATCAGTGACAGCACCAAAATATTGGCTGTTGACCTTTAAGCCGCCCATGCCGATCGTATCGTACGCAAGAGTTCCTTCCGCATAGCTGACGCCCTCCTGCCCAACACATCAACCAGGCACCGAGATAGCATGAGGGAGACGCACGTAATTCACATTGAACACATTCCCTGTAGTCCTGTAGGTTGAACTCGCAGCGGCGTTATATTGTGGGGTCCCGCAATCGCCGCAGCCCACAGGAATCCAGAGATCTGCAGAACATGTGTCAAAGGCCACTGAGAGCTGTTGTGATTTCTTCCCAAATTCAAGTGGGCCGTAGAACGGGACATGGATGGTCCTCTGTATCTCATCCGTCAGGGGGTCAGTCGCACTCTGAGCAGCGGCATTCATCGCAGAAAAGCTCATGTTTGCCTGCTGCGATATTGTGGTTGATCCGAACAACACAAAACCGGATAGGTCGCTTGTCGTATCGGTGAACGCCGCGTCTGACAGCGCATCGAGCCCGGGATCTGAAAGTGCATCTGGTAGCGCCACGAGGTTCTTGCCGGTCAAAAAATCAAGAGCGTTCTGGTATTTTATTTGGAGGGCTTCTATCTCGGCCATCTGGATATACAAGTTAGTCTCGTAGAAAGGTTTATGAGACAGAAGCTCACCACAGGCTGGACATTGAAGACTGGGACGACAGTCGAGGTGACCAAGTCATGGGTGTGGTTGAACGTTCCAAAGGGATCCCGCATGTACATTGGGGGATAAAACATCATGTCATACACGGGAGAGCCCAACACGCCTACAGTCGGGAAGAGAAAGAAAAGGGGGAAGCGGGGAAGCATGGTAGTTGAGAAAGTAAAGGATGAAGAAAACCCGATGGAACTGAAGGTGAAGCAAGTCTTTTAAATCCATTAGCATAAAATTCCAATCCGGACTAGCGGTGTGCTCCAGTGACATAGCGACCTGAGCTGACCCGCCAGCCCAGATTGAACACCTGCATTGAGAGAAAGGGTAGTAGCAACACCGTATTTCACTGAAGCCAGACATTAGGCAGATAAGATTCATATCAATGAGTTAGTCGGGTCAGATAACAGGTAACTTGCCACTGCCGCAGAATCGAACAGCGCGCTTCACTGACATATCAGCCTGAGCTGACCTTCCAGCCCAGATCAGAATATAAAAAAGGTCAAGACAACACTGCATTTGGCTGAAGCCATACATTGGTTGTACGACAGGCAATATGCTGCTGCTGCCGCTAACTCGTCAGCCAGAACTTTAAGCGAATTTTGATAAAACCGAACCACTTTGCCTACACAATTCTCTGTATACTTGTACGGGTCTGCGTGTACAACGCGATATATCCAGCCCACCCTAGATGAATTGCACATACTGGGTTGCACTACACAAGTAGTGGGGGATGATTCTAGGCGTGATAATATCGTAAGGTAAGTGGTTCCATGACATTGCGAATAGTTAGTGACATTTTGTATCCATGGCACCTCTCACTCCGCCTTGAGCCTGTCTTTGGGCTTTGCTCCCAACTTCTGGCCCTTACCGACACCAAGCACCTTGCGGCGCATGCGCATCATATGGGAATACATCACCCACAGTCCTACGAGAACCAGGAGTCAGCGACCAAATGCAAAATAACATGCACGACTTACCAGGCACCCAAATTGCCACCAAACCTGCCTTGACCCGGTCTTCGGTGCTCCACACGGCCCACTTGCCGTTGCTCCACTCTGAAATGGTGCTCAACATGACTAGGGCCTCGCTTCCTGCGCCGATAGGATACAGGACATAAAATGTGGAATAGCGCATCCATGTCAGCCATGAAGGCACGCCGCAACCTGCAAGCGAGAGCGCGTAGTATGCATAGCGTGGCACTTCAGTCAGCGCCCAAGCAAGGATCATAGTGGTATAGACCGGGCTCAAGTGAGTATTGGGAAAGCGCTCGACGATTCCCCAGATCAGGATGAGACGCGATGAGACCTGGACGACAGTTGTCGGGAGCGGGGAGCGCACAAATCCAAAAAGGACATGCAATATTTCAAGGGCGGCAAGCGATTGTACAGGTGCAAGGGCAGAGAACGTGGATTCGTATGTTGCAGGGATGTATGAATGCAAGAAATATGCGAGAGTTGTGGAGAAATTGTTGGTTGATTTAGGCTGTGGTATCAATAATGCTACGATTGAAGTCGGCACGTATGAAGCAAGTGGTTTGAAGAAGTCGTGTACTGAACTTGAAGCGCGTTGACCTCTGAATACGGCAAGAGCGAGGTAAATGACATAGGCCCATCCTGCTGCAGATAATGCATTGAATGCGATTAAATAGAATCGCACAACAAGAGAGGGTCCTGTAAACCATATCCACGAGGTTAATTTCCAAGTTTCAAGTTTATTGTCGCGTTACCTCGTGAGCGGGTACTTGACATTTTATGGTCGTTACTTGGCACCTTGAATCCTGTTCGTTGCAATTGGCAGGCTCGCTGTAGAGACTTGATAAGCAATACACCTACGGTACGAGTTGACAGTGATAGGGATAACGGTTGTCCTCTAGGTTTACAGTTGTTGGTACGTTCGAACTTGGCTCGGACAAGGCTCGGACTGAGTTGTTTTGCCTGACCCCTGACCACGTGACCCTCGAGTGCCACGCTCATCGCAGCTGATACTTTAGGTTTGCTTCGTGCAAGCTCAGTGACCGAGTACTTGCTGTATTGTGGTCAACAACGTTGACAATAAATACAAACGAATACAGAAGTGAAAGGGAATCAATAAACAGAGATACATCACTCTTTAACTTTCTGCAAATTATCAGAGCCTCATCCAGAGGCTGGAATATTAGTGATTCCTTGTGGATGAGTTCAATTATGGCCTGGTGTTCAATGTAGGTACATCACAAATGGAATAAATAAAAACATGAAACAATTGCCAAGGAACGCTCAGCTCAATGCAAGAAGCATTTTCCGAGGGTCCTCAATGTAGTCGCGGACCTTCACTACAAACGACGCACCGACGCGTTAGATAACGGTCACGTGAGATATAATAACGGAGAGAGTACAGACCTAGGAACGTGACTGCCTCCCGACCATCGAGTAGTCTGTGGTCATAGGTGAGAGCGACGACCATGATGGGTCGGATGACGATCTGGCCGTTTACAACGACAGGTTTGTCCTTGATCGCGTGCATACCGAGCACAGCAGATTGTGGCAAGTTGATAATGGGCGTTCCGTACAATGAGCCAAAGACACCACCATTGGAACTAAGCGTACAAAATTAGTATTAGTTTGGATTGAGAATCAATGACACTCACATGGTGAAAGTGCCTCCTGCCATATCCTCCAGAGTCAATTTACCATCCCTGGCCTGAAAACAATAGGTAAACTGCAGGAGAATACGATATATACAGTACTTGCCTTGTTTCCAAGAGCAGCAATCTCCTTCTCGATTTCAACAAAGCCCATGCCCTCGGCATTCCTCACCACAGGGGTGACCAAGCCCTTGGGCGTCGCGACAGCGACACTCAGGTCAACAAAGTCATGGTAGACAATCTCGTCGCCCTCGATGGATGCATTTGCAGCAGGAATCTCTTTGAGCGCCAGAGCGCACGCACGAGCGAACGCGCTCATGAAGCCGAGCTTGACATCGTGTTGTTTGAGCACTTCGTCCTTGTACTTCTTCCGCATCTCCACGAGAGAAGACATGTCGATTTCATTGAAGGTCGTGAGTGAAGCGGCAGCGTTTTGCGATTCCTTCAAACGCTCGGCAATGCGCAGGCGCATACGGTTCATCTTAACCTAAGGGAGGAAGCACGTCAACATTACCAAAACAGGCGTAGTAATGCTGCATACTCTTGTCTCGCCCCGATTGCCAGGGGCCTTTGGCGCAGGAGGAGGTGCTTTCGACTTGTCCTCCTTTGGTTTCGAATCCTGCTTCTTCACCTCCTTCTTGGACTCTTTAGGTCCTTCTGGAGGGATGCCACCACTCTGCTTGTCAGCAGCTGATGGTGCACGCGGCTCTGGTGTCATCTTGTCCAGTTGCTGATCCTTAGGTTCTTCAGGATCTGTCTTCTGCTCCTCAAGAGCAGCAGATGCTAGAGCCATGTGAAAATGTGATGAAATAGCATGTCACGTAAGTTACACGGGGCTTACCACCGCCTTCGCCAGGTGCAATTATGAAGAGGTCCTGGCCAACGCTGACAGTGTCTTCTTCCTTTGCAAGCAACTCCACAATCTTCCCTGCTGTAGGCGCATTGACACTGACGTCAATCTGTGATGAAGGATTAATACTTTCAGAGGCGCCAATGAGCTGATACCCGCCTTATCCGTCTCAATGGTCGCAACCTCCTCGTCGACCTCGACGGTATCCCCGACCTGCTTTGACCATGATCGTAGTGTGCCCTCGGAAATAGATTCGGCCATCTGTGGGACCTTCACGGTCTTGGAATGCAACTGTGCGCGTCTGATATAGTTGGCGACTTTCCTATACATACAAGAAAACGGTCGTTCAAGTCAGCGATGTTAACAACAGAAAGAAAAAACAGAGAACACGCACCATCCTTGCGAGAATGATACAGCAGTGTATTGAGCACCTCTACTAGCGAAAAATGCACGACTGCGAGCAGCAGCGATAACTCGTTTCGATAGCATTTCTATAGTCAAGAGACGCTAAACAATACCTAGATAGTAGAGACAGACAACACTTCGGCACTGTGCTGTACTGGACGATGAGTACGGAACAAATTGGGTAGACACGGTTGGTGATGATAATAATAATACGTGACAGGTCGCTTACTATAAGTAGGTTGCCATGAACCTGGCAGACCAATGATAGTGGACACAACGTCACGGCCAGGTGAGTAGCCGCACCAGCTATAAGCGTCCAACCTTGATGCAAGTTTGGAAGTAGAAGAGTGGAAGTCACTAATAATTCTAGTAGATGCTCATCGTTCTCGAGGTTACTGGCCCCGCCGTTGTGTCCGACCGACCCCTTCCGAAGCTTCCCGAGACTACAGCTGGTCACCGACAACCATAAATTAGTAGTATAGGTACGGCCGCCGTGGCACCGTACTCAATTCAGTCTTACTAATGATATTTTACAGCTGGACATTTTTCATTACAGCGCTCATGAGCCCAGGAGTCGGCGACTCACTCCGAGGCCGCCTGAAACTACACAGCTCTATCGTATACTCGTTGGATATTCTGTTGAACTGGCTCAACAAACTCCCTGACGAGCATGAGAATCAGAATCAACTTGAATAGTTCTCCTGCATATGTCGGTCTACGTCGGTCCGTCCAACAGATAACACAGTCACGATCGATTCGGGCCTTCATCCGGGAGACGGCGAGCACAAGCAAAAATTAATACCGCTCTAGGATCTGAGCATATGCCAACTTTGGTTGTTGCCTTATGGCTTTGTACAAAGGGCGATCTCGGGATCTGGTGAATATATTTTATCCAACCACTCTATACCCGAACTTTTGTCTTGACTTCGCCCTAATACCAAGGAACGCCTATCTTGATTCAATAGGTCTGACTAGGGGAGACTGCACATTCAGATGACTCTCCGTCGATAAGTACGCGGACTTAGTCGCTGTTGCCGATGTCCGCTCCAGTCGCATTCTTCGGCAAAATTCATGAACATTGACCACACGGCCGCCTTCAGCACCACAGCTTTGATCGATCTGATCCCTCAAACTCGAACTTATCCGCGGTTCGTATAAAATGAATACACAGGTTAGCTGTGGGATCTGGTCAAATACAGAACAACGGAATGCATGATAAATTATCCAAGGGTGTCCTGGCGGCGTCGTAACGAAGGCAGGGGCCTCGAACAAGAAGTCGACGAATCGATGCGGCGGTTAAATAAACTGTCCAAGACAATGCCGTTGTGCAAGATGATCTACCAGGAGGTAGTCAGAACCCAGTATCAAGGTCGGAGTACGTACAACGAAACAGAAGGACCGGCAGCCGGGGCGTCGTTGCGCTGGCAGATTTTCATAAATCGTCGGAAGCTCCATTCTAGCAAGACGCCAAGCACCACAGCTGGCAAGATAATGAACTCAATACGGCAAGCAGTATCAGCTGAAAGAACATTGACTGAATCGTGTATCTTACAGAACCAGAGTAAGTAGAAGAGCTAATATTCAATTGCGGAGCCAGAATCTATCAATAAGTAAATTGCGATATAGGAGAGAGACGCAGCGTCATATGTGCTGCTCCGGACCACTCTCTGCACGAGATAAAGCTGATGAGTAGGGGGACATGCCATATTTGCCACAGATAACTGTTATGGTCGTGTTAAGCATGCGGCGAGAGCAATGTGTTACATATCATGATATCTGGACATGTATCGTGCTCCTCGTGGATACGCTAGAAGAACTGGAATACAAATGAACGTGGGCCATAGATCGCACGGTAGAAAGTTTACCTTGTTGTCCTTGCATGTCGTTCAATCCGGACGGCTGCCTCCGCAAATTTTAGTGCAGCTCCATTGAAGATGCGACGGGATAAAAGCCGTAGTACAACCAAGGTGCAACTGACATACCACGTTTGAAGGAAAACCTGGAAAGATCAAACAGTCCTCATTCACAAGCGCACGACCTCTAGTCGGCCCTGAGTGGCGCAAGCTAGAAGGAAGAAATAGATTAGTCTAGTACGGTGAGGCTCGCAGCGACGTCACGCCTGGCCTTTACAAAGGTCCTACAAAATTATTCCATCTCGAGAAGATAGCCAGACAAGACGCAGAATGCACTCAAAACATCTTGGCACCCGTACAATGTAATTTACGGTTTCAAGGGATCACTTTCACTCGCGAATTTATGGATAATTTGCAGCCACATCACACTCCGAGAGGAACAGATACATCGTAAATGCATATAATACCGAGGACTTGTGGACTTACTTATCCGGCTGCCAAAGTAGGTGGCGACACTAGTACTTGTAGGGTTCAAACTTCAAAGGAGCCTTAATATTGCTAGCGATAGCGTGGCGAGGGATGGAACCGTCAATCCAAACCTTCCAAACCACGGCATAGTCCATGAATACCCATTTTTATGTTGCCTTCTGTGGCAAACTCAATTTGTTATCAGCGGGTACCATTGAGTGACCGAAGCTTCGTATTTCGAGTTCCTTGATGGATATGACGAACTGTACGTGTTGTACTGGAGCATAGTATGTCACATCCATCGGAAGTTTTGGGTAGCGTTGCCAAACCAGTGACCATAAAATGATAAATGCCCTGAATATTGAACGATGCGAGACAGAAAACACATAGAAGATGTCTTGGTAAATGGGGCAGAGTTGCAAGAATGCCTGAGAAAAAAAAGCACAAAAATTGGTTGGAAGCACATCGTACTAGCACCGGTCGCAATTGAGTAGAAGTCATCGCATAGAAAGAAGAGGGGGATCACATTATTAACTAGCATTCATCGCGACCAAATATCCATCCCGCTCAGTCTTCTCGCCTCCTTTGGCTGTTGCGGCGTGTCACTCGCATTGAACGGGTTTCGTTGAGCTGCCTGCGGCGGAGCTTGTACGGCCGAAGCCACACTTGGCCCATAAAAGGATTGTGGACCCGGTTGTGACGTCTGAGTAGCTTGCCTTGAGGATGACAAACTAGGTCCCTGAGCCGCACTACCTCCACCATAGGACTGATATTGCTCAGGCTGCATCGGAACGTAAAGCGCCCCGATATCTGTCCGCTGAGTCAGCGGGTCGAAAGGTGGATTCGGCGCCTGCTGTTGTGAAGGGAATGCTGTGGGGTACCGCGCGCCGGTACCAGCAGGGTTCCCTGCATATGCTTGCGTCGGACTAGTCACCATAGCGTTGGGATTGTACCCGCTCGCAACCGTATCGCTGCGTGCAGCAGTCCGGACATTCGACATGACAGTCTCCCTTCGATCATCGTCCACTATAATTGTGGGTTGGTAGGAGTGCGATAACTTAGAAGGCGGCGGGGGGTAACGGGTGGATGCACCCCACCCAGACATGCCGTTTGCAGCAGCAAGCTCAGCCTGTTGTTGCAGATATTCGAGCTGAGGGTACGGCTGCGCTGCGCTCGGCTTGCCCGCCTGCCGCCTTTCCCATTCGCGCATGGCATCATCCCGGTTAAGCACAGGGGTCAGTGCGTTCCGTCCGGCTATCGCATCTTGGTTCATATGCTGCAGCCGCGCCAGCGCAGGAGGAATCATGTCGTTGTGGTTGATAGTATTGGCCCGTGCGCGAGCATGGGGTGGGGGGTAGTGTGAGGTAGCGGGTGGGTTGGGGTTGAGCATCCCCGTTACGCTGATTCCTGTCCCTTGCGAGTAGCTAGCGCCAGCAGGGTTGAGGGCACTGAGCTGTGCAGGCTGCGATGACGAGAAGGTGTGCTGCTGCTGCTGTTGAGCTGGAAATGACGACGGCGCAGATGCATCCTGTGGTGGCTGGTAGGACAATGGCGGAGGAGGTGGCTGCTGTGTCTGAGAAGCAGGTGGCTGCTGCTGCTGTGTCTGCGTTATGTACGGGTTACGGAATACATTGTTAGCCGCCTGAGATGCGGCTTGCGCCTGCGCAGTGTAAGCTTGGTGTTGAGCAAGCTGCTGGTTGTATGACGCTGCATCCTGGAATGCTCTGGTGCCTTTGGGCTGCTGGGGAACAAGACCACCGTATGGCCGCTTCGGGTCTGCATTGCCTGACGTGGATGGCAACTGTGTAATCTGGGCAGTGGTGTGTCCATTAGGCTGTAATGATCTGTCAGTAAATTTTTTTGAGAAGATCGATGAATAAGATGACGAACTTGGAAAGGCTTAGTGAACTTTTCACCGGTGATAAAAGGGTGCATCCTAGCCTGCTGGGGTGACCATCGTTCTATAGGGTTGAGATTGAGTAGACCCTGGCAGAAGTCGATGAATGACGCTCGATTGTTTAATTCTGTAAGGCCACGTGAGAACAAGTCAGGCAAACGCCGAGAACACTTAATCTTACCTTTTTCCACTTCGTGCCCCTGCCGAGACGATGACTTGAACGTCGGCATCGGTGCAGTGTTGACAATTTCCGGAAGCGTATTCGCCTTGAAGTAATGCTTCCCTGGCTGTTCCTTGGTGTTGTGCTCACGGGAGTACTGCTCCAAGGTTTTGAGGCGGTACTTCTTCTGGCCATACACATCTACGTAGGAGTCGAAAAACTGCTTTGTCTGCTTTCCTATGTCCAGCATATATGTTGGAGGCATCCTGTGATCGCAGGATAATGCATCAATAAATGTTGGTAACCCAGCTAGTGAAACGAAATACGCACCCAAGCATTTCGACGATCCGAGTTATCTGATTATACTCGCTCGTCCCGGGGAAGAGCGGTAGCCCTAAGAAGAGCTCTACAGCAATGCAACCCAACGACCACATGTCAATCGAAGATGTGTAAGGAATTCCGAGGATGACTTCTGGCGACCGATAAAACCGTGACTGGATATATGTGTACACCGTCTGTCGTTCATGACACGCTGATCCAAAATCAATAACCTTGATTTGGGGTGATTGAAGCCTGGTAAAGGGATTGAGTACGGGAAATGTGGGGAAAATAAATTAAAAAATACGATTTGAGTAGGATGTTTTCTGGTTTCAGATCGCAGTGAATCAAGCGTGCATCCTTGAGCACAGTCATAGCATCTAACAGCTGAGCAGTAAACACTTTCACGAGTTGCGTGCTCAATCCTTGGAATTGGTTTTGCTTGATCAGCTCATAGAGGTTAGATGAGAGCAGCTCAAATACAAGGCATAAATGATTTCGATGAATGAACGAGTCACGAAGTCGCAATATATGATGCTCATCATGAGGATCACATGAATTGTTGAGCTACGGGCAGTAATGTGAATATCATTTCATCATTGTTCGTGGAGAAACGCACCAGTTCCAGTATTGTGACTTCCATCATACTTTGGTTGAAGTACGCAGGCTTATTTTTTACCACTTTGACTGCCACGATCTCGTGGGTCTTCATATTCTGACATTTCACCACCTGACCAAAGGTTCCTTGACCGAGAATATCCAGAATGAGATATCGACTGCGCTCAGTTCAGTATATCGCTGAGAGCATATGGCATCAACGTACTTGTGACCATCCTCGTTTCCCAGCCAATCATTGACGTAGAGAATATAATCATAATCCTCGTTGTCGTAACCTTCGTTGTGGGCGGGCTTACTCGGCTTGGTAAGCACCCTCCGCGGATTGTGCGCCGATTCGTATCTGAACTGCGGGTTACAGATGTGATACGTCTCGAGGATGTTGGTTGTCAATTGTCTCAGTGGCTATGTCACTGGATGTCAGAGCTCGACCGCAGTCAAATTAAAACCACACGCACCGATAAAAATACCCCGTTGGCATCCATTCGCCTGCCCGAAGGCTGAGCATTTACGTAAGGTCTAAGATCGCGCGTATCACGGACTCTTCTGAAACCAGAAGCTCGGCGTCGATGCTGCGGCTGATCAACGACCATGGGCTGGTCTTGATAGTATTGGTTGGCCGGACTCTGCGGGTGAGCAAATGACAGAGGGGTATTTGGGGTGGAGATGGAACTTTTGATAGATGCTTGGCTTGATAGATGACTCTGATTTTGGTGTGGTGCGGGACTGGAGGAGTCCATCGCATACGCAGCATATGCAGCCTGCGCAGCACTCTGCGGAGTGTACGGGGATGATAGTGGTGGCGTTGAGGGTTCAACCTTGGTTTGAGAGGTGCCGCGGGCATGGGAATGATAGGCAGATGAAGTGTTAGGCCTCTGAGCATCAGACGATGAGGCGTAGAGGTAAGGGGTGGTAGACGGCGAGTACTGGGCTTGTTGAGAGTATGGATCCAGGAGTGAGTTACCCGTACGCATTGGTGAACGTCCAGAGCGGGGGGTAGGATCATGCTGTGTAAGAGCTCGCTTTGGCAGGTTCCCACTGGAACCATTATAATACATTTCTGAATACGGTTCGCTGGATACAGCTGCGGGAGAAGCACTGTTGTTGGGGGGAGGGGGACCTGGTTGAGATTGGTGGAAGGCAACGCCAGATGGGTAGAGGGAGTTTGGTGTTGCAGCCATGTGCCTCGAACTAGGAACGGTTTGGGCGTCAAGGTTGAAAGCGCCCTCAAGATCTTCTGGTTGATGGTGACGACGAGCCCTGGAAGATCCGTTACCAGCTCCACTACCACCACCCAATGACGCACTCCTCGAAAGCTGGTTCAAACCGGTAGAAAGGAAAGATGAAGATGTGATGCCCGTTGGTTGATCGTGGTCAAGGATATGAGCCAGGCGAGGCTGCCTAGTAGATGAGCCAGGTGATTGATGCAGGGGCGGCAATCTCTGACCGACAGTTGTGAGAGACTGTGGTGGTGGAGGAGGCGGTGCACTTGGATAAAGATAGGATGCTCTGGCAGCGGACTGAGCAGCCTGAGCAGATGAAGACAACGGTTCCAGATGAGCGTGAGTTTGCCAGCGAGGGAGATCAAAGTCTTCGTTGGTGTTGGTCATGTAGGCAAGTTCGGGTTCCGACATGCTCTGTCTATGAGAAAACAGTTAGTACTGCTGCTCTCCTCGCAAGTCAGAAAATAATAGTAGGCCGTTTAGTTGTTTCGTGGTCGCCGTTGTCGTCAACGGCAAGGACAGGAAATAAATGGCAGTTAGTCCCAGGCCACAAATGAGTCGAATAGCGCCAAGTGCCACACGGTTCCACTACTATGTGAGGGGTTAAGGGTCGGCTAATCGATCTTAGGCCTCAACAACGAATCCCCAATCAATTTTACTTTTCATTCATAAAAAATTACTACAGTGCCAACTTCGTGCCAACACGAGTTTTATCCAAGTGCCTCTAGACCCGGCTAGTACAACACGTGGCCAGAGGTTACCTCCGTGGCGAGATTAGGACTTACCAACGACATTTGACAACATTATATGGAATTCAGATACAATCCGCCAACCGAATCATGGCATACCCCCTCGCACATGCTTTGCGCAGCAAATTGGTTAGGGACGCAGAGATGGAAACCGTGCTAGGGCAGAATTTAGGATACTTCTTGGCCGTGTTCATCTCCAAGGCTGCTGAGCGCAGCAACTATGCCTTTCTCTGCATCAAACAACAGATTAGATCCTCGTTGTGTTGATAGCAGGGTAGCAGGCACATCAACCGATAAGAATATCTGTCGATGAAACCTCCGCGCTGGAATCAATGAATTAAAATCAGCAAAGGACACGGCGATCCGAACGGAGCAAAAAATGGGCTCCACTTACCAAGACGCTGCGCCATCGAAAAAGATACATCAGAACTTGATGATCGGAACAAGGAAGTAGCAGGTCCAAACCCCTTCCAGAACTCGCTCAGGCCATTGTTGGTGTATAATTGGCTATTAACATCATTTACTTACTGTATGACCAGGTAGTGCGGGCATAGCACATGCCCAATCTTTACAAAGCATGCCAGAGAGGGCTGCGTTCTGCACAGATTCTGGTGGTTGATTCGTAACACCAACCCAAATCATGTATGAGCCTACAAGGCTAGTGATTTGCAAGGCAAGGGCAGGCAAAGATGGGTCGGACGGCGCGACATATTTTGAGGTGACAGAGATCAAGGAAGAATTCCCTTGAGATGTGGCCGCCATCGTGGACGTTATCCGATATAATGAACAAGCCCCGCAACGCGACAAGCACGAGTTGAGGAGAGTTACAGCCAAGCATTGGCCAAGCCCTTATCAAAATTCAAATGAGTCACCTGATATGTATTATTAATATCGCATAGGGGGTGTTCGAATTCAACTGGAACCTTCATGTCCTTCAGCCAACTGCATACACAATCGACGAGTCCTATGGATGCAGGTGGTGTAGTACGTTGCACACACGGTGAAACTGCAATAAGAAGGACTAGTCAAACATCTTCAAATCCCAATCGGTATGTTCAAAATGGTCTCCAAGTATCGGTGGCTGACATTTGCCGCTCAGTGAGTTCTACACTTGCTCGAGGTCAATCAAGAGCGAGAGGTGTAGATTCTTTTGTGAGGATCTCTCCTAGTGCACATGGAAATGACTCAATCGAAATCGCTCAGATTGGGTAGATGACCCTATTTTTTACCCACAACAGCATAGTTCTGTATCTCCCTCTGTACCTGCGTCATCGAGGCCCCCTCCTTCTCAGAGACAGAGAGCCGAATCAGCTCGAACATCGGGCACGCCCCAGAAAAGTCCTAGGAAGAGGATGGCAGATATAGCGGCCGCCTTAAATGAACCAGAGCTTGAGGCCACTTCAACGCCACAATATGGTAGCCCCCAGCAAAATGCAACCGCCATGAATGACCGAACCCGCTCATTTCTTTTTGGCTCCCAATCCTCTCAGGCCTCGACGATCGGGGATTGGGAAGAGACATCGCCAGAAGATGACCTCGAACAAAGCAGTCCATCCAGGAGTGTGGACCAGAGTCTTAGAAATATAGACCAAAGGACGCCAAAGAAACCCAGAGTTGCGTCCGTGGATCAGCGATCGGGTTTCCAAATCCCCTTTCCACTTACTCCACCTCAGACATCACGCCGTCGCGTCGACAATTCCGACCAGGGCATATTCGAAACAGACTTTTTCCCGCAAACGCCTACCAGGAACAAAGGCAAGGAGCGGGAAAATAGCGGCGGGGAGCGAACGGTTGGTCTGGACTCGGCTTTTACAGAGAGATTGATTGAAGACTTTGTAGACCTCAGGCACGAATGCTCGCATCCCCAGTGCCTTTGAGAGCGGAAGCAGTACTTTCAAACGTGACGTCCCCGCACATACATCTAAACCCCTCGAACGCGCCTCTTCCAACCCTTTTATTGTTGACCAAACTACTGGGGAAAGCATTGCTTCGCATCTAGAAGCACTGGACGCTTTAAAGTCACCGTCATATATTCGTAAAATGGAGAAAAAGCTCAGTGCGCTGGACCAAAGCAATAAATTCAAGGCGAAGTACCTCGAGGACCTCAAGGCTGCGAAGGCGGAAACGGAGAGTGAAAATGTGCGTTTGATAGCGGAGAATGCGGGTCTTCAGAGTGAAAATGCGCGGTTGGCGCAAGCGAATGCGCATCTGCAGGACAGGCTGTTACAGTAGGAATTATACCCATGACTGTCCATTTTCTGTCACGCTCAATGCCCTTCCAGGTCTGAGCAAAGCAGCCGCGTCAAAGATATCGAAATTGCCGCTATCAAGTCCCGTCGTCCTCCAAATATGTGATGTTATTTTATTGGAACGATCTCGCTTCTTGGTTATCCTGACGCGGCGTGGAGGGTAAGGGGTTCCTGCTGCTGGGCTACGTTTCCAACATCTTTGCATTTAGTGGAAGTTGAATGTTCAAGGGCGATTTCACATAGTGATCCAGACAATCTACAATGTGTACCGGACTCAATCAACCAGCTCCATAGTTATTCTTCCATATTTTTATCTAGGCACATTCTCGTTCACACCAACTCACTATCGGTTGGTTCATCTCAATCTCACGGGGGGAATCTATGGAGGCATTAATACCAATGCCATGTGCAAACAGATCAATTTTTTGAGAGCAATTTTCGTCATTCATTTGAGGCTTCTGCAGGGCAGAGCACAAAATCGCTTGCCGTAAATCCTTTGGAGGTCGACTGGAGAAACTCAGAACCACAGTCGGTCCTCGAAGCGAGTCAAATTATTCTTCCCCGCCGTTTAGCCCAGATTCTAGAAGAAAGAAGCAGTAACCTTTTAGTGCAGTCTTCTTTCCTCACGCGCGATGTGGAGGATTTTCGTTACCGCTATCATAAGCCCCAATAAGTTATAGACTCAGGGCCCTTTCATTATCGTAGCACGCGATGGGCTATAAACCTGCTCCGGGGGGGCACATGGAGAGAAATGTTATCCGGGGACGCGAGAAAAAATGAGGGCCCAAAACGACGAAAGCAGTATTTTTTGACATGTATTTCGAGAACTCGAGGTACACGATTATGAAGAAAACACAAAGTGGTAGTCGATCGAGTAATCTGAGAAGAAAAGTTAGGCCGCCGTATGGCCACGCTCCATTGGCATGTACGACACCGACTGTTGAGTTGGCGCCGAATCTTTATCAGGAGCGTCGCATGCCCCAAAGAAGCGGGGGAAAAGGATTTAGCCGACCAGCGATTTCATTGGTATGGAGCAACTAGACAGAAATAAGACGATCTGCTTGTAACGACGATGGCTACGCAACATGTTCTGGTTTAGTGCGACCCCGTTGCCATCTCGTACATGTGCCACAGCCAGGCGGGCTGCGGGCAGAGCCAGTGCGTTTGAGATGCACGTTTTAAATAAATAAAAATCAGAAACAAAAAGAGTAAATGACACCCAGTAACGTCCGAGATCAATCCGCAGCTGTATCCAAAGTCCTTGAGGGCCTTTTCAGGCATAGTCTCCGAAAATAAAATGGGTCGCCGTCTGCTGCTGAGCGAGTCGCGCTACAGGATGAGGGCTAAGTTGACCGAAACGCTCTGGATCCAACTTGGAGAACCCATCAAAGAAAGGGGCTGATACAAGTGCCGTATAGATGGTACAGCTCCGACAAAGGAACAGAAGGAGTTCCGGCTAAAGGGCTCGCTCACTTGGGGAACTTTGCACCAACATGACAGTTCTTGCAGGTTTACCGAAAGCCACCGAGAAATGCCGTGCACAGGGAAATTTGTCTATCTTTGTGCAAATGACAGATCTCCAAGCGCGCCTAACGGACATGGGAAACATTGTGGGTACAGTAACTTCTAGTATGAGTTCACGTGGAAGACCCTTGACTATTGCCGCTGAACCAGAACTCTATTACTCACCTTTAAATGTAAAGATAACTCTCAGATCCGCCAGAACAAATATCGAGGCCGAAGTATTATTACAAGTCTTTCATGTGAACAGAGATGAGAAGGCCCCGAACATGACGAAATATTCATGACAAGCATCCTGGAAGATCACGTCAGGGTGCAAGAACCTTGTGGGGTTGTGTTCCAGTGCTTTGATAAGAGATATGTGGGTTGATATTCGGCCCCTTGACAAGGGTGTGTTGGCGAGGATCCGACTGAATTTCCTTCCGGACCTATTGTTTGATATCATCAGCTTAAATCACATGTATCGACTCGCCGAGTGACAGCCTGTCCTCTGCTGTCCTTCAAATGCACAAGCGAAGTCTATCCAAGTTCTGGGGATCTAAGATGGAAAGCGCTTGGCGACGGCCACAGGGACGCTATCTTGAACATCGAACACTGGGTGTCGATAGTCTCCCATGGTTTGACAGGTTGAAAAAGTTGCAGTTCTGGCCCGAGGGGCGCGCAAATCAGCGTCTGAGTAATTAATACTTTATGTCAAAGAAAATTGCAAGAAGTGGCCCATCATAGTGACGCAGCTTCGGTGTATACATAAAAATCCTGTCTTTACGTTCACGCGTGAGGATTTTCATAGCACCTAAACGAGTACTCGAAGACTCAACTGTCACTGGAAACGGCATTAAGTTCCTGTGGGCCATTACTCGGAAACAGCGCTCACTGGGCATGTTGACGAGATGGCCCAGGGTGGAGTCGGCGTTTACGTGCAGACATGATCCCATCACCCCGAAATTAATGAATCGACGGTCCCGGGAGACTTCATGTAATTGGTATCAAGTTGAACTACGTCAGTGGGAGGTCCAATATGCTATGATTGTATATTCGAAACATATGCATAGCAATTCACTGGATAATGATATACTTATCTGACAGTCTGCGTCCATTCCAAATAGTGTCTGTGAATGGTAAGTGTACGCTGGTATATGCAAAAATGATAAACAAGGAGTGTTACATATGTCCAATGTGTCATCGACGTAGAGCACAATATTTAGCAGAACAGTCTTCGCCACCAAAGGACGAATCTTGTCCACCAGTCTCCACGCCACCCATCGCCGCGTGGCTTGGAACTAATCCACATCGATCCAGTGCCGAAGTGAATTTCTTTGCCTTCTGCTCTCTCCTCCTCGCCCTCCTCGATGTCGGCGGCACGGGTATTCAGAGGTGCGGTAAAACGCGGCAAAGAGCAACGGGTGATGAATGAAGGAAATACAGTTAGTAACGATAACAATTCGGGATTTGGAAGATCCGGAGACGTCCAGATGCGCAAGTAATCCTCTGGATCTTCTGCGACGAATTCTGATCGAAGCGGGGGTAATGATTCGTCTTCCCCAAGTTGATCGTGTGGGGTAGAGGAACTTGGGCAATCTTCGGGAGTTTCAGAGGAAGGGATGGTAGCTCCGGAGGATTGAGAAGAAGCAGAAGGGACGGAGTGTGAGAGGGCGGGCATGTCTAAAAATGGGTCGCTTGTAGCTCTCGCGCGCTTTACCTGGGTAGTCATGGCAATTGGTGAAGCATACGAACCAATCGTCTCGCGGTGAGCGGATAAAGGTTGTGAGCGGGAACGCAAGTGCGCGGGCTGTGGCTGGTGAGACGCGCAATTGCTGTCGTGCTTCGAGGATGAAACTTCTTCAAAGGCCAACACCTGAAAGGCTGGTTTAGTACATCGACGATGAACGAATAACAATAACATACTCCTTTGAGGACATCAATAGCATCAAGCATAAAGTCTTTGCCACTATGCCGTGTGTAAAAAGTAAGTATGATAGATTTAGACGCCAATGAATGCTTTGTATGCTTACGCAGACTCTTTGAAAACGGCGTCGTCAAATTCCCAGCGTATTCGGTTCGCCCCCGCACCGCCAAGGGGCTCTGGGACAACTTGAAGTCGCAGAATTGCCCACAAAGCCTGAAAGAACGGCTTGGTTCCAGGCATGCCCATAGTGCACCAGGTCTTAATAAATTTATCTAATCGGTCAAAGCGTTCTTTCGCGGCCACTGGACCTCTTGGATTTGCTCTAGAATGTGGCATTAATGAACCACCAGGCTGAGTTGCGTTGATATGTGCCTGAAATTCCGCGTGTCGACGGGCATTGACGCTCGCATGGTAAGCAGAACGAATGGATGCCTGAAGGCGCGAAAATGGTGCTCGCTGAGCAGGAGGCAAATTTGCTAGTGTCTGAGTAACTAGTCGCCCGGACGCTTCATCTTGGTTGAAGTACCTGATGACATGAATTATGATTGACAGGACAATCAGTTGAGAACAAAGGCATACCATGCACGACAAAGTTCGGCAAATTTTTCGAGCTCGCTGCGAGAGACTCCAAGAGGGGTGATCGATCGATTTCGAGAAGTAGGAGGCGGCGTTGGGCCAGGGTGACCATTTCTTCGGCCTCTGGGTCTGCCAGCAAATGAAGGAGAGGATGGCGGTAATACACCAGGTTTCGCAGCTGGACTTCCAGGAGGAGAAACAACAGAAGTTGAATGAGGAAGATCATAAAGGAGTGTTTGCGCGTTTGAGTGCGTATTCGTCAATGAAGAATTTTGAGATTTCTGGAAGCGCAGAGGAGGTGGAGGAGGACGCGGACGAGGCGTATTGAGTTGGTAAGAAGGAACTGACATGTTTGACGATACGAAACCAGCTCGATTCGTCAAATAATCTGCCGAAAGAGGTAGCTTGAATAGCCTCTTGAACTCTGACTGGAGCTTGGATAAACCACACACTCGAGATTAAGACAAGAGAGTGAGAAAAAGAAATGTATCGCGATGCGACTAACTGATACAAGCTGGCAATAAAATTGACCCACAAAGCGTTAGATTGTTAGACACAACCTACGTTGAACGGTGACAATGACGACGGCTGGACGATGGCCACGGCTGCGCTAACGACTGCCAGCAAGCAAGGCAACTAATTCCCAAATTTCGGTCACCGCCACAATACCCGAATGTAGTAATGGGACCAAGTCCTGCTGGCAGAGGTCTGGCGAAACCATGTAAGTACCTTCTTCTGACTACATCCCATCTGCTGCCAATGGAAG